GTCATTTGTTTCGTCATCAACTCACAATTCTTGCTCCAACTCTGAGTGAGAGCAAGTTATTAGCTTCCTACGGATAAGCTGGCAGCAGAAACTGTCACACTCCAGCCTCAGCCAGACGCTTGGCTCTGCTCAGACAAACAACCAGTGTATTGAAACTTTAAATGCGAGCACACAGAGGCTCCAGAAAGCTGAAGAGGCTTAGAACTCTAATGTTTGGGGTCGTGAGATATTCCCACACAAGTTGGCTTAGATTCCAGTCACGTTTATGGAATAGTTTTAGTCGCAATGAACTGTGAACACATGTGTGGGCAGAGTGAAGGGAGAGCAGAGCCTTTTGCTACATGCTTTCCACTTACTTATGGGGCTATGAACTGTGCCCAGCGTGTGTACCAGGACTAGCTAATGGGGCACTGTGTTCAGTGTGTGTACTGTGACCAGCTAATAGGGCACTGTGTTCAGCATGTGTACCGGGACCAGCTAATGGGGCACTGTGCCCAGCGTGTGTACTGTGACCAGCTAATGGGGCACTGTGCCCAACTCACCGCCTTCATCCTGTCGGCGCTGCTGGGGGTGACAAGTGAGGCTCTCCCACCTCCCTGGCTCTTAAATACCCGTATTACCTGAAAGTATCTTGAAGGTCCTAGCGGGGCGAGACCTGCATAAGTCTGTAATTAACTGGTTCACTCGTGTATAAGAATTACACATTAGTCGGATTTTCTTCAGAGTCATTGCCATGGTGTGCGTACTCGCCTATCTGCACTCGCCTGATAGTACGTATCTCTGTATTTGCATACTTGCGGATCTCTGATTCCCTATGTGTGATGCATCCTCAATCCTTTGAGAATGGCCGAGTAGGAATAAAGCAACTCACTATGGGAGACAAACTCCAGATAAGACTAAAAGTAAAAATTAGTAATGCCAATGATATTTTGGGGAGGCATCAAGTAAGTACAGATATGTAGTATATGTGAGATATTATATCTCACATATAAGTATATGTGAGAACTTAAACACGCAGATAAGTACTAATGGGAAAGTGCATATAGGTAAGTTCATAGAAACACACACACACACATACAGTGATGTGGTGGAGGCTGACTTCATACTCAGTTTCAAGTGTTGATATGATAGAGCCCAGTAGGCTCAGGAACCTGTACACCAGTTGATTGACGGTTGAGAGGCGGGACCAAAGAGCCAGAGCTCAACCCCCGCAAACACAACAAGGTGAGTACAACTAGGTGAGTACACACACACACACACACACACACACACACACACACACACACACACACACACACACACACACACACACACACACACATGTGGTTGACAAATGGAATGCATTAGGGGGTGATGTGGTGGAGGCTGACTCCATACACAGTTTCAAGTGTAGATATGACAGAGCCCGATAGGCTCAGGAATCTGTACACCTGTTGATTGACGGTTGAGAGGCGGGACCAAAGAGCCAGAGCTCAACCCCCGCAAACACAACAAGGTGAGTACAACTAGGTGAGTACACACACACACACACACACACACACACACACACACACACACACACACACACACACACACACACACACACACACACACACACACACACAGAAACAACCACACGTGATCGCGATAACGGAAACGAAACTGACAAGTGTTATAGGAAATGCAATCTTCACACGAGGATATCGAATAGTAAGGAAAGATCTGGTGAACAAAGCAGGAGGTGATGGAGTCTTGTTGCTGCCGCTACGCTGGAGCTTAGAAGAACTAAGATTAACAGAAGAATCTGCCCAGGAAGCGTTCATACTATGAATATCAACAGTGGGAAGCATGGAGATAGGTGTAGCGGGGAGTTCAAGTTCAAGTATGTTTATTGAGATAAGCAATAAATACATCTCAAAGGGATAGAGTAGCTTAGGCTATTTCTACCCCCCAGTAGCGGGGAGTTACAACCCTTGACCAAACAGTAGAAGGCCGAGGGAAAAATATGACAAATGCAATGATTTTTTTTTTTTTTTTTTTTTTTTTTTATAAAAGTGATGGAAAAAGGAGCCACAGTGACAAGGGGAACAAGAGCTCAGATCTTAATACCGGGGAATTTTAACCTGCTTGTTTCTGCTGGCTTGATTTGTGAGAGCTTAGTCCACCAGGCTGTTGCTTGGAGCGGCCCGCAGGCCCACATATCCACCTCAGCACCTTGGTCCGGCACGTCTTGAAGAAAACAATCTAGTTTCCTCTTGAAGAGATCTACGGTTGTTCTGGCAATTTTTCTTATACTCGCTAACCACTATACTATATTAACCACAAGGAAAAGGACTGTATAAATAAAGCCCCCCATCGGGGGTGCCGAGATATGAAGAGAAAAACTTAGACATGACAGACAAACACTTCTTAGAGCAGCATGTTACAGAACCAACAAGATTAAGAGGAGAGGACCCACCAGCAACGCTAGTCCTGGTGTTTTCCCAGAATGAGGCAGAGGAAAAAAATAATGAAGCACAAGATGCCTCCAAGAGCTGGTGACCGCTGCATTGTCATGGTTGAATACATGGTGGAGATGAAGGAGTTGGTTTACTCCTTTAGGTGGACAAGAACAGCTCTTCAAATTGAGAGAAAACAGGACAAGAGGATACGGGTGGAAGCCCTGAAGTAGACAGCTTAATTATTTGCGACTCCCTTTCCTCACTACTAGCAATAAATAGTTTGCAATCGAGTAATAACGTGCTTGTCTCAGAAGCCAGACATAGATATATTAGCATACTTAACAAGGGGTAAATATAAAAATGTTGTGGATTCCTTCTTACATTGACCTGCAGGAACATGATAAAGTTGACGCCCTTGCTAAGGTTGCAGTAAATAATGACAGTGTTGAACGGAATCTTGAATTATCAAATAGGTCCCTAAAAAGTGTCATCAGACGAGAACTCCTGGATGAATTTGAAGAAAGTAGAACAGTGCAAACTGGACCTAGCAGGTCTATTGTTTATCACAATGAAATGTGTGAAGTAAAACATGTGTATGGGGCAAGTAACAAAAATCAGCAGACTAACAGACATTGTCACAGCTCGAATAAGACTTGGCCATAAGTATCTGTGGCAGTTCGGCTTATACTGGGATCTAGATGGTGTAAAGTGTGTGGGCAAAGACAGGGACACACACTCGAACCCTATATCTTGGATTGTAGTAAAATGGACCCATTTAGAGATAAACCTTAGGTTGCCATATCATACAACGTAAATGTTGACCAGACCACACACTAGAAGTTGAAGGGACGACGACGTTTCGGTCCGTCCTGGACCATTCTCAAGTCGATTGTGAGAATGATCGACTTGAGAATGGTCCAGGACGGACCGAAACGTCGTCGTCCCTTCAACTTCTAGTGTGTGGTCTGGTCAACATACTTCAGTCACGTTATTGTGACTCATCGCCTGCATACAACGTAAATTATCTTATTACTAAAGATAAAATACCTGAAATCCTTGCACTGTATCCATATTTCACTCCCAGTAGATAAACGACATATGAGATTAAGAAACAAGTAGTGTATTGTGAAGACTAATAAAACAAACAGCAGCTTCCTAATAACTCCAGTATCTCCACTTCTCAAACAATTATGTATTAGCGATAAGACCTACCATTAACGTATAATTACATTATAATTGATAGATTATGTATAATTGATAGAGAGCTTTTGTGCTCTCTGTAAACTTTCTTGCGCTACTGCTCACAGGATGAGTACAGCGTGCACAACAAACTAGCCGCCTCCGGCGGCAACAATCAAATCAAGGTTGAAGCTGGAAATGCAACTGAGTCAGATGAATGTAAGGAAATACTGGAACTCAGTACGGATAGTCAGCAAGTGGAATACACTGAAGAAAAGAAGCTGAGGACACAGAAGAAGAAGAAGTTGTGGACAGGTTGGAAGAAGTTGTGGACACAACTCAAAGAAGAAGTTGTGGACACAACCTCCACCCACAACTTTAGGCCAGATTCGACAATGAATTTGAACGTCAAAATAGTTAAGCTGTAATGCAATCGTAACGATAAAACTAGTGGGTGGGGAATATAGAGCAAGACTTCACGCCCCATAAGCACTGCTAAGTAAGTACTGTTAGGTGTCAGCGAAGGCGAGGACAGACTTATGCAGGTCTCGCCCCGCTAGGACCTTCAAGATACTTTCAGGCAATACGGGTATTTAAGGGCCGGGGAGGTGGGAGAGCATCACTTGTCACCCCCCAGGAGCGCCGACAGGATGAAGGCGGTGAGTTGGGCACAGTGCCCCATTAGCTGGTCACAGTACACACGCTGGGCACAGTGCCCCATTAGCTGGTCACAGTATACACACTGGGCACAGCGCCCCATTAGCTGGTCACAGTACACACACTGGGCACAGTGCCCCATTAGCTGGTCACAGTACACACACTGGACACAGTGCCCCATTAGCTGGTCACAGTACACACACTGGGCACAGTGCCCCATTAGCTGGTCACAGTACACACACTGGGCACAGTGCCCCATTAGCTGGTCACAGTACACACACTGGGCACAGTGCCCCATTAGCTGGTCACAGTACACACACTGAACACAGTGCCCCATTAGCTAGTCCTGGTACACACGCTGGGCACAGTTCACAGCCCCATAAGTAAGTGGAAAGCATGTAGCAAAAGGCTCTGCTCTCCCTTCACTCTGCCCACACATGTGTTCACAATTCATTGCGACTAAAACTATTCCATAAACGTGACTGGAATCTAAGCCAACTTGTGTGGGAATATCTCACGACCCCAAACATTAGAGTTCTAAGCCTCTTCAGCTTTCTGGAGCGTCTTTGTGCTCGTATATAAAGTTTCAATACACTGGTTGTTTGTCTCGGCAGAGCCAAGTATGGCAGAGCTGGAGTATGGCAGTTTCTGCTGCCGGCTTATCCGTAGGAAGTTAATAACTTGCTCTCACTCAGTTGGAGCAAGAATTGTGAGTTGATAACGAAACAAATGACTTATTCGTTGTTTCAGCTGACGTTGGTGTGGTTGGGGTTGGCGGTGGTGATCGCCGCCCCTCAGTACTCTCTACCGTCGCCTCCAGGGCAGTCCTACCTGCCCCCACCACCACCGAAACCTCTGCCGCCACCGCCACCACCTCCACCAAAATACGCTCCCCCACCAACTCTTCCTCCACCGCCACCTCCACCACCACCACCGCCTCCACCACCACCTCCACCATCACCACAATACGGTCCCCCACCAACTCTTCCTCCACCACCACCACCACCTCCTCCACCACCACCGCCTCCACCACCACCTCCACCATCACCACAATACGGTCCCCCACCAACTCTTCCTCCACCACCACCACCACCTCCTCCACCACCACCGCCTCCACCACCACCTCCATCACCAAAATACGGTCCCCCACCAACTCTTCCTCCACCACCACCACCTCCACCATCACCAAAATACGGTCCCCCACCAACTCTTCCTCCACCACCACCACCTCCACCATCACCAAAATACGGTCCCCCACCAACTCTTCCTCCACCACCACCACCTCCACCATCACCAAAATACGGTCCCCCACCAACTCTTCCTCCACCACCACCGCCTCCTCCTCCTCCTCCTCCTCCTCCTCCTCCTCCACCACCACCACCTCCCCCACCACCACCTCCACCAAAATACGCTCCCCCACCAACTCTTCCTCCTCCACCACCACCACCTCCCCCACCACCACCTCCACCAAAATACGCTCCCCCACCAACTCTTCCTCCACCACCACCTCCTCCCCCCACCACCACCACCACCATCACCTCCCCCATCACCACCTCCATCACTGTACGGGGCCCCACCACCTCCTCCTCCTCCTCCTCCACCACCACCACCACCTCCTCCCCCACCACCACCACCCCCACCACCACCACCCCCACCACCACCACCTCCCCCACCACCACCTCCCCCATCACCACCTCCATCACTGTACGGGGCCCCAGCAAAATAACTACCTCTCCCATTACCAACTAACATACAGCAGCTCCTCTACTATTAACCTACAGCAAGTCAGCGTCATCACCTTAATTCTCACCCCCACCTCCTCCCCTCCACCTTCCCCACCACCATCTCCACCAACTGGACACGTCATTTTAGTCTCACTACCATCTTCTCCACCACTAATCTACGGATCTCCTCCATCACCACCACCAATCTGCGGCATTATATTAGCCGCGAAGATTCAGGTCGTGATCGTAAATAACGAGCGAGATGGACCTGACGCAGAGGACAAATACAGCTTCAACTTCGCGGATGCTGACGGCACCAGTCGTCAGGAGCAGGGCGCCCCCCAGGGAGAGACTGGCGCCGTGACTACCCAGGGAGGATGGTTGTAAGTATCCGTGTCCCTCGACGCCTCAGTCTGGCAGTTCTTAGTTATAATGATCTCAAAGTTAGAAGCTATTGACACCTTCCGCCCACTGGTGCCTCCCCCAGTGCCTGTTACAATGAAAGTATTATAACCTCAACTAATATAACTTACTAGAATGAAGCTAAACAAGCCAGTCTTAGTAAGCGTCTTAACTGGCAGACTGGGCTGCCCTGTAGCACGGTGGCAAAAGAGCATTTAGGGCCTGAAAACACTTGTATAGCTGTTTACACACTAACTGCAATATGTCAGACTCGTGATAAACGACTCGCCACACATTGTTCAACTTGGCGGGTCGTGGAATTAATAATTCCCTGCACGGTGAACATTATCATATATAGGAAGTAGTACACATATATCTGTTGTAAACCTGCGTCTGGTGTTGTCTCCTGGCCACAGGTTCACCTTCCCCGACGGCACTCCGGGTCAGTTCACCTTCGTGGCCGACGCTAATGGCTTCAATGTGAAGTCCGACCTGCTGTCCGTGGGTAAGCCCTTGCCTGACCACGCCATTGCCCAGATCGAGGCAGTTCGTGTGAAGCGAGATGCTGAAGCTGCCTCCTCTTCTGTTACTCAAGTTCGCTCTCGTGTGATGGACGTACCTGAAGGTGGAGGAGACATCTTTCCGGTCCTGGCATAAACCACCCTGGCTCTCACCTTTTATTTATTGTCTTTGGTATCTAGTCTTTAAAAGTTGATGACTTTCCACGCTGCCTTCAACTTTTCAGTGTGTGAGACGAGACTATAACTGACCTGCCTTTAGCTAGCGTGTGGCCAGTGTCAAGTGTTGGTGGGGGAGTGTTGACCAGCCTTGAGCATTACATGCTAATGGAGCGTGTTGCCTGAACAAAAATATTCCAAGTGATTGATGGCTTAGCTGACTATGATTTGTAATCTTAAATATTAATTGTCCGGTTCCTAACTGCCTGGTAATGATTAACATTATGACTGCCTTTGAAAATAGCAGTGTTCATTATTTAACTGCCTTCGGTCCTTGCTGTCTTAAGATTTTAGGCGTGCTTGCTTTAGAGTCTTGCTTATTGAGCATTAAGATGCTTTTTATCTTAACTGCTGTGTGATCCTTGCTGCTTGTATCCCTAACCTGACCTAACCTAACCTAACCTAACCTAACCTAACCTAACCTGACCCCTAACCTAACTTCCACAATAACTACGACTCCACAAGCAAGTGACCTTGACGGCTTTGGAGATATTCAGTGCTTAAATGTAATTATTTATTGTAATTATACAGTGATGTAATTTTAAATTATAAATAAATTATTATTTGTTACACGTGTGGGCTAAAATTTCCCCCTGTTTTGTTCACCACCAATTTATATCATATTAACATGTCTTTTCCTGAAAAGTATTTATAGATGCCTTCTATTTTATTTATATATTTATATTTCTTCAGAACGATATATATATATATATATTAGCCTCACCCAACTTTGCAGGGTGAATGGTCTGAGGGTACGGCATAGTCATATTGACAGCTCGAAGACCGTCCTATTGGTACCAATCAAAGTGGAGAGAGAGGGGGGGGGGGAAGAAGGGAGGAGAAAAAAAGGGGAGGGTTTTTTCCTCTGTTTGAAGAGGGTGAGGGAGAGACAGATGAAGAGTGGGGAAGAAGAGGGGGTGTTTCCTGACAAGACTGCCAGGTACCCCCCCTGGGAGAAGCAACGCCCTTCTGTGGTGTGGTAGTGAGGTTAGATGGGTTGAGTAGTAGGTTACCTGTGACTACAAAGGACGTCCCTTTGGCGACGTCTTTTGATAATTACTACTTACAAAAGCTCCCCCCCAAGGGAAAGGTCCTTGGGGGGAGTCAGGTCCCCCCAGGTCCTGCTGGCTCCTACCATAACCTTTCATTCGCTTCCCCCCCCCCCCCCCCGTGTTGATTTTTGGAGCGTCTGCACCTGATGTGTTGTCCCTGACGTCAAGCACATGTGGGCTCGCATCAGCACTCGAATGATCTGTACCTTAGCAGCCTCCTGCTTGCTCGCAAATTAAAAGAGGCTTCTTGTTCTCAAGCTTCGTCCAAACTTTCAGGCTTCGCTACTACTACCGACGACCCAAGAGGCTAAAACAGCACATTAAGTATGAATATTCTAATTTTAAATTGGTGCTATGTATCCGTGAATGGGATAAAATGAGTCACATAAATTGGCAAGGAAAAAAAGTACATTTAATTATTATTTAATGATTCAGTACTGCATAATATATACAACGATTATAATTTAAAGTTAAGTAACATATATATGCACTCAAAGCCCCTGGCGGCCGGAGGCTCAATCAACCATGGAAGGTAACTAGTAAGATAATCCAGGTGAGCAAGCAGGCAAGAAGTCGTAGAGTGACAGAGATCTCAAGCATCATAATGGCGCAGGAAGCTGATAATTGGTGGTTGAAGACAGTTGACCAGACCACACACTAGAAAGTGAAGGGACGACGAGGCTTCGGTCCGTCCTGGACCATTCTTGTGTCAAGTCTCACAATCGACTTGAGAATGGTCCAAGACGGACCGAAACGTCGTCGTCCCTTCACTTTCTAGTGTGTGGTTGGGCCAACATTTTTCAGTCACGTTATTGTGACTCCTCGCCTGGTTGAAGACAGTTGAAGATAGCTTATATACCACAATGAAAACAGCTAAATGCTATGTACGTGACTGAAGGCAATTGTATTTTATATAAAAGGATTAAAAGCAGTTAAATATTAGTGATATGACCAACGGCTAGTTGAAAACCAGACTTGTAGTCTTGCGAGGCAGCCAAGGCACCGCAAAGTCTCAGACCTCCATCTCTAAGTCTTATGATCTTTCAGACAGAAAACTCAAGACAGCTTGGAAACTTAGTGAAATTTGAGAATTATTCAGCATGAACAATAATTAATATCAAATGTCGAAGGAGCCTTGAAACAGCTAACCTCTAGACACAGTTCTTATACAACAATTTTGAACAGAAAGTCAGATGTCTAAATTTATATATAATTGTTCACTGGTGCAGGAGGAGAAGCGGCTGCAGCTTCTGCCTCCTTTTTAGCTGCCTCGATCTGGGCAATGGCGTGGGCAGGCAAGGGCGGACCCACGGGCAGCAGGTCGGACTGCACATTGAAGCCATTAGCGTCGGCCACGAAGGTGAACTGACCCGGAGTCCCGTCGGGGAAGGTGAACCTGTGGCCAGGAGACAACACCAGACGCAGGTTTACAACAGATATATGTGTACTACTTCCTATATATGATAATGTTCACCTTGAAGGGAATTATTAATTCCACGACCCGCCAGGTTGAACATGTGTGGCGAGTCGTTTATCATCATGAGTATTTAGACACAATGCAGTTAAAGTGTGAACAGCTATACCAGTGTTTTTAACCCTTAACATGTGCCATTAACTCAGCCCCCCTTTACTCTGTTATATGCAAATCTAAAAATATTAGAACAAAATTATATTTAATTTTTCTCCACGTGAGCAAATATGCAAAATATTTAAAGTAAAGTCCACATATATCTTTGGATATATATAATTTATATTAAATCTTATACCGATAACTGTGCTTCAAATTTTGTCACTGTAATACCACAAGCTTAAATAATTATTTCAGGTTATGACATTTAAAATATAATAAAAACTTTTTACATTCTAATCGGATAATACAAGCCAGAAAGATGTCAAAACTTTACATTTACAGGGATTTATAGGCAGAATCCAACTCATTATTTAGTGAAAACCGTCAATTGTCCCAAAACGCGCCTTTAAGAGTTAAGAAACACATTTCAACTGTATTGTGAACGGTTAAATCTGTTTTCAAGATATAATTGTCTCTTGTTTTCCTACCTTGCTGTAGGACTGTATAATCTCGCATTGAAGACAGCTAAACTCTAGTAACAATTATATGACGATGAAAGTACAGTTACCAGCTCCACTGACAGGAGCCGAAGGCATCGCTAGTGAGAGGAAGGTGCCAATCTCTCCAAAAAGGGGAGAGAAAGATTATTTATACACCTAGAACTGCCAGACTGAGGCGTCGAGGGACACGGATACTCACGACCATCCTCCCTGGGTAGCCACGGCGCCAGTCTCTCCCTGGGGGACGCCCTGCTCCTGACGACTGGTGCCGTCAGCTCCCGCGAAGTTGAAGCTGTAGTTTCCCTCCGCGTCAGGTCCCTCGCGCTCGTCAGTTACGATCTCAACCTGGGATTTCGCGGCTTCTGGAGTGCCGTAGATTGGTGGAACTGGGGTTCCGTAGGATGGTCGGGTAGGTGCTGGGGTGCCGTAGGTTGGTCGGGTAGGTGCTGGGGGACGGTAGGATGGTTGGGGAGGTGCTGGGGTTCCGTAGGATGGTCGGGTAGGTGCTGGGGTTCCATACGTTGGTTGGGGAGGCGCTGGGGTGCCGTAAGTTGGTCGGGGAGGTGCTGGGGTGCCGTAAGTTGGTCGGGGAGGTACTGGGGTGCCGTAGGATGGTCGGGTAGGTGCTGGGGTGCCGTAGGATGGTCGGGTAGGTGCTGGAGTGCCGTAAGTTGGTCGGGGAGGTGCTGGGGTGCCGTAAGTTGGTCGGGTAGGTGCTGGGGTGCCGTAAGTTGGTCGGGTAGGTGCTGGGGTTCCGTAGGTTGGTCGGGTAGGTGCTGGGGTGCCGTAGGATGGTCGGGTAGGTGCTGGAGTGCCGTAAGTTGGTCGGATAGGTGCTGGGGTGCCGTAGGTTGGTTGAGGAGGCGCTGGGGGCGATGGTACAAAGTACTGAGGAGCAGCGATCACCGTCGTCAACCCCAACCACAGCAACGTTACCTGCAACACAGCAATTGAAACATCAACATTCAGATCAGGATTGTTGGCTACATGGAACAGGAGGCGGCACTGCCAGGCGGCGTGCCAGACGACAGCACCTCACCTTCCGCCACTCTCCCCAACATATACGCAGCTGACCTTCAACTGACCTACGGCACTTGACCTACGGCGCCTGACCTACGGCGCCTGACCTACAGCACTTGACCTACGGCGCCTGACCTACGGCGCCTGACCTACGGCACTTGACCTACGGCGCCTGACCTACGGCGCCTGACCTACAGCACTTGACCTACGGCGCCTGACCTACGGCGCCTGACCTACGGTACCGTGTGTTGCATTGCCGTTAGACTGAACTAGTGTGTCCAGATGTACGAAAATATTTGCCCATGCCGGTAAGGCACTGTGCCTCAGCCTGTCTTACTAAGGGCCAGCAGGTAAGGCACTGTGCCTTAGCCTGTCTTACTAAGAGGCAGCAGGTGAGGCACTGTGCCTTAGCCTGTCTTACTAAGAGGCAGCAGGTGAGGCACTGTGCCTCAGCCTGTCTTACTAAGGGCCAGCAGGTATGGCACTGTTCCCAACTCACCGCGTTCATCTTCACGACGCTCTTGAGATAACAAGTGAGCATCTTGATCCTCCCCAAGTCTTATATATACCGGTAGATGTCTGGAGCCGCCACGAGGACACGGCCTGCATACACCTGACCTCTGCTAACCCGGCGTTTGGGAACTGTTGCCATGTTTTTCCTCCTGTCTGGCTCTCTAGCTTCCCAACCATGATGTCTTAATTATCTCGTTATCTTCTTTAATGTCTTGAGTTATCAGCTTGTCAATCACCCCGAAAATCTTGGGACATCTTGAACACGTTGTGCCTCTTCCTTGTCTTTCGCATCCTCTAACCCTTTCCACCACAGCCCATGGGATGAGTATGGGGTGCATAATAAAGAAACTATTTGAAATTGAATTTCGCATCATTGTCAAGTCTAATTCTCTCGGCTCTGGGGGTCAGACTTTGATCGATTCTAAGTTTCGTTGTGTGGTTCTGTAGGTGGAGGACCCGTGACAAGACTAGCCTATTGTGGGTGGCAGTTCTAGATCTAAGATTAGCCTACAGGATCCATCAAAGTCCTCACAAGTACCTTGTGTAAAGCAGACAAGATTAGCCTATTGTGGGTGGCAGTTCAAGAACTAAGATTAGCCTACAGGTTCCATCAAGGTCCTCACAAGTACCTTGTGTAAAGCAGACAAGACTAGCCTATTGTGGGTGGCAGTTCAAGAACTAAGATTAGCCTACAGGATCCATCAAGGGTCTCACAAGTACCTTGTGTAAAGCACTCACCTTCTTGAAGATAGCCTCGGGTCTTCTTCACAGCCTGTGTTGGTAGGGTTCTAGTGTTTTGAGCCCGTGGTAATTTTGTTGTGTATGTCTGCTGTCATGTGATATTTTTTTCCTTTATTTTTACCACGAGAGCTATTGGTTATTGCCCAGTCGGTCTTCTGCCACACGATTCTATTCTCATTACATTGCTTTAGTTTGGATTAAATTCTGGCAGCCATCTCTCTGGCAATAAATTCGTTTATCTAAGTTGTCTTGGAGTACTGTGATCTGTTTTCATCTTTCTCGTTAGTTTGGTATTGTCTTTTGAGGCACTTCACTAAGGAGGAGATATCACTGGCACCCCTGAGCCTTGAGTTACTGTGTGTTGACTTAGTGTCAGAGAATGGTTATCGTAGTAACCTCTTCAAGAGGCTGTAGGATTTCTTTCTACAGGCGGGAGGGATGTTCTTCTTGGTTAAAATAATTAACAAAATACCAGTCTCCAGCATTTTACATATAGTGCATTAACACTTAAATAGAAATTGCAAACTTTTATAAAATCGTTGTAGTTAATGCAAGACTGAATAATACAACAGCAATACTAAAAAAAAACATTTATATGGGATATTAATTTAAAATCAATTAATTCAATCAAATCTTCAGACGCGTTTAAAAATACGAAAGCATTCAAGCCATCAGCGTGTTATATATATATATATATATATATATATATATATATATATATATATATATATATATATATATATATATATATATATATATATAATATATATATATAATATATATATTTAATATATATATATATTATATATATATATATATAATATATATATATATATATTTATAACTGAAAACTCACACCCCAGAAGTGACTCGAACCCATACTCCCAGAAGCAACGCAACTGGTATGTACAAGACGCCTTAATCCACTTGACCATCACGAGTCAAGTGGATTATGGGTTCGAGTCACTTCTGGGGTGTGAGTTTTCAGTTGCATATTGTCCAGGGGACCATTCTGGCTTGTTCGCATTTGTGTTCCTCACGTGTGCCCCTAAGAATGAGGTGATTTGGTAAAATGCTATGCCCAAGATAACTATCCGAGTGCCGGCGGTGGGGTGGTTCAAATAGCCTCGGCTATCACCTCATTATGTCCGGTCGTGATGGTCAAGTGGATTAAGGCGTCTTGTACATACCAGTTGCGTTGCTTCTGGGAGTATGGGTTCGAGTCACTTCTGGGGTGTGAGTTTTCAGTTGCATATTGTCCAGGGGACCATTCTGGCTTGTTCGCATATATATTTATATATATATATATATATATATATATATATATATATATATATATATATATATATATATATATATATATATATATATATATATATATATATATATATTATAAAAGTTTGGGAGGGTACCACCTCTGGTGCCAATGTGGGGACCCATAGCTTCGGAGAAGAAAATAAAAAGTATTCAGAGAAGGCCTTGTGGTTTCTCACTGAACACTAATATTATCTTCTAATACCAACCCCATTCTTTTGTATGTACACATACATATTTGTTTTATTTGAACTTTGTTAGAAAAATGGAGTTACATATAGGGTACAAAGATGGTTATCATAAGTTTTCGAGCTCACACTGAAGCGCTGGAACAGGAAACTGGCAGCTCTTGGGTCTCTGGTGATGTCAATGACCCTGGAATCCAATTCTTTGAGGAATCCCAAGGTGCTTCTACCCCAGGGGGCCATGCGTCTCAGACACTATGGGAACAAAGGTGAATTGAACTTAAAGTCACCTGCACTTGATGGATTTTGCTGTTTCCCTGGAGAGCCGGTCGGCCGAGCGGACAGCACGCTGGACTTGTGATCCTGTGGTCCTGGGTTCGATCCCAGGCGCCGGCGAGAAACAATGGGCAGAGTTTCTTTCATCCTATGTCCCTGTTACCTAGCAGTAAAATAGGTACCTGGGTGTTAGTCAGCTGTCACGGGCTGCTTCCCGGGGGTGGAGGCCTGGTCGAGGACCGGGCCGCAGGGACACTAAAAAAAAAGCCCCGAAATCATCTCAAGATAACCTCAAGATAACCTGTGGAAACAGCTAAAAGGTGGGGGCGTCCTCTTGGCCTCCCCACCTGCTTGGTCAGTACCGAAACTTATGTAGGTATCATACCAGGCCGTTGTCATGCCAGGATACTGTACGGTTATAAGGCCAGGAAACTGTACCGTTGACAGACAGAAGCTGTCTGTACCGTTGACAGAAGCTGTCTGTACCGTTGACAGACGGATACTCTACCGTTCGGTGCTTGATCAGCACCGAAGGGTATGTAGGTGTATGTATATTGATGACGTGAAGGCAACTTGCAAAGTCGTGAATGCACAGAATCATGACTTGAATGTCGACACAGACGCATCCTCTCTCACAGCCTTAGTGAGAGAGAGAGAGAGCAAGCAAGTCCTTGTACACATTACTCCAATAGGTATTAGGAAGATATCAACAAGAGGAAGGTGAACCACTATGGAGAAGTCAACACTTCAGGACCTACCCATATCTAACTCCCAGCTGAAATATCTCTTTAGTGCCTGCACAAGACTACAGATCTTGTGTGTAGGAGTCTTGACCCCTAAGGACACTAAACAAAAGATGCAGTGCGCCATATTCTACAAGACTAAGAATACCACTCGACTTGTATATGAAGATCTCTCTCTCTCTCTCTCTCTCTCTCTCTCTCTCTCTCTCTCTCTCTCTCTCTCTCTCTCTCTCTCTCTCGACACAAAACGGAATGCATTAAAAAAATGCATTACGTTTCGTGGTAAATTTCATCTAGGCATTCACATGCCCACCTGGAAGACAGTCGGTATATAGTACACATGGGCTCGCTGCATTGTTTCATTGTTTCAAGCGTAGGACACACTTTATATATATTATGGATAAGTTTGGATGGGTATACATAGGAGCTGCCTCTTATGGGCCAATACACCCTCTAACGTGTGCTCTATTATTATGTATAACTCTATGACAGCGATTTGCTAAGTATACATATATTTTATTCAAGTATGATAACAAGTTTGGTACCTGATAATCTTATTTATTGTTTACCTATTATTATTTAATAATTAATAATTTACTTAATTTGTAATTATTTAATGATTTACTTTACATTTTCAGGAATTATAACGGTGCAATATCCTGGCATGATAAGGTAAAGTATCCTGGTAAGATAACGGTAGAATATCTAGACATAATAGAGGTACAGTATCCGCAAGTTATAACGGTACGATATCTTCTCGTATCAGCGGTACATTAAAGTACATATTTGAGTGGAAATAGTATTAAATGAAAACTAAAAACCCGTCAAAATGTTTTAATTGAATAGATCATTTACAATGTTTTCAATCAGTATATAATCTTTGATACAAGCAGTATGTATTGTATGTATTCTTTTATACAATACGTATTCTGACGAGAATTATAACTGACGAGATAATTCTGCGGGAATTATCCATTCCCGCAACCTGACTTAGGGCCAGCCTTCCCTGACGAGTCCAGCCTGGTCTGTGAGACTGTGTCTTCGTGGCCTTACAGCCCCACGTAGCCATCACAGCCAGGCTGAGCCGGCAGTGAATGGCAGTGTTGGTGTAGTATCCTGGCAATGCCCGGCAACCCCAACAGAAACTTGTCCAATTCTCTGATGCAAAACTTCCACTGTGGTTCCAGCTACAGTTTTTGGCGGGAGGAAATTGTAAAGTCTTGGGCCTCTGATGTTTACACTGTGGTCTCTAATTGTGGTTATGGGGCCCCCAGACGTTTCATTGGAGTTATTTTACACTTCTTATCATATCTCTCTCCAGTATGTGGTAATATTACTGTGCATGCACTCAGTCATTCACTCCAGGATCTAGCTGATGGGCCGGTGCTCTTTCTTCTTGATTACAGCGTCTAGTTCGTGCCAGACTGAGCCCCAGTCCAGGGTGAGGGTGGAGGCTAGCGGTATCCTCATTCTCAGTCTCGTCTCCAGAAACTGTGGAAGCCAAGGAGATCTTAACACCATCTTGATCAGATGGGCCTTGAAAAAGGTGCTTCGCATGTTGTATATGTACCAATTCCAGGAGGAACTTAAGACGAAAGTCCACCAGAATATGAAGTATAGGAAGCGAACATGGGTCTTGAGGCCTGGAATGAAGAGGAAGACCTGTGGGACAACGGAGACGAGGTACGTCACCAGCATTAACCGCATTGTTCTGAGGATGCTGCGGTCCTCCTTCTCTTGCTGCTTGGCCAAGAAGAGCGGGATGTTGCCGATTATCTCGTCCAACTCCTCTCGGGATCTGATGCGGAATATGGTCATGGCCTGCAGGGAGGCGATGACGGTGAAGAGGAACAGCCCAGCGAGGTAAACACTTAGTATCACAAACGCAACGTGACTCGCTCTAAATCTTGTGTCTTTGGGAACAACAAAAGTCAGCTTGGTGACAGGGTCGAAGAAACTGCACCACGGAAGCTCTCCCGTCGAAACAATGATGAGCGGGAAGACTAATGAGATTATCCACATGATGAGAACCGCCAGTTTAACTCTTGCAGACGTAAGAATTTTGTTTTCCAATGGATACTTGCAAAGCATGAATCTCTCGAGCGCCAACCAGCCAAGGCACTGCATGGACATCACAGACGTCACCGCGAATACAATGCCACAGAAACTGGAGTAACCCCGTCGGACAAAGAGCGGGTTGAATAGGCCGTCATGAAAGCCCAGATCACCGAGTGAGTGCTCCAGCTCTGAGAAACGCAGGTGGTTGGTCATGAGACACTGGCAGTTATGAAGAGCCAGACCCATGACAAACACCCCGCACAGAAGGTCGGCGATGGCGAGGCTGGTGCGGACAATCCACCAAGGATCACTTCTGTCCGGGCTGCTGAGCATGGTAGCCAGTACGAGGGTGTTGCCTGCACACGTCGTCATGAGCACCACCACACCAAGGAACAGGAAGACGATTTCAAGTAATTTCTGTCCACCTGTGAGGTAATCCCAGTTGACGACCACTTGAGAGGAGTTCCCCATATAGAGGAGCACGTCGTCTCCGCTCGATGTCAGCCAGAAGATGTCTTGAGTGAGACGATCGCTTATGTCTGGGAATCTGAGAAAACATGTGAGCGTCTTGCTGCCACAGGTGGAAAGTCTGATCCAGTCCAACTGCTTGGCTTTAAGAATAATTCTGTCGCAACACTGTGCACATTCACTGAATATAAAGGGACCACCCGAAGAGTTAGACTTTTCACTGTAGTATTCCTGCTGGATCTGCTCCCAGCACAGCGCGCCTGGTGTTGCGGGCTCGCTGGAAGGCTGCAACTCCAAGCCCCGTGTTCCAGGGAGGGCGAAGAGCGGGATGAGGAGCACAGCCCCCACAACCCAGGACACTAGGCTTGACGGAGCCAGGTAGTGGGCCATCAGCAGAAGGCCAGACCATGATAGTACTACACTACTGAAGCAGGTGTCACCCTGGGCTGGCAGGGCGTGGCTGGCGACTCTCTCTACCTCCTGGAACACTCCAAGTTCCTGTAAAAATGTCATTAATGAAGAAATTGTATTACATTTTAGCAGCAGGTTCTAAAAAAAAAAAATAGCTACTAATTATATAAAAATTGCAATAATCTTGACTATTATATCATTTATTCAATTAATGGCAATTAAATAGTACCGAGAAATCACATTAATGTGATATATCAATAAGAAAACCCGAGTTCGGCTTCAGTGGAAGCCTCAGGAACCCTCGTGGATTCAGTAGATCCCATTTTACAATCCTTATTACCATGTCGTGGCCTAGTTGTCTAAGGTGTGTGCTTGAGCATAGGTTCGAATCCTCATCACGACTCCTACTGATTTTCTAATTAGAATAGTCGTCATAACAGTTGTCAGTATGGCTAGGGGGTAAAACTCCGACACAGAAATAGCAACTATGAGAACCAAACCTGTTGCAGCTTATGAACACATCCACAAGGGCCGTGACGAGGGTTCGAACCTACGTTCGAGAGGAAGAAATTATCAGGGGAAAGCGCCAAGCCACTTCGACTATATAGCACTTGGAAGGGGGTCAGGATAAGGATTTGGGATGGGACGGGGGTGGGGAAGGAATGGTGCCCAACCATTTGGACGGTCGGGGATTGAACGCCGACCTGCATGAAGCTAGACCGTCGCTCTACCGTCCACTCCAAGTGGTTGGGTCTACGTTCGAGAGCATCCCAGACGCTGCCTTAATCGACTGATGCTCTCGGACGTAGGTTCGAATCCTCGTCACGGCCCTTGTGGATTTGTTCATTTGATGCATCACGCTATTGTGATTTCTGTGTGTTATTGCATCTTGGTTAGTGTCGTACCTCGAGACTCCCAAGTACAAGAGAGATGTGATTGGTCTGAATGTCTTTATGTCCACCAAAGGCCCTGCCCTCGCAGCTTCTTCCCTCTTCAATTAACCACCAAACAAGTGGCTTCACATGTGGCTATCTTGAGGTTACCTTGAGATGATTTCGGGGCTTAGTGTCCCCGCGGCCCGGTCCTCGACCAGGCCTCCACCTCCAGGAAGCAGCCCGTGACAGCTGACTAACACCCAGGTACCTATTTTACTGCTAGGTAACAGGGGCATAGGGTGAAAGGAACTCTGCTCATTGTTTCTCGCCGGCCCGGGATCGATCCCAGGACCACAGGATCACAAGCGCAGCGTGCTGTCCGCTCGGCCGACCGGCTACCAGACAGATGTTTCCTAAAGCCACAATCAGATCAACCTATCCGCTTGTATTATCTAAAATATGAACAATGTCTAAACTGATCTTAGTCTGGCAAGAAAATCATCCGATCTTCAGTGATTTTCAAGACTCCCGAACAGAAAATGTGTCGTTTAGCTTAAAGAAAATAATAAACAAAATAAACAAAGTGTTGTATAAGGCAATCGAACCCGTTCAAAGCATTACATCGGTGCGTTCATGGAGACTTGACACTAAGAACTGAGACTTGACACTAAGAACTGAGACTTGACACTAATAACTGAGACTTGAGACTAAGAACTGAGACTTGACACTAATAACTGAGACTTGACACTAAGAACTGAGACTTGACACTAATAACTGAGACTTGACACTAATAACTGAGACTTGAGACTAAGAACTGAGACTTGACACTAAGAACTGAGACTTGACACTAATAACTGAGACTTGAGACTAAGAACTGAGACTTGACACTAATAACTGAGACTTGACACTAAGAACTGAAACTTGACACTAAGAACTGAAACTTGACACTATGAACTGAGACTTGACACTAAGAACTGAGACTTGAGACTAAGAACTGAGACTTGACACTAATAACTGAGACTTGACACTAAGAACTGAAACTTGACACTAAGAACTGAAACTTGACACTATGAACTGAGACTTGACACTAAGAACTGAGACTTGAGACTAAGAACTGAGACTTGACACTAAGAACTGAGACTTGACACTAAGAACTGAGACTTGACACTAAGAACTGAGACTTGACACTAAGAACTGAGACTTGAGACTAAGAACTGAGACTTGACACTATGAACTGAGACTTGACACTAAGAACTGAAACTTGACACTAAGAACTGAGACTTGACACTAAGAACTGAGACTTGACACTAAGAACTGAGACTTGACACTAAGAACTGAGACTTGACACTAATAACTGAGACTTGACACTAAGAACTGAGACTTGACACTAAGAACTGAGACTTGACACTAAGAACTGAGACTTGACACTAAGAACCGAGACTTGATACTAATAATAATGCTAGCTCAGGGAAAATTGAACGATCAATGTATACTAAAGGTGTTCATAAGATGTCATCGTTGTTACTCTGGACTGACCCCATCACCAACATCACCATCACACCACCACCACCACCACCACCATCACCAACATCACCATCACACCACCACCACCACCACCATCACACCATCACAGAACTCTCCTGCTGGAGAGGAAAGAGTTTCTACTCTTGGCTGTAAATCAGGAATTATCATTATTATTTGGAGAGCTTGCCAGGTGGTGGGTGTAAACTCAGGAGCCTTCACTGCCCCAAACTCCAGTGTACTTGTGAAAGTTTCCATTCACCTGGGCTGCAGGAGGCTCGAACCCTGAACCCCCATGCGTGCGAGGCCTAAGCTCTATCGACTGGGTTATGAGTAGTGTTAATAACGAAAATTTACACACAGAGATCACACTGACGTGATGCATCAAGTGAACAAATCCACAAGGGCCTTGACGAGGATTCGATTCGATAACGAATTAAGGCAGTGTCTGGGATGTTCCCGGACGCAGGTTCGAATCCTCGTCACGGTCCTTGTGGATTTGTTCAAGGAAAGTTTCTCACACGTGTGGAGGCCATAGTTCAAGTCTCCTACAGCCCTAGTGAATGGAATGTTCATTTCCACTGAAGTGTAGATGACAATTTGTTGTGTCAGTTTGTTCAGAGTTTAGTAAAGCGGCCTTAATAACCCTTCAGAGAGTCCTGGAGCCCAAAACTAACCTTTCCCCGGTTAGGAAAATCCTCTGACACAAGAGGACTAAGCTACGAGAACAGGTTGTAGGAACTCAATCCTTCAACCCAAGAGAAGGAACAGAGGGGATATGATCACTACATAGAAGATATTGATGAGAATAGGCAAGGTGGACAAAGCCAGCTTCTTTAAGGCGAGACAAAAATTTCACAAGGGGACATAGATTGAAGCTGTAAACCGAATGAGCCAAAGAAACGTTCGGAAAAGCTCTCATACTCTGTACGGAGAGTTAACAAGTGAAATACACTGAAAGAAGAGGCTGTGGAAGCCACCTACATCCACAACATCATCTTGAGGTTATCTTGAGATGATTTCGGGGCTTAGTGTCCCCGCGGCCCTGTCCTCGACCAGGCCTCCGTTTTGTTACACACCCCCAGGAAGCAGCCCGTAGCAGCTGTCTAACTCCCAGGCACCTATTTACTGCTAGGTGATCAGGGGGAGGGGGGGTCAGGATGAAAGAAATTCCGCTCATTTGTTTCCGCCTCCACCTAGGATCGAACCCGGAACCTCAAGACTACGAATCCCGAGCGCCGTCCACTCAGCTGCCAGGCCCCTAGTTTGGGGGCTGTGAATACCAGTCATACGACACACAAAACTCGAACATCAATAATATTAAAATATATATATAACACCTGATACGATGAAGGTAGTATAGCCGAGGCGCAAAAAAAGACCTTCACTACCACGTAGGAAGGTGCGTAAGGGAGAGAGAGCCCTTACCTTCCCGTATAGGTAGAGTGTGGGACGGAGCGGCCGAGACAGCGAGGAGCGAGGCCGGAGATCTGGGGGACACTGAGACGGCGGCCGCAGCAACAGAGGCCAGGACAGGATGCTCGCGCTGGCATCACGGTGCCAGTAGTCGAGTATCTTCAAGACCCCGAGCCTAACATGCCTAACATGCGTAACATGCGTAACTGCCCGAAACGCTGCGTGTACTAGTGGCTTTACAAGAGTGTAAATACTGTACTATCCAATGTATTCTCACAAACCCAATGTACCTTCTTGTAGACTGTTGACCAGACCACACACTAGAAATTGAAGGGACGACGACGTTTCGGTCCGTCCTGGACCATTTTCAAGTCGATTGCATACCTTCGCCTGCATACCTTCGTATATATAAATAAATAAATAAATAAATAAACTCTGCTGGATCAAATATAAAGCAACACGAAATGACAGTCAAGGAAGTTGTTTCTTGGCTCTACCACTGATCTAAAGTATTATGGGAGCCGGTCGGCTGAGCGGACAGCACGCTGGACTTGTGATCCTGTGGTCCCGGGTTCGATCCCAGGCACCGGCGAGAAACAATGGGCAGAGTTTCTTTCACCCTATGCCCCTGTTACCTAGCAGTCAAATAGGTACCTGGGTGTTAGTCAGCTGTCAGGGGCTGCTTCCTGGGGGGTGGAGGCCTGGTCGAGGACCGGGCCGCGGGGACACTAAAAGCCCCGAAATCATCTCAAGATAACCATCTCAAGATATACCACTGTCATTATAGTGTAGAACAAACCACTGACACCAGCATACGTTAGATCGCTCCGAGGGCGAGACGTCTATTTTACGCTGCACGTCGTGAGGTTCCTCCCACATACGTCACGGTGGGTTAAAGGTCCGCTTGCGCAGCGACGTCACCGCGGTCTTAAGGTCCGCTTGCGCAGCGACGAGAAAAAGCACTTTAGGGCCGAGTAACGTTACGGGAAAACGCAACAATGGCGCCTTTTTTTTTTGGGGTTGTGGTCGGAAGCTCCCCGCGATAGTATGTCGGTGTGGCAGGATGCGCCCCGTCGTTGGGGACTTTTCCCGGCCCCCGGGGAGAGAGTCGGGAAACTTCCCCTCTTGGCTGTATTTATAGTAAGTCACCATCATAGTACGCACGTACGTTCACGTGTATATACATCGCGTACGTACATATCCATACACACAATTTACATACAAACAACGCACGTACACACACACACACTCATACACACTATGAATGCATATACACACGACTTCAAAATTACCTATTGTCAAACACAAAATGATGTTTGCGAGAAAAGGCTATAAAACCCTCAAATAAAAAAAAGCCAGTGGAGACATATTTACCACATACAAAATTATCAAGGAAATAGACAGGACAGATTATTTAGAATGGACGTTACATAAACAAAGGAACAGTTTGAAAAGTATTAATAATTATATTCTTACTAGGCTTAGGAACAATAAAGTATATAGGGGTAAATATGCTTCACTCACGTGTTCCACGGATTATATATATATATATATATATATATATATATATATATATATATATATATATATATATATATATATATATATATATATATATTTATATATATATATTTATATATATATATTTATATATATATATTTATATATATATTTATATATATATATTTATATATATATATTTATATATATATATATTATATATATATATATATATATATATATATATATATATATATATATATATATATATATATATATATATATATAAGAGAGAGACAGGCCTCTTTATGACATCAGCTGTGAGGTGAATCCTGAAATTCATTTGGATTACGAAGCCTTGTCAATAACAAAGCAGTTTGAGCTAATTGCCTGCCTGTTGAAACATGCAAATATAGTATAAATGATAATGTCTATCTGACCCCCATTAATAAGCACAGGTAGTGAGGTCTGATGCTTACCCTTACCTGGCCCTCTTGTGTACTGGGTTTCTGAAGCGTCTTTACGGGCTCACCATAGCCCGTGCTACATGAACATTTCGTTCTGAGTAGCTAAACCCTTTAGCTACTCAGAACGAATATCAATTAGGATAATTAGCTGTTATTAATCAGCACTGATTATATAGTAGTGGTTTGTATTATAATTGAAATATCTGCTGTTGCGTACTTAGGGATAATTCCTCGATAATCATACTGGCTTTATACACTATAATACTGTGGTATATTTAAACTCATCGCAATCACCTTGTGGAACTCTCTTAGCTGTGCTTGCGGGGGGGGGGGGGGTTGAGCTTCGGCTCACTGGCCCCGTCTCTCAACTGTCAATCACTTTCAAGACTATGGTATTAATGGTAATTCATGGTAGTGTGTTAATGGGTGTTCCCAGCACATAGGTCCCGGTCCTCCCTCATGGCTCATACTGATTTTCTCATTAATGGTAATGCTTTAATAATGGGCAAATCCACAAGGGCCGTGATGAGGGTTCGAACCTACGTCCGGGATGATCCCAGACGCGCCTCAGCCAACCGTCAATAATGGGATTTAATAATGGGATTCGTGTCACCAAAAGTTTACTCTTGTGTGACTTTAAATGGTTGTGATATTGAGGGTACTAGAGTCTGCTGTCAGTGTGTGGTACGCCTGAAGACACACGTCAACACCTGAAGAGACACATCAACGCCTGAAGACACACATCAACACCTGAAGACACACATCAACGCCTGAAGACACACATCAACGCCTGAAGACACACATCAACGCCTGAAGACACACATCAACGCCTGAAGACACACATCAACGCCTGAAGACACACATCAACGCCTGAAGACACACATCAACGCCTGAAGACACACATCAACACCTGAAGACACACATCAACGCCTGAAGACACACATCAACGCCTGAAGACACACATCAACGCCTGAAGACACACATCAACGCCTGAAGACACACGTCAACGCCTGAAGACACACGTCAACGCCTGAAGACACACGTCAACGCCTGAAGACACACATCAACGCCTGAAGACACACATCAACGCCTGAAGACACACGTCAACGCCTGAAGACACACATCAACGCCTGAAGACACACATCAACGCCTGAAGACACACATCAACGCCTGAAGACACACATCAACGCCTGACGACACACATCAACACCTGAAGACACACATCAACACCTGAAGACACACATCAACACCTGAAGACACACATCAACACCTGAAGAGACACTTCAATACCTCAGGACACAATCACACTAACCTCGTTAAGAACAACAATCACTGAGGAGGTTTAGAAGTTGAGCTGAATCCAGCTACCGAACCTGAAGACACTAGAACCCCGTCCAGGTACATCCAGGTACAATTAGGATACATTGATAAAGTCATATAAGTATAAATCTTACAACACTAGAGATAAGCGTCAGATGGGGACATGATCACGACATACTCGCGGATCAGGCAAACTGGGTCACACTGGCAGCTTCCGAAGATTGTGTAATGCATCCCACGTCGCCACTCAGTGACCGCCTCGACGGGATCCTTCTTCAGTAACTGCATAAACCTTTTCTGTAATCGCGTGTTATATTATTGCAAAGTGCATAACAATTCCATTTATCAACATTCCTGAGGTTATCTTGAGATGATTTCGGGGCTTTTTAGTGTCCCCGCGGCCCGGTCCTCGACCAGGCCTCCACCCCCAGGAAGCAACCCGTGACAGCTGACTAACACCCAGGTACCTATTTTACTGCTAGGTAACAGCAGTAACAATAGGGTGAAAGAAACTCAGCCCATTGTTTCTCGCCGGCGCCTGGGATCGAACCCAGGACCACAGGATCACAAGTGCAGTGTGCTGTCCGCTCGGCCGACCGGCCGATTCTATATTAAAAGTCGTTTCAATTTGCATGCAACCCGACAGAGAGGAGTTCTAATGGGAGTGCCTTGGGGTCGTTGGCAGGGAGAGTGGTGGGAAGGGGGGAAAGGGGAAGGGGTTGGGGTGCAGGGGAAGGGTTGCAAGAGGAAGGGGGAGGGGGGGTCGAAGGATTGAGGGGGGAAGACGCTTCACTTTCTCCTGCTGGTGCAAGGTCATCACCCAAGTCTTCACCTCTTCTTGTAGTTATTATTTTCTCCTCCAGGCTACGCTTCACACACCCCAGAAGTGACTCGAACCCATACTGCCAGGAGCACTATGCAACTGGTGTACAGGAGACCTTCAACGGTGTTTACACCGGTCTCCAGCACGTGTGTTTGTTTACAGCGGTCTCCAGCACGTGTGTTTGTTTACAGCGGTCTCCAGCACGTGTGTTTGTTTACAGCGGTCTCCAGCACGTGTGTTTGTTTACACCGGTCTCCAGCACGTGTGTTTGTTTACAGCGGTCTCCAGCACGTGTGTTTGTTTACAGCGGTCTCCAGCACGTGTGTTTGTTTACAGCGGACTCCAGCACGTGTGTTTGTTTACAGCGGTCTCCAGCACGTGTGTTTGTTTACACCGGTCTCCAGCACGTGTGTTTGTTTACACCGGTCTCCAGCACGTGTGTTTGTTTACAGCGGTCTCCAGCACGTGTGTTTGTTTACACCGGTCTCCAGCACGTGTGTTTGTTTACACCGGTCTCCAGCACGTGTGTTTGTTTACACCGGTCTCCAGCACGTGTGTTTGTTTACAGCGGTCTCCAGCACGTGTGTTTGTTTACAGCGGTCTCCAGCACGTGTGTTTGTTTACACCGGTCTCCAGCACGTGTGTTTGTTTACACCGGTCTCCAGCACGTGTGTTTGTTTACACCGGTCTCCAGCACGTGTGTTTGTTGTTTGTTTCATGTTTGACAACATGAAAGCTTGACCAAGCGAGAGGCTACTAGAGTTTAACTCAAGCAAATGCAAGGTAATGAAACAAGATATTGGAAATGGATGACGGGCCACAAGAGGTGCCCCAGCTGAGAAGTAACCCTCCTAGACTCGAAAGTGGAAAAAAAGACTTGTAGACTGACATTACCTCGAAGCTGTCGCTATAAGCCCACATTAAAACAGACATCAGCCGTTACACATCCAAAGTTACCACCATAAAAAATCTGAGCAAGAAGCTGTATTACAGGGCCTTGTATGCCACACACACATGTCAGGACCCATTCTGTAATATACGGTACCAGCGTGCAGGCCCAGAGCTGAAGGGTATGAGTTACATGGCATACCCAAGCCCAGGCACCTTGCATTTGCTTGAGTTAAACTCTAGTAGCCTCTCGCTTAGTGAAGCATTCATGTTGTCAAACATGTTAAGGTGAATAAACCTCGCGCTACTGGAAGCTAGAAGAATCTGGTATGATATGATTACAACGTATCAAATACAAGAATGTAAAAACTCTTGAATATATATATATATATATATATATATATATATATATATATATATATATATATATATATATATATATAAACATACACCATTCTTGGGGGCAATTAACAGAACAGACAAAGATGGACAAACAAAAGCAACAGAGTTCTTGTTTGTCAGAACACAAACTCAAACAACTGGAAACTAAGTACACAGATGAGCCAGAAAAAAAAACACAAAAAAATATATATTTCATTGTCAGAATAGTGAACAAATGCCATGTTTAGTTCATTTATTATGCGCCCCATACCCATCCAGTGGGCGGAGGTGGAAAGGTCACAATCACCATTATTTCTTATCTATAATGATTAACAAACTGGAGATATTTGGCTAAAATTTGTGGAAGTAGATCATTTTGAATTAAGTATTTACACATTTCTTGATCATTTATTTTAGAACTGTCTCTAAATTCACGCATCTCTTCGCACTCCACCACGTGTATAGTGACGGAGGGTGTGGTTATATTGAGATGATTTCGGGGCTTAGCGTCTCCGCGGCCCGGTCCTCGACCAGGTCTCCTTTTTGTTACACATCCCCCAGGAAGCAGCAGCCCATAGCAGCTAACTCCCAGGTACCTATTTACTGCTAGGTAACAGGGGGCATCAAGATGAAAGAAACGTTTTGCCCATTTGTCTCCGTCTCCACCTGGTGAACAATTCTCCTAACAGTTTACATTTGGTCAGCTCTACGTCAACAGGCAATGTAAATTCCCCCCCCCCCCCCACAGATACTTATTATAATTTTAACTAGATAATGATTAGTATTCATATGCAGGTGATGAGTCACAATAACGTGGCTGAAGTATGTTGACCAGACCACACACTAGAAGTTGAAGGGACGACGACGTTTCGGTCCGTCCTGGGCCATTCTCAAGTCGATCCTTGAGAATGGTCCAGGACGGACCGAAACGTCGTCGTCCCTTCAACTTCTAGTGTGTGGTCTGGTCAACATGATTAGTATTGTTATAACCGAGTCTAAGCAGACTCCATGCAGAGCATCAGATGTAAATATGACAGCCCATGGAGACTCGGGAACTTGTAATCCAGTAAAATAAAGGTCGAAAAACTGAACTAAGGAACTAAAATTCAACTCCCGCAAGTACAAAAATGTACGAGAAACAATGGGCAGAGTTTCTTTCACCCTATGCCCCTGTTACCTAGCAGTAAAATAGGTACCTGGGTGTTAGTCAGCTATCACGGGCTGCTTCCTGGGGGTAGAGGCCTGGTCGAGGACCGGGCCGAGGGGGACACTAAAAAGCCCCGAAATCATCTCAAGATAACAATTAGATGAGTACACATACACACATTAGAATACGTCCATATGTAGGTATAAACACATAAGTTGTACTCGCTGTTCTCCTTAAATATAAGTCACGTTAACACACCCACAGTTGCTCCTCTACTCATACAAATATCCTACCAAGGAAAACTGCTTTTGTTCTCTTAATATTCCTTATCTGGTCTCACCTACTTGACGAACGACAAAACGAGAATGTTCACAACTTTCACTGGCATGAAGACAGCCTTGTTGGGCTCGAGTGTGTCACCGTGGAGACAAACTATTTTATATATAATTATCGTCATCAGTGTGACGAAGTCGCTATGATGTTGCGGTAGATGTCAGTACCGCCTCCACCCTCGTCCGGGGCATCAATCAGATGCTCATCTCCGGCGTCTGATTGGTGATAACCTCCAGGTCAGTTCACGGAGATGCACAAGGGCATCGGACGTAACAAGCAGAGGCTTCTGGCTTCTTGTGTAAGATGCGATATTGGTTTGCTGTCCATTGTGACTAGAATGAACTCGGAGACAGAGAGAGAGAGGTGTCCTCGCGCGAGACTCGCATGAATACCAACATCGACAGATTACCTCTGAAGTGGCACAATTGGCGAATAATGAAGAGAATTCCGTAGCTGGCGCGGAGTCTGACCTTGGGCGAGCAACTGTATGGAATTTTAACGGGGTGGAAGGAAAGGTAGAAGTGCACACCTCACCTTCCTCGCCCTGGCCCTCTCCCCGGGGATTAAACATGGTACCATCGCGTATAAGTCTGCATGACAAACCTTGACCATAACAGAGAGAGACAACACGTAGTGTCGTCCAAAGTGGGGCAGGAGTTTTTACATTTACATTTTACAATAGAGGCGCGTTTGCTCTGTGAGAGTGTCGACAAGCCCTGTAAAATGTGTCTGTGCCCTTCAACTTCTGAGCTGCTGTTACCTGCAAGAACCTGTCTTATCCCGCATAACGAATTACCAACAAATGACTTGCTAATCTTTGCTTTACATGGCATTGCACCAGATGGCTGCTCTTCATAAAATTGTAGGGTAGCCATAACATGTAAACCTGCCAATGGTGCATTGGAACGCTTAAAAAAAAGTGTCAGAAAAGAATATTCATTTTCTGTAATGTGATGATGAGCAGGCGGCTGTCAGAGCCCCCGAAGTGAGTCAGGACGGTTGATGCAACCAAGTTTGTGTTTATCACTAGGCTAGCAGAGTTGGGCCGGGGGAGAAAGTGAAATATCTCTCAACATAGAAACACCTACACGACCACATGCTCCCCCATGGACGTGACCTAATGCTAGCAACACATTCCAGGTAGAACCATCTGCTCCATCAACCCCCCCCCCCCCCACTTCCCCACACACAGGTGTTCCATATATTGACAGGCTACATAGCCTTCCCGGCTTGGTGCCTTCTTTTGCTAATTACTTACACCGCGTACTTGCCCAGTCTCGAGTAATCAACAGAGAGGGATAATAATAGGTAGATTTCATATAATAATTTAATAACAAAACACACCTTACACCTTACTTTGCTCCTCATCTCTCGTGCCTATTTATTATCTGTCTCTACTTCCTCATCTCAATCGACTTGAGAATGGTCCAGGACGGACCGAAACGTCGTCGTCGTCCCTTCACCTTCTAGTGTGTGGTCTGGTCATCATACTTTAGCCACGTTATTGTGACTCATCGCCTGAAATTTAATAACAACCTGCTAGCAATAATTGTGATTAAATAAACAATAATAAACAATCCCAATAAATATTAAACACTTAATATAATATGTTATTAATATAATGTGTTAATGTAAACGTTCGTAACTTAGGCTTGACCACGACAGAAAAACCTTAACTTTGCATGTGAGCATCACATTAAATCGTAGCATTATTGATTTATATCAATAATGCTTAGGTACTGCTCTAGAACCTGTCCTCAGGGGAAAAATACGCTCACGGGAATGGATTGAGAATGACTACATAATTAGTGCTAATATCTACTTTTATGTTCATGGTTAGGTTAGGTTTCATTACGCGTGGTTACTTTAGTACGGTGTATTATTGATGATAATGGGAAATATGGAATTTGAAAACTATTTCAGTGTACCCGAGAATTCCATTCACTGAAAACGAAATTCTTCAAAGAAAATGTTTTCAGCATACACTTTTTATATTTTAAACTAACAATTTATAATACAATAAACTTAATCTCAGTTTTCAACTAAGGTTAATTTGCCAGTTTACATGTAGACTATAACTAGAACCGTAATATGCTTTCAGACCATCACAAATATCTAGATAACTATCCAGGTGGTTTGGGGGGAAGGGGGGGGGGGGAGGGTTTCGCATAGTAATGGATTTGCTTTTAGGACAAGCTCCTAAATAATATATAATGTTTCAACTCAGAATCAATTTAGTAGCGAAGCTGAAAAAATATTTTATAACCAATACACATTTCACCTTGTTTCGACCCCAGACAGCCAGGGCACCATACACCCCAGTGTAAACAGTACTATACCAACTAGAGTATTTGTGTGTATTTGTACTGAGTATTTGTGTTACTCACGAGGACCCAACAGTGAGGTAATACAATGAAATATATGTTCCTTAAAATTGACCGTCGAGTGCTGTCGGAGGTTGGGGTAAAAGTCTCACGGCTTCCAATCTGTTTGTACAGTCAGTATGGTCTATTTGGTATAGTACTGGATATGTTAGGGTTCATGGAGCCCAAGCTGTTTTGGTTCGAATCATTTAGGGTGAGGTGTGTGTGTGTATTCACCTAATTGTGCTTGCGGGGGGGTTGAGCTCTGGCTCTTTGGTTCTGCCTCTCAACTGTCAACTGATGTACATATTCCTGAGCCTACTGGGCTCTATCATATCTACATTTGAAACTGTGTATGGAGTCAGCCTCCACCACATCACTGCCTAATGCATTCCACTTGTTAACTACTCTGGCACTGAAAAAGTTCTTTTTAACGTCCCTGTGGCTCATGTGGGTACTCAGTTTCCACCTGTGTTCCCTTGTTCGCGTCCCACCCGTGTTAAACAGTTTGCCTTTATCTACTCTGTCAATTCCTCTGAGAATTTTGTAGGTAGTCTCCCCTTACTCTTCTGTCTTCCAGTGTCATGAGTTGCATTTCCCGCAGCCTTTCTTCGTAACTCATGCCTCTTAGTTCTAGAACTAGCCTAGTGGCATATCTCTGAACTTTTTCAAGCTTCGCCTTGTGCTTGACATGGTACGGGCTCCATGCTGGGGCCGCATACTCCAGGACTGGTCTGACATATGTGGTGTACAAGGTTTGTGTGTGTGTGTGTGTGTATTCACCTAGTTGTGCTTGCGGGGGTTGAGCTCTGCTCTTTCGGCCCGCCTCTCAACTGTCATTCAATCAACTGTTACTAACTACTAACTAATTTTTGTGTGTGTAAACATTTGTGTACGCTAATGTTATAAACTAACTCAAACCACAAAATCAGTATTGAAATTTACTGTCGGAAAACATCACAACAATAAAGCAGATATGGACAAACACAAGACAAACAAAAATGCATCGTTTATTTATTAATTGAAGAAAACAACAAAACATTAGAAATAAGGGAAATTATCATCATCTTAGTTTAGATGGCAATAATAATAATAATAATAATAATAATAATAATATAGGTAGCACGTTCTGAAATAACTCCTAATGAGAAACTGGCGTGGCTCAGGTCAGCAGATATGGCCAAGCTCAACAGGTGTGACCAAGCTCAACAGGTGTGTCACCACTGCTAGCTGAAGCCACACGTGTGTCTCAACTCAGCTGTCTTTGTCTAACACCCTCAAACCATTACACTAACAAAGCTCATTGTTAATTTTGTAACTGTTGCTTACCACCCTTTTGTTTCGACCAAATGTTTTGGATATTTTCGCATTCTGGGTGAATGTGGGGTCCAGTGAAGTGTACCTGGGCCGGTATTGGGTTCACGGGGATCTGTTTAGGGGTTCGTGGGGTCTCAGGGATCTGTTTAGGGGTTCGTGGAGTCTCAGGGACCTGTTTAGGGGTTCGTGTGGTCTCAGGAATCTGTTTAGGGGTTCGTGGGGTCTAAGGGATCTGTTTAGGGGTTCGTGTGGTCTCAGGAATTTGTTTAGGGGTTCGTGGGGTCTTAGGGATCTGTTTAGGGGTTCCTGGGGTCTCAGGGATCGGTTTAGGGGTTCGTGGGGTCTCAGGGATCTGTTTAGGGGTTCGTGGGGTCTCAGTGGTGCCGGCAACAGTAACGACGGTATGACGAACATAAGAACATTAAAATACGGGAACTGTAGAGGGTTTATTGGCCCGTATGAGGAGACTGGTGGGTCTGTATGGTGATGTTTGTCTTCAGGTCCGGTGTCAGCATTCTCGCTGGAAGGTCACTATCTCTTCTCGCGGCTATTCCTGTCTTCCTGCTCACCGCTGTGGTTTCTGTGCTCATTGCTGTGGTGTCTGTGCTCATCGCTGTGGCGTCTGTGCTCATCGCTGTGGTTTCTGTGCTCATCGCTGTGGTGTCTGTGCTCATCGCTGTGGTGTCTGTGCTCATCGCTGTGGTGTCTGTGCTCATCGCTGTGTCTGTGCTCATCGCTGTGGCGTCTGTGCTCATCACTGTCCTCATCCCTGTGCTTGCTATGCTCACTGCTATAGGAGTACACATTTCTGTGATGCTCTACGTTTTCTCCCACGGTGGTGTGGTCATCTCCCCGTTTGTTGACCCCTTCATCAGAGACACTAGAGACCCGCGTGTATGTAGTGATGACCTCGTCCTCCTGCGTGTCAGAGAGCTCGGGCTGGGTGCCAGCAGGGACCTCTTCGGGCTTCTGAATTCGCACCTTGGGATAGAACCCGTAACCTTCATCCACCACAGTCTCCCCAGTTAAGATGTCTGGTTTAGCGGGGTTAATGGTGTCAGCCAAGACAGCCGTCGAGATGTCCGGTTTAGCGGGGTTAATGGCGTCAGTCAAAACAGCCGTCGAGATGTCCGGTTTATCGGGGTTAATGGTGTCAGTCAACACAGCCGTCGAGATGTCCGGTTTAGCGGGGTTAATGGCGTCAGTCAACACAGCCGTCAAGATGTCAGGTTTATCGGGGTTAATGGTGTCAGCCAACACAGCCGTCGAGATGTCCGGTTTGTCGGGGTTAATGGTGTCAGTCAAGACAGCCGTCGAGATGTCCGGTTTATCGGGGTTAATGGTGTCAGTCAAGACAGCCGTCGAGATGTCCGGTTTATCGGGGTTAATGGCGTCATTCAACACAGCCGTCGAGATGTCTGGTTTAACGGGGTTAATGGTGTCAGTCAACACAGCCGTCGAGATGTCCGGTTTAGCGGGGTTAATGGCGTCAGTCAACACAGCCGTCGAGATGTCCGGTTTATCGGGGTTAATGGTGTCAGTCAACACAGCCGTCAAGATATCCGGTTTAGCGGGGTTAATGGTGTCAGTCAAGACAGCCGTCGAGATGTCCGGTTTATCGGGGTTAATGGCGTCAGTCAACACAGCCGTCGAGATGTCCGGTTTATCGGGGTTAATGGCGTCAGTCAACACAGCCGTCAAGATGTCAGGTTTATCGGGGTTAATGGCGTCAGTCAACACAGCCGTCGAGATGTCCGGTTTAGCGGGGTTAATGGCGTCAGTCAACACAGCTGTCGAGATGTCCGGTTTAATGGGGTTAACGGTGTCAGACAAAACAACAATTGCGACATCTTGTTCAATAGGAACTTCGGCGTCAGACAAAATAGCAGTTGCGATATCTTGTCCGCCAGGAACATCAGAGTTGGACAAAACACCAATCACAATATCTGGTTCAGTGAGGACAAAGGTGTCGGACAAAACAGAAGTCGCAACATCTACTCCAGCAGGAGGAACAGTGTTAGGTAACACCGCTTCTGTTGTTAATTCGTCATGTCGTTCTACCACCGTTATACCTGCATTTGCTGTATCAGCAGAGGCGACAGTGACAGAATCCAGTGCCTCATCTATTGTGTCTTCTCGTACGGTGGTGGCCACAGTTTCAGACAGCACTGACTCTTCTGTTGTGCCGTCTAACTGAACAGAAGTGACAGTATCAGGTAACACCTCTTCTGTTGTGTCCTGTGGTTCAACAGGGGCGATATTCACCCGTATCACTGCCTCTGGATCCGAATTGTCAAACTCAACTGGAAGAACAGTCGACTCAACCTCCGCCTCCACTGTTGTGGTCTCTGAGTCCACGGAAGCTCCTGTTACGACGATCAGGCCATTTATGCTCTCCCTTGTGCCATACTGGATGACCTGGTGTCCAAGGTACTTTATGGCCAACCACGCATCGTTGACCTGTCATGAGAGATTAAGAAATGTTAGCATATGGGCCAAGAAAAGTTGTTGTCAACGGATTAAGGGAACCTAAAGAAGATCAGATAGCTGAAAGAGATTGGAGATGATCAAGAGTTAACCCTTTACCTGCTAACGACGCTTATGAGCGTTTTACGGTAGTTCGATGTATGTTATTAACCACGTATATAAATGTAACGATAATGGGAATGAAATAGTCGAATTCTATATATTCCTGTACCCATTAAGATAATAAGATAAATATATGAAACTCGAGGAATAAAAATAAAGGTGAGTAGGCCAGAAGAACCCTCTCGAGGTCCCTTCTCTAGAAGTCTGAAGACGAAACGGAACGTGGCAAAGATGTGACTGAAGGTTCGTTTATCGGAACATGTATTCTCAAGTGTTTACTGGTAAAGCTACTCATACATAGTCCTGGAGTGACCGCTTCAAATCACATGTGAAGAGACTTTACCTAAAACATAATTTAACAACTAAACAAAATAAATAGATGGTAGATTTTAGCTCTGAAGGGTAAGTTATAAGACTGTAACTTAGACACTTAGTCCACACATCTAAACATACATTGACGACGTTTCTGTCCGTCCTGGCCCATTATCCAGGACGGACCGAAACGTTGTCACTTTCATTATAGATGTGTGAGTTGGGTGACCAAATGTTCATCCACGTTATTGTGACTTACGTTCTGTATACAACAACCCTTCTATAATATTTTAATTTACCCAAAGGCATGAGGGGCTGGATTAAAATGAATTACTTATTACCACATGTTAAAGTATTAAAATATATATGTCATGTTTAGTATTTAATAGATTCATACTTTAAGATGTGTTTATTATTCTATCTAGAAGGCTATTATTCTATCTAGAAAGGCTAGTAAATCATGGAGACAAGCCACTATTAGTAAGCACATACCAAGATGTAATCAACCATTAACTGAGGTAATCAACCATTGACTGAGGTGCATCGTGCATCAACTGTTACCTGGAGTGTAGCATTAAGGAGCATCAAAGGAGAGGAAGGGGTACTCACAGTGGGTTGGATAAGTTCCGACGGCAAGATGAACCCGGCGCGTCCTTCGTCTCTGAGTTCGATGGTGTAGACGAGCGGTATGTCGCCCACTCCCGCTGCGAAGTCGTCGGAGGCCCCGGCCGCCGGGTCTGTGGGTGGGGCTCTGTTTACTGGGGCTTTTCATTAATCAGTGCCTAAGTTATTCACTAATCCAGGCGGGTATTGATAGAGGCAATTTTCATTATTTACTAACTCAGAGGTGTGTACTTTTGACAAGAAACTTTATCGTACTGGACTATTATCTATCACCATTACGTTAAATTTTCTTATTTGTAAGTTGTACTTACAAAGGATCTGTCCTGGACTGCCGACGGAGTAGGAGACACCCTCGCCCTCCAGGATGGCCTGCGCCATGCCTCGTCCAACATTCCCCTGAGAGGACAACACCCAGAGAATTATCTGGCCGCTTCATCTGTTCAAAACTGGAGCATTGAGTCGGTCAGCTACTCAATGACTTCGACGTTACCAGTTCTCTGACAGTCTTTTTTATAATAATTAATATTATTATAAGACTGTCTGACAACTGTAAATGTCAGTCATTGAATAGCTGACCGACTGAATGTCCCAGTTACCCAGTCCGCTGTGGCTAGGATAATGTGACTGGGTTGATAATTTAATAATTAGTAATAATTAGTTTTGTCGGGGCAGGAAGCTTGTGTGTGTGTGTGTGTGTGTGTGTGTGTGTGTGTGTGTGTGTGTGTGTGTGTGTGTGTGTGTGTGTGTATGTATATGTATATATATATATATATATATATATATATATATATATATATATATATATATATATATATATATATATATATATATATATATATATATATATATATATATATATATATATATATATATATATATATATATATATATATATATATATATAACTGAAAACTCACACCCCACCTGAAAACTATGTCCGGTCGTGATGGTCAAGTGGATTAAGGCGTCTTGTACATACCAGATGCGTTGCTTCTGGGAGTATGGGTTCGAGTCACTTCTGGGGTGTGAGTTTTCAGTTGCATATGTCCTGGGACCATTCAGGCTTGTTCGCATATATATATATATATATATATATATATATATATATATATATATATATATATATATATATATATATATATATATATATATATATAATCTCCCCCATGGTAGAAATACTGACCCTCCCCAGAATGCAACCCCACAACAGTTGCTTAAATCCCAGGTACCTAATTACTGCTACACTTATTAAAGAATGTTTAGATCATTGAAGAATTTTTAGTTATCTCTCTAACGTGTAATATCGGACGGGTAACACATAGTAAAATGATATGTAAATAAAATTATAATTTTCGATCCCTACGCTTGTGCTGAGCATATGCACTGTACAGAAGTCCTATTGAGTCCATCATGTACGGTACATGGTGGAATGATTCACTGTGCTGGTGGAAGGGTGCTGGAGTATGTACTCACGAGCCTGTCGGCGTTGCTTCTGATGACGGAGGAAGTGTATCCCCAGGGGTGGAGGATGAACTGCCCGTACGAGTGAATGCTGACGTAAGCCTGAAATACAAGATCTGGTTACTCATCTCTTGACTTCCCACAACTTAACCCGTTCCCTTCCTCACCATCTTCTACCTAACCTGTTCCCCCTTCCTCACAATTCTCTACTTCACCTATACCTGCTATCACTGCTACGCCAAGACTATAGTTCCCGCTCAGATGAGGGGACACACCCGGGCGTAGCTCTCGTACAAGGGGACACACTGAAGGTAAACAACACCTGCCCAGGGAAGGGGTCATCACTCTAAAACGTTTACAAATCGATGATAAAGTCTCTTACTTGCTAAATAAATATTGCAACGCAGTCTTTTTATCGATATTTACTCTCATTATTTTAATTGTTATTGTTATTATTATTATATAATAATAATACAAATAATAATATTTATCATCACAAAAATGCTTGTTTTATTTTAATTATTGTTTTAGGGCTCTCCCTCTGACACACACACACACACACACACACACACACACACACACACACACACACACACACACACACACACACACACACACACGCACGACTCTGACCTGTGTGCGACTCTTGTCCTGCAGGAGGGTGTCCCTAAGGGCCCTGGCCTCAGGTTCGCTGAAGGGCCCGGGTCCCTTGTAGATACTGGAACAGGGTTTGCTGCTGGTGCCCGTCTCTGTGGGTGCCGCAAGTGCCCCAGGAGGGGGGAGGGAGAAGAGCAGATAGAGGTATGGGTCATTCTTGAACGTTAAGCTGCTATAATCTCTCACTCTCACCAGTTACATACTGGTACGAGAGAATTATTATACATGTAAACACATATGCTAATGTTTAAACTCTTATAACCTCATTCCCTGCTCTAAATTTTGGGTTCGCTGTTGTTCTGGCCTGTAATGTGTCTTCTTTTGTTAGGTAAAATAGCTATTATGAGTTTGGTGTGTCTGTTTGTCTCCATCCCATTATCCCCTTATCTGTTGGATGTTTCATTTGGTAAAACAAATAAATAAGCTGGAATATTTTAGTACCCCACAAAATAATAAATTATTCATTTTCTATGAAGACCCAAGTCGTCTTTTTAAAGGATAACTTTGATAATGTTTCCCCCTCCATGGGATGTTACTGTCTTGCAAGGTTCTGTTTCACATCATTATGACAGTAATTTCCTACCTTATTTTTCTTTTTTAAACCTTTTTTTTAGTTCTCCTCCATCTCTCTCGCTTGTCCTACATTCTTAATGCCCATGTTTCCTGTCGCCGACCTTTTTAACACGGCCCTTACTATGTGCATGTCTTTTTTCCAATTTCTTCCCCTTTCATTTTGGTTCTCAGGTGGCGGGTGTTATATAACTGTTTTTGCTGTCAGTTGTACTGTTAATGACATTGTCTTCCAAGAGGGTTCAAAGGGCTAAAGCATTTCCCCTTTCAAATGTGTTTAGACTTTCATTTAATAAATCAGCAATTATTGATCTCTTTGTATATATATATACTAGTACTAAATTTGGATGAGTGGGTAGCACAAGGTAGGACACTATGAGGATGAAATTAGGTACTTTTTGGTTTTACTTTTGAATAAAGAATAGGTTGAAAAAAAATTAATTAGGGAGTGATCACGTTCAAAAAGACTGGGTCTTTTTGTTTGCACAGATTTAGTCTGACTCTAGTGATATCAATGAGATTTATTTCTGGTGTGGTGCTCATTGGTTTTATTACATCTATCAAAGAAGAGTTTCAGATCATAATTAGCGTTTAGGAACAAGGTTTTGTAAACATAAAAAGCACAAGAGAATGTGTGGAGTGAACTCATGTTTAGGGATTTAAACAGAGAGGTTGTTTGTTGTTGTCCCCTTCTCTCAGAAAGAAATTGAATTGAAATTCAGAAAATGTATTATTGAGAAACACGGAAACAATACGCCCGAAACGCCGTGCGTATTAGTGGCTTTAGGCTTTATATGTACCATCCCTATCTAGAAATCCAACATTATGTTTGTAACTCATCTTGTATGTATGTACTTTTACCTGAATAAACAGATTCAGATGATTCAGATTCAGATTCAGATGTTTATTCAGGTAAGGTATATACATACAAGTGATGTTACATTAATGGATTGATATATAGATAGAGCTAGTACATACAATGCCTAAAGCCACTATTACGCAATGCGTTTCGGGCAAGTTGATTTGAGATTTGATTTGATTTGATTGAGATTTGAAACATTTGATTTGAGTGGCTTTAGGCATTGTATGTACTAGCTCTATCTATAAATCCATCAACTTTTGTATCTTACCTTGTATGTATGTACTTTACCTAAATAAATATTTGTATTTGTATTGTATTTGTATTTGATTTGAAATGTACGGGTCTCGGAAATTATATTATGACATTTAAAACTCCACGTTAACCACATGCCATATTACATGCTTGACTACAAGAAAAGAGCTTTCTGGTGTTTATATTTGCTAATATTTATTAAATAATTTAACTTTGGCCTAACCCGACCTGCCAATGTCCATCCCGAACCCCACACCATTCCCCCTGCCAATTTGAGTGAGGCTACCCCTAACCTTCTGGCTTCCAACTTTAGACAGACAAACATTTCTTATAACAGATCATTTTCAAAGAATAAATAGTACTCTCACCAGAAACAACTAAAAAAATGATTGCATAATTCTAATTCAAGAAATTTCTAATAAAGATTACGCAGCAAATCGCTGTGTACTTGAAGAAAGTTGGGACTGGTGTCCGAGCCTTGCTCACCTCCCCAGTGGAAGTCGAAGTTCCTGTTGAGGTCGACACCGGGGCACTTGGCGGAGGATGTCTGCGCCCGATTCTTCCTCCAGAGGCGATCCTGGGCGAGGTGTTGTAAAGGTAATGATAGGTTCTTATGCCAGACTTACAAGGTAACCCCTAACGTTAATTATACATTGTAACAGCGTGACAAGGTGTGTTATACAGTTGTGTTTACGTTATGTGTTTGCTGGGTGGCACTCATGATCTTGGTGAAGTTTGGGGGAAGGGGAGACAGGGGACGGCACTCATTGTATGTGCTCCTGTATAATGGGAATGGGTTCGTACAGCAATCTTGGGAATAGGTCGTGACAGTATCCCGAATGTAAGGTGGTATAGGGGGCTAGAACGTGAAAGAAATGGGAGGGAGAAGAGACAGAAGGAGGGGGTGTGAGACACGGAAGGAGGGGTGAGAGACGGAAGGAGAGGTGAGGGAGAGAGGGCCTGGGGAGGAACAGAGCGGAAGGGGTGCGGACTGACCTTGGTCCAGGTGTGGATGTACCCGTCGGGGTTGAGTAGAGGCATGACCCGCCACTCCACGTCACGGGTAAGCGCCGGATTCTCCAGCAGGCGGCCCACCACGTTCAGCGCCGCCGACGGACTGATCCACTCACGGGCGTGGATACCTGGAGACAGATGGACTCCATCACCACTTCGTGAGATCGACTTAGCACTTAACAAGTTGGACTTTCTTAGTGAGAAGGACTCGGCGTTTAGACAACCCCACCACTTAATGAGTGGGATTCAGCGCTAAATGAGTCGCAACCATTAGAAAAACAAATGAAATTACCAATCGAAAATGAAAAAAAGGAGTTCAATTACCTCCGTCGATGAAGACAATTGGTTTGTTGTTGTTGTTGTTGGAGGAGGAGGTGATGGTAAGGAGATAGAGAGGACGACCTTCCACACTCCTCCCTACCTGCTTCAAGGTGACCAGTTCGGGATGAAGACTTGGCAGCTCCTCCACATGGGCTACGATCTGCAAAGAACCCACACACACAGACATCAGTCTTGTAATTAGAGTACAATAAATATATTAATGAATGGAATACAGTATGTGGACTAACATTCAGTGACTTATGAACAAACAACGGATGCAGTGATGGGTTGAGGGAGTAATCAGAGGCATTATCTATGGGGCGACACTTACCTCCTCGTAGCTCATGTAACGCTCGAAGGTGACGGTTCCGGGGGTGACGGGCTCGGCTCTTAGGGAGTATCCGTCTGACTCCAGCTCCCTGAGGGGAGAGAAGAACGCTCACCAACACTATACGAGGAAACCTGTATCTCTCTTTGACTCTAGAAGCTCTATGTCTCACTCTGGAAGCTGTATGTCTCACTCTAGAAGCTGTATGTCTCACTCTGGATGCTATGTGTCTTATTCTGGGAACTATAGCTGTCTCGCTCTGGAAGTGTTGTCAGTTGCATGAGCTGAGCCAACACTGGCTCCTCAGTGTACACAAACTGACCACAAGAATGAGAAAAAGAGCCTGACCTGACACTGTCCTCCTGACACTGTCCTCCTGACACTGTCCTCCTGACACTGTCCTCCTGACACTGTCCTGCTGACACTGTCCTCCTTACATCACTCACATCTTTGTACTGACCTGGACCTCACCTAGGCCTCCTGACACTCAACTAAGTTCTTCTAAACCGCACCTAAGCCTCTTGACACTAACTCTAGGCCTTCTTACGTTCACTTAAGCCTCCTGACTCTCACCAAAGCCTTCTGAGAGTCAATTAGGCCTCCTCACCTTCGCCTGGGGGCCGTCTCAGCCTCACCTAGGCCTCCTCACCTTCGCCTGGGCCGTCTCAGCCTCACCTAGGCCTCCTCACCTGGAGCTGAAGAACGTACCTGCCGAGGTCTTCGACAGCTGTCCTGAAGGTAATGTTGATGTTCTGAAGATGTTGGGTGACGTCTTCGAACCCTTTCGGTGATACTGCCAGCTCTGCCACACCTGCCAGGTACAGTGAGGAACTCTCATTACCACTGTCAGGTACAGTGAGGAACTCCCATTATCACTGTCAGGTACAGTGAGGAACTCTCATTATCACTGACAGGTACAGTGAGGAACTCCCATTACCACTGCCAGGTACAGTGAGGAACTCTCATTATCACTGCCAGGAACAGTGAGGAACTCTCTTTAAGATTTTGGTGTTAATGTTTATAATTATCTCACGTCATTTGTTTTACAGTTGTAAGTGGAATACAGTGTAGCTACTCAGGCACACACACACACACACACACACACACACACACACACACACACACACGATATACTGCATAATTAACTAAGAAATACTTAAGAGGTTGTCTGTAAATGAAGATAACAAGGAACAATATGAACATGATAACGACTTAAAAGATTTAGAGGGAATTTAAAACTGCAAATAATTAATATTTCAAAATAATAATAATAGCAGAATGAGATTACATAATTGAAAACTGGAGACACAAATAAGTCAGAGTTGTAAAAATTTAATGAATAAATAGCTGTAAATCAGTGGAATGGGTTAAATTGGGAAGGAGTTGATGCTATCTCAATACCCATTTTTAAATGTGAGTATGATAAGAAAAACGAGAGAACATAGTCGTTACAGTGAGCGAAAATTGTCTCGAAATGCTTGGGGGCTTGGTAGCTGAAGCTCGACCAGGCAAGTACACTTGGGTGAGAGAGCACGAACCTTTACGATTGTGCTGCCTCAGGAGTTGTACGTTGAAGGTGTCGTCGAACTCCAGGAGGTTGACCTCCTCCGACCTCCCCTTGAGGTCCACCTCCAGCACCTGCCACCTGGATGATGAGTCGGAGGGTGACTATATAACTAGAGTAAGTGCATATATATATATATATATATATATATATATATATATATATATATATATATATATATATATATATATATATATATATATATATATATATATATATATATATATAATATTCTTCAAATTTATTTAACACAAACCTTTTGGAAAATAAACTCCATCATCGGTACCAAAACACAAGAACATAATTAGCAAAAATGTCTAAAAAATCATCAATAAAAAGTTCACATTATATAAATCAGTATCCATTAAAAAAATACTAAGACAATAAAACCCGAATATAAATTATATACAACGTAAATGACAAAAATTATTCACAAAATATAAAACATGAAAAGGCACCTCGAACACACTTCGAGATGACGAGGATGAGTGTAAACGCTTCAGATGTGAACTCTGAATCTTATTACACGAAAGATTCGTGTTGGAAGCGGCTTCCAACACGAAGCCTTCTTTCGTGTTGGCTTCCAAGAAAGCCCTCGTCATATACCTGCTTGACGAGGGTCCGGCCTCGTCAAGCAGGTATGTATAAGCTCTTAGCAATTTTGTCCTTGTTATCTCATTGTTGAGTGATTTCCGCGATCGAGATGGATTCCAAGATGATGTGTTCTAGTCGAAAATAACTGGATGTGAAGATAGTGAAGTTGATGTGAGTGAGGGAGGCGGTTCACTAAACCTTAAACACGGTATCTGCGAGAATATTGGGTATCTCTTACCGTCCAGGTGTGCCCCTTTAGGCAAGTTGCATCCTCTGGTATTAGAGATCAATGTGAAGAAATGAGTTCAAGTTCAAGTTCAAGTATGTTTATTGAGATAAGTAATAAATACATCTCAAAGGGATAGAGTAGCTTAGGCTATTTCTACCCCCCTCAAAGAAATGAGTTCCTCTTCACTTGCAGCGATTACACTGTTCTGACAGCCGGTTCTTTTCGACTAGATCTCAACATCTGTTAACTGGATTATTGATCCGATGTGGCACAAATGCCAGTCTTGTCGCTAGAGTTGAAAATCCCGCTCTTTCATTGACATTTATCGCGTGTAGGCTTGCGGGAGCTGCCACCATTGACATCCAGTCAAATGTAAACAAAGACGCGTGACGTCAGAGTAATGGGTCCACATACATGAGTACACAACTGCAAAATTTTATAATCTGACACAAAATATGTAGATTCTCAAGTAGGGAGGATCAACATATTCGTCGAAGGATCTGAAATGTATTCAGTAATCGTTGCTGTGGCTTTAAAGGCAAGTCCGTGTAGAATGCAGAAGCCAGAGGGACTTACCCATCATAGCTGACGTGGAGGCCTCCCGGGGCGGCGAGAGTGACGCTGAAGGTGACCATCATGACCAACCCCACCACGCTCACCATCCTCCAGAGCCCTGCACCTTTTCCCCTCACACCTCTCATGACCTCGGGCTGACCTGGGCTGACCTCGGGCTGACCTCGGGAGAGCGAGCGACACACTCGCGTACACAAGTTTCCTCACGTCCAAAGCTAGGAAATTAAAGCATGTTACTCGAATGTAAACCTGTTAATACATTTTAATTAATCATGTTTGGATAATTTAAAGTCAATAACAGTAGCGAATTCTGTTTACAAATACTCTACGGACAATCAAACCCACATTTCAGATTTCTAAGAAGTTGCTTAATAATTTATTAAGTTTATCACAATAGGAGTCAATTCCACTTAAAGATGGTCATTGGTAACATCTCTAGTTATCCTAAGACACTCCTCATACCATCACACAACACCATGGAAAGATGCTTGATGCTAACCGCAACAGTCTGGCCTCCAGCCTCTGACGGACTGTCAAACAGACACTCTCGTACAGATACAGATTAGTAATGACGTTCAGTTGACTCTCCAGTAGGAACTGAACAATTAATTTTTTGATATAAACATATCGCATTTCTCTAATACGTAATTTTTATGTATGAGACATTTTGTTGCTGTGATCAAAATACAGTTGCAGATACTTAGTTGAATACTGAAGTACTTCAGTACTTCAGTATTCCCTGTAAAATTCCCTGTAAAATTGTAATATTCCCTGTACTTCAGTACTCCCTGGAAACACAAACCGAAACTGTCTCTATTTTCCGCTTGTTACAACTTGTAATAAAGTTGTTACATCTTGGCTTAACGTGTTTATGACGTATTAGAACGTTGTTACAACTTGATATATTGGTTGTTATAACTGGTTAGGAGGTGTTAAAACTTGTTCGAACGTTGTACCAACGTCGTAGTTTCAGTGTGTGTTTGGCGGGCTGGTACTGAGGCGTTCCTGGGGGCCGGCCTCGTTAGTTTAATTCATTTATTATGCACCCCATACCCGTCTTGTGGGCGGTAGTGGAAAGGGTTACAGAGGTACATAATGGGCTCAGGGACTGAACCCCACAATTCATTTAGCTAAGCAAGTTACAATCTTGATGAGCTAGTTACAAAATTCAATATAAGTCGTCACATCAACAATGGGTTCGAGATCGACCTCAAGTACAGGTTCTAAATTAAGCAACTGACATATGTGGAGAGCTAGTGTCACAATTGGTATGTTTGTCCTGCACACCGCCCCCCCATGACCGTCAAGCAGTTATATGCAAGCTCTTAGGAATTTTGTCCTGGTTATCTCGTAGTTGGGATTCATGTCGCGACTCAATAACTCGTTTAGGAGCGCTGACCTTCCTACCTAATGTTAACGGGTTTAGGAGAGATCGCCCAGGCGACCATTGCCACATGGAACCGCCTACCCGCCGCAGCCCTAAATACCATTACATCATTTAAAAAATCCAGTTGAACAAAATTCTTTAGAACAATGGGGGGGGGGGGGATCTTTGACAAGTCGCTGGCTTCCTGTACCCGTCGAGGCCACTAGAGATGGTGGCCCTAAGGTAAATTCTGGTGATCATACTGTGATCAACAGAATATAGTGTGATCATATTATATTCTTAATTGACACTATAAAGCACATTCTTCAGTACTAAGTGAATATCTAAGGTTTTTCAGCATGGAAACTCGTGTCAGAATCACAATGGAAAATAGTTGTAGTCTATAGCCAGTGCCCTGAGGGCCCCGTGTTATTAAGTCAGTGCCCTGAGGGCCCCGTGTTATTAAGTCAGGGCTCTGAGGGCCCTGTGTTATTAAGTCAGGGCTCTGAGGGCCCCGTGTTATTAAGTCAGGGCTCTGAGGGCCCCGTGTTATTAAGTCAGGGCTCTGAGGGCCCCCGTGTTATTAAGTCAGGGCTCTGAGGGCCCTGTGTTATTAAGTCAGGGCTCTGAGGGCCCCGTGTTATTAAGTCAGGGCTCTGAGGGCCCCGTGTTATTAAGTCAGGGCTCTGAGGGCCCCGTGTTATTAAGTCAGGGCTCTGAGGGCCCCGTGTTATTAAGTCAGGGCTCTGAGGGCCCCGTGTTATTAAGTCAGGGCTCTGAGGGCCCCGTGTTATTAAGTCAGGGCTCTGAGGGCCCTGTGTTATTAAGTCAGGGCTCTAAGGGCCCCGTGTTCTTGAGCAAATAGTTCCAGAGGTGAATGACAGTGGTGGGCGGGCGGGCGGTGTGAGGGATGTACAGCCAGGGGGCTCCCGAGGCGTTGACCCGCTCTCCTGCTGCCTCACCTGCCTTCCTGTCCTCATGCTCGCCCCTTCACACACCTCCCCCTCCACACACATTCCTCTCCACCCCCCCCCTCCTCCGCCCCTCCACATACGTTCCTATCCACCCCCCGCCCCTCCACACACAGCCCCTTCACCTATCAGTCCTTCTATCCACTGCTCCTCCACCCATCACCCCTCCACCCAAAATGTTCTCCATCCACCGCGCCTTCGCTTCCACACAAGCTTGTGTGTGTGTGTTTTCCACCTCGATGAAAGCATCAACATTGTACAAAAGCAACGAAGAGACCACATGTTTAATGACAATGAGAACAGGCGCCATAAGATCAGCAGGGTAGTACACAATAAAGAGGAAATATTTACAATAAATACCCATAAAACAAGAGGGGTATGAATGGAAGCTTCAGGCACAGATAAACCATAGAGATGTGGCTTAAAAGGCAGGGTCCAAGAGCTTAAACTCGACCCTGCTAAGACAAATGTGGGAGCAGACACTAACCAACCGGTCAAGAGCTTCATAACGGCACCGACAACTTGGGCCGCCAACAAGGGTGACCCGAGTGAGAGTACGTACCCGGGTACGAAACGGGAGACGTACCCGTCCCTACACGAGTAGGGACGGGTACGAGTACCCCATCAGTGCCTACGGGGGAGCGAGATCTAGCTCCTGGTGCCCCGCTTACTGCTCCTTGCTGCACCTGTTGCGTTATAATATAACTGTCCTAATGTTCCAGCTCCTTGTCGAATCTGTCTTTAAAATTGTGGACGAAGGTGACCTCCCGTGCAGAGTGGGAGTAGTTCTTGGGAGTACATTTTGGGCTTTTAGATACAGCTGGAAAGGATCATCAGGGCAAATGGCTGGGGGGACCTTTGACAAGCTACCGGCTTCCTGTCCTCATCGAGGCTACTTGTATTAGTGGCCCTCGGGTAAATTTCCTTACATTTCTCTACTCATTTGCATTTTCTGCTTCCACTTATGCTCACTAGTCCTATTTTCTCTCAATGTAAAGACGCTTTGATTGTCTACCTTGCTTATTAAATTGCTCTCAGTATCTTGTATGTTGTAATCATTTTCCCCTCTGTTTCTCCGACCCCTTAAGCTGTGTGAGATTTAGTTTCATTAGCCCTATCCTCATAGCTTAATCCTCTTACCTATGGTACTAATATCGTGCTACAAATCTCTGAACTTTTTCAATTTTGCCTTTATGCTTCAAGAAGTTTGGATTCCATGCCGGTGCTGCATATTTCAGTGTTGATCTAAAAAATGCTGTGCATAAATCCACAAGGGCCGTGACGAGGATTCGAACCTGCGTCCGGGAGCATCCCAGACACTGCCTTAACATATATGCTGTGCAGATTGTCTTGAAGAATTCTTAAATCTTGTTTCTAAACGATGTTTCGATGTTTGCCAGGATCCCATATGATGTTGAGGTACCCTGTTTATTCCTGGGTCCGGTGTTGGTACCGTATTGTCATTATTAGTATTGGAATTATATCTACCTCTAAATCTTTCGTTTTTCCTTCCCACTTTACAACAATTCCAGTTATCCTAACGATAAAAGTGATCCTACCTGTAGCCATCTATATGTTTCACGTATATGTACACAAACCTCTCACCCTGCACCGGAATCGAACCTGGAACCATTCGGTTGTGAGCCGACTGGAAGAGAGAGAGAGAGCCCACTTACCAGGTAGACAATGTCGGGATGAGGGACGCGGGCGGACTAACTGGCCAGCCTGGCTCCAGCAACCTCTCAACCCAGCCCGTAACCAGTCATACACCCTCCCCCCTACCTAACACCCCCCCTATACACCCCCTCTCTCACTCCTAACACCCTCCTCCTCATAAACACCCACCACATAATCCACCCTAACATAAAACAACTCCCCAAGTAGTCCACATATTGCTCCTAACACTTTCAGTTTACCCACGGAGCCTATTTCCCCCAAATCTTCCCCCTAGCTTTCCTTCCTTTCTCCCTATTTCCCCAGATCTACCTCCCCCTCTCTCATAATCTCGCCCCTTTTTATCATTACACATTTAAAGATTCTTTTTAATTGTTATTAATATTCAAAAATTATTATTCAAGTTAAAATTCATGAAATTTCGTGAAACAGAGACAAAAATTTGCGTTTGTTTTCGATTATGTTATGTCTATTGGTCCACCATCCATACATACCTGTCTTCCTGTGGTCCCCACCATCCACACACACACCTGTCTTCCTGTGGCCCACCATCCACACACCTGCCTTCCTGTGGCCCACCATCCACACACACACACCTGCTTTCCTGTGGCCCACCACCCACCCACACCTGCTTTCCTGTGGCCCCCACCACCCACACCTGCCTTCCTGTGGCCCCCACCACACACACACCTGTCTTCCTGTGGCCCCCCACCCACCCACACCTTCTTTCCTGTGGCCCACTACCGTCATTCTCAGCCTGGCACACCAGCGACCCATATAAGAACCGAGGTCTTAACGGTACCCGGAGCGTTCTTCACCATACGACTAGCCAGGCACCTTCCCTGACTCACAAACATGCGGTTCTAACCGATCTATTTATCATACATGCAGAGCCATACCAGCAGGCGCAGCGCCGTACAATGGGAAGCAGAAATGGAGGCACCGGGCACTTAATTACGCCTCCAGTGTTGTCATCCCCATGCTCTTCTGGTCCGAGGGATAGCACGGAGACTCCGTGACATAAGACCTGTCATCTCCTTCTCCATATCACCTTTGGTGTCGGGATTACGCAGACTCACTCCATGGCAGCAAGAACGGTCATTATATTGCCACTGTCCCAGCCCAAGTCGTGTCGTTATCTGCCCCAAGGCTGGCAAATAGCTATACCAAGATACCAACCCTGCACCGCGTCTCCCAACATGCCAGGATCTGCTGCCCGCGGTATAAAGAGACCTCTTGCTTGGGCGTCCAACATCGCCCTCGTCGCAAGTATAGACTCAACCTATCGCTTAACCAGGTAATCGTGCAAGTATATACTCATTAATTAAGCTATGTATTCAATTCAAATATTCAGAGCCTCACTAAGTCAAAACATCTCTCAACAGTTAAGACACGAAAAACCACAGCCTAACCTTACAAAACAAACATTTCAGCTGGCTTTCAGGGGGCACTACAACAAACCCGAGATGCTTGAGACAGTGCTTGTTAGATAACACCAATGTTATTGTTCTTCATTTCATGTTATCGTGCTTCAAGGGAAAGGATTTGTTACATACGTTTAACTCACTAATTTGTACAGAAAAAAGGAGTGATAGTCCACAAAGCAAATAATATGAAAACAACAGATTATTATTATTATTTAAAATAGTATGGCTAGTAACTAGCTGTATCAGTAGTAGTAGTAGTCGTAACAGTATCAGCTGTAGTTGTTGTTGTTGCAATTATTTATTAATTCGTTTTACCAGGGGACAGGAAGCCTGTGTATATTTACACTTGCTTGTATCGAGGTCCCTTGCAAAGTCGAACTACTGATCGACCTTCCCCAAGATACAACTCTACAACAGTTGCCTATAACTCCCGGGTACCTATTTACTGCTAGGTGATCAGAGGCGTTAGATGAAAGAAAATTTGCCCACCCATATCTGTCCCGCCCGGGAATCAACCCCAGAACACCCAGATTGTGAGTCGAGGACGTAGCCAATTGTTCTGCGAGATCCAGTGATCCTAAACAAACATGACAGAAACAGCCTACTGATCCCAAACAAACAGATATGACAGAAACAGCCTATTGGTCCCAAACAAACAGATATGACAGAAACAGCCTACTGATCCCAAACAAACAGATATGACAGAAACAGCCTACTGATCCCAAACAAACAGTTATGACAGAAACAGCCTATTGATCCCAAACAAACAGATATGACAGAAACAGCCTACTGATCCCAAACAAACAGATATGACAGAAACAGCCTACTGATCCCAAACAAACAGATATGACAGAAACAGCCTACTGATCCCAAACAAACAGATATGACAGCTTCAGCCCGCTAATCCCAAACACACAACAGATATGTCAGGCTTAGCCCAGTGATCCCAAGTCAGATAAGACAGGAAATTCCCGACTCGCCAAGTCGCGCATGGCATATTGTCATGAGTTGACATCAAATTTCTAAAGTTATACTTTCTAAATCGCATTGCGGCCCCGGCTGCTGCCTTGTGAGGTATTATCCTCACGTTTATACTTAGTATGACACTAGTTAGCACTTAATTGCCTGATATTTGCAACACTTATCTTGCTCATGCGCTTGCAAGCACTTGCAGTATTCAACTCCATGTCCCTCGTGGATTTTTTAAGTTGGTGCTTGCGGGGGCTCGGGACCTTACTGGGAAAGGATTAGGCAAAGTTTGTTGACCCCGTGTGTGTGTGTGTGTGTGTGTGTGTGTGTGTGTGTGTGTGTGTGTGTGTGTGTGTGTGTGTGTGTGTGTGTGTGTGTGTGTGTCCCCTCACCTAATTGAAGAAGTTGCTTGCAGAAGTTGGGCTTCAGCTCTTTAGTCACGCCTCTCAACTGGTGTACAGATTCCTGAGCCTATTTATTTATTTTATTTATTTATTTATTTATTTATTTATTTATTTATTTATTTATTTATTTATATAAGAAGGTACATTGGGTTTATGGGAGTGCATAGCATTGATGTTTTTACATTCATGTAAAGCCACTAACACGCATTAGCTTTGCACACACTAACACACTATTGAACTTTTTCATATCTGCATTTGAAACTGTGTATAGAGTCAGCCTCCACCACATCACTACCAAGAGTATTCTCCTTTGTTTTTTGTTCTGTTCCTGAAAAAATATTTCTAATGTCTCTGTGGCTCATCTGGGAACTAAGTTTCCATCTGTGTCCCCTTGTTTGTATTCCACCCGTGCTAAAGAGTTTGTCTTTGTCCACCCTGTCAATTCCCCTGAGAATTTTGTAGGTGGTTATCATGTCTCCCCTTACTCTTCTGTTTTCCAGGGATGTGAGGTTCAAGTTCAAGTATGTTTATTGAGACAAGAAAAAAATACATCTCAAAGGGATAGAGCAGCTTAGGCTATTTCCATCCCCCTATTGTAGATAAGGTTAATATAGAAAACTCCAGTGGAGTCTAAAACTGTACCGGTTTTAACTCAATGGCGCCAGAGGTCGCACACCTAATTCAAATTCCAATATTTAATTCATAAATGTTCCTTTTGCACATTTATTGTTGCGTTAGTTTACACAAGACTTACAGTAAATTATTTATCTAAATAAATAGTTTTTAAATTAAACTGTTAAATTTTAAAATTGAACAGTATGGGTTCACATACTAATGTTCGTATGGGTATGGGTTGATATGTATGGGTTTGCATGTAATGATTTCCCTTGTGTTTATCTTGAAATATGTCCTGAAATTTGTGAGGCGGGTAATCCGAAAGGAAACAGTTTCTGTTCTTAATATACTCCAAAGTTCAGAGCACCGATCTGCTGCATGTCCCACAGCAAGCAATAAATATTCATATCATTCGCGTTGTCAGACAGGAAGCCTGTTAATTAGGCTTCTGTCGAGGTCCTCCCTGGGTGAACTACTGACATTTCCCAAGATGAAACCCTCCTCAAGTTGCCTACTTCCTGGGTACCTATTTTGTGCTAGGTGAACAGATGCATTAGGTAAAAGGAAACGTGCTCAAACCATTTTTATCCAGCCCGGAAATCGAATCTGCGATTCCTGATTGTGAGCCAAGAATGTAGACCACTGTACTGCAGGATCTATAGATCCTCATCCGCGAAGAATGCAATCGTCGCTTCAAGCATTGTGTAATTATTTGGTAGTATGCACAAAGAGTTTCCTGGACTAGTCTTGCGTTGCTTACAAGTTTTCTCCACAAGCAGACTTGTGTCTTCGCCTCATAAGTAACTCCTGTGCTTCTCTGCAAGAACTTTTACCTCATAATTATTCATTTAAATCGAATATTATAACGTCAGCAGAATAACAAGCAACAGTTATCTAATCTATTGATATCTCGAGTATTGTGCGTTGACAACGGAGTCGGCCGCCCAGTAAGTCTGCACCTGGGGAAGGGGGGAAGCCCAAGGTGTCGACGTGGGTGTCACCATCCAAGATCTTTCAAGAAAACTCAGGTCGTCTTCACGGTATCAGTTCACGTCTTCCCAGAACCTCTCATTGATAACCCGTAGAGGCCGATACTTAGAGCTAGACTCTTCCAGCTTCGACCACCCCCTTCGACGCATCACTGGCCGTCAAGGTCGCTGTACCTAGTTGCTCGGTTAGCGGCGCCCAAGGTCCTTCTGGCAAGGCTTCCTGTGCTCTACGTTACAAAAATGACAAATCGGGTAATTATCGATGTGAATTTTTACAATTATTTTTACAATTATTTTTACAATTATTATTTTTTTTTACATATTTTGGCTGTATTTTTTTGTGGGAGCGACCTGTTTGGTACTAAAATATTTACAATCAATTAGTATGTCACATATGCACTTATACATATATATTGGCATACACAAGGGGTAACAGCTTCAAATTCAACAAGCCACAAAGTAACATACACAATGAACAACAGTTTCAAGCTCAACAAGCCACAATGTAACACATACAAGGGGCAACAGCTTCAAGCTCAACAAGCCATAATAATAATAATGTTTATTCAAAGAAATGTGTGTACAAAGAACATAAGAGTAATGTACAAGTGTAGGGACAGGAGTTACACATATAGTATTAATGAAGCCACTATTACGAGAAACCTTTACCGCAAAACTTTAAATAATATAGAAAACAAAATTAACTAAAGGATACAAGCCACAATGTAGGACAGAAAACAGCAGATGCCTTTTCACCTATAGGGTTATGAACCTATGGAACCGCCTACCCGCCGAAGCAGTAAATAACGAGACATTTCTTCAGTTCATTACATTCTTGCATGGCCAGAAGCGCGAATATCGTTTCGGGCCTTCAGATAAATTCAAATTCAAATTCAAATTTTTATTCAGTTAAGAGTACATACATAGATGATGAGTTACAAACATAATGTTGGATTTATAGAGAGCTAATACATACAATACCTAAACCCAATAATACGCATAGCGTTTCGGGCAACCTTCGGAACAACCAAAGGTAAATAGGAACCTTCAGATAAATAGGTAATTAATCTGCTATAATTCGAAATACAAATATATAAACTCGTCAGGGAAACATTACGGAGCCTTTAACAAGACACCAGCTTCTTACTCGAGCAAGGATCGCTAAAAATAAGACAATTTTCATAAAAATCTCGGTCATTGGGGAACGCGGTTGAGGCCTCGTAGGAAAAACCAATAGGCCGTCTTAGGAGTACCCGCGATGTTGCTCTTTCTGTTTTATGAAACACGAGTCTCCATACCTCACCAATATATATCCTAACTTGATGAGTCTCACCAGAAATAATCCCGCAACACGCTAAAATGGTATAAAAAAGCAGCAGGTCTTGCGAAAGCTTCAATAAACTCATTTGAAACCCCCCGCGAGATGCTGGCCCTGTACACTACTGGTCCAGTTGGAACATAAACACCCAACCAAGGCCATCCATCCTACGGTTTACCTAACTTATAAGTTCAATCATTCGTGTGCGAATGATTGTGTATGTCTTTCTTCACTTTGTTTTAAGTGAAGGAAGTTGGATATACAAGTTAATGGGTTCTAGTGGTGTCTGCGCTTCTTACGACGAGGAAAATCAAAATGAGATATCGACAATAACTTAGCCAACCTGAGGATGGATTTTGCGAGAATGGTAGGCTGTCTCTATATATATATATATAACAAGTCTTGCTGATTGATGGCTTGGATCCTTCGTAATAGGAAACTTAAAAGCAAGTTTGTGAAAATTATCACTGTTTCAGTTTTTCATAAACTTTGCCAAAGTGTGACAAAGTTCTGTACTGAATCAGTTCTCGTTCCCCCTAGAAATATCACTCACTACTTGAGTGTCATTATGAAAGACGATAAATTATATCTAATTGGGCCTGATTTATTAACAGAACCCCCATGGAAGACAATTTTATTCAGTCATTTCGTATATGAGCATTTGCACACTGATGGTTTCCTTGAAATTCTAATTTTTTCAACTATATTCTTTGTGACTGTTTTGCAGACCCTTGCTATACAATATGCTTCACTAATATACAGTATAATAATTCATATTTTAAGTATATATCATATGTTAAGTCCGTAACGTAAGATTACGTGTACGTATTTAGTTGGCTTCATGTTTTAACTTTTTATTTTTTTATTTATATATACAAGCATCCTTACATTCTTGTAAAGCCACTATCATGCATTGCATTTCAGGCAGGACCTTAATCTTAATTTTTCTCTGGAATACGACCTGCCAAACTGTTTAACAACCAAGTACCCTTTCACTGCTGGGCAGACAAAGGCTACAGTTAAGGATTGGTGCCCAGTCAATCCTCCCCGGCCAGGATACGAACCCAGTCCAAAGCATTCGCGAAGCGTCGGGCGAGTGTTTTACCACTGCGCCACGGCATTAGACACAGCATCGCTGTCTTCACTCAGATTTACGAATTTGCATTTCTCATTATTAAACTGCATTGAGTTTGCCACAATCGCTTTGTAATTCAACAGAGTCTTCTTTTGTATCAAATATCATAACATCATCATTGGTTACCAGACACTTAACATTATTGATGTTCTTACAGAAAAAAGAAAAAAGTTGTTGTACAGTACTATGATTATTATCCATACAGCACATTTTAAAGTGTCTATCCTAGTGTCATTCTGCTGTTTGAGTACTGTTTTTTATATTTACCTGAAAATAAGGAAGAATAAATTAAATCGAGTATCATCCCATAAATTTGACAGTAAAAAAATAGTCCTTCATGAGAATCATGCATCAAGCTGTGGAAATATTAATGTTATAATATTTATTCTAATAGTTATATAAATTCCTTTCATGTTTCAATATTAGTTTGGACAATTCAACAAATTGTTTCCATTTTTCTGGTTTCATTATGTTTTAGGTCCCAATGTACAAAAACTAATGATGATCTGGAGATTGGCAACTTTACCCTATATATGTCCTATCTTCATGTCATCTGCAAACTTTATGATACCATTAGTCACTCCACTATCCAGGATGTTTATGTAAATGATTAAAAATAGTGGGCTCGGGCCCGGTACATCTACATGTGCAAAACCTTGTTCCTAAATGCTAATCATGATCTGAAACTTTTCCTCGATAGGTGTAATAGAACCCATAAGCACTACACCAGAAATCAATATCTCTTTGATATCCCCAGAGTCAGACTAAATCTGTGCAAACACTCCATGCAAATAAGAGGGCCCAGTCTTTGAAACTCACTCCCTGATGAATTAAAAAATTGTCCAACCCATGCCCTGTTCAAAAGTAAAACCAAAAAGTACCAATTTCATCCTCATAGTTTCCTACCTTGTGCTTCAAACTCACACTGTATCTTGTACTACCTATTTCCCCAATATTAGAACTTAAGACACATCTTCTTACCAGTGTAAGATGTCAATATATATTGTAGTTATTTGTTGCTATAAAACCTTGCTACAATGTACCTTTTCATCTTACCTGAAATGTTAGGTTAAGGACTTGCCTGAAATGCTATACGTGTTAGTGCTTTGCAAAAATGTTAAAATTCCAATCTTGTGTTATCTCGCCAACCCATTGTACCTTCTTGCAAATAAATTATTATTATTATTATTATTATTATTATTATTATTATTATTATTATTATTATTATTATTATTATTATTATTATTATTATTATTATTATTATAGGGCTATGTGGTACACCACCCATGATATTCTTCTACTTCAACTTCACATTATTAATACTGAATTTCTGTTTTCTGTTTGTCTTCTGTGGTGTGACCCAATTCAGTGTGCTTCTTCCGATTCAGTACACTTTATACAGTACGTCTTTATGTAGCCTCTCATGCTGAACAGTGTGTGTGTCAAATTATTCGTCAGGTTAAGCATCATTATAGTTGACCAGTAATGAGTTAGGTGATTTGCTTGGACAACCTTACCTTTGACTAGACAGACCTTGATAAACCAAGCAGGCATCCTGTCTCTGATGCTATTGTATCAAAAGAGATAGTGTAGTAATTTTAAAAATGAATTTTTGAAAAAAATCAAGCACAACTAGGTGAGTACTGCTGCATGAAGAAAGACTACAGTTAGGGATTGGCGACCAGTCATTCCTCCCTGGCCAGGATTCGAATCTAGGCCAAAGCTCTTGCGAAGCGCCGGGCGAGTGTCTTACCACTGTGCCAAGGGGACTGCCAATAATTAATTTCTTTATTTAAACTATTTTTAGTTTTGCCTGAAATGCTTTGCGTAATAGTTGCATCATTAATGTGTGTTATTCCTGTCCCTACAATTGTAAACTACCTTATGTTCTTTGTATACACACACTGTTGAATAAAAATTTTAATTTGAATTAACTCACAAATGAGTTCTGTAGCATAGTACTCACCCAGCCCGTCCTCCTAAGGTTCCCTAACGTCAAGAAAACTATCAATTTAAAATATCCTCTCCTAACCTACCAGAGGACCCAAAACAGAAAACGAGGCAGTGTGTCATTTTCACTAGCCGCTCCTATTTTCTAGTACCGTACGACAATTTTTGGCCTTGTGTAACACATACGAGCGAAAAGTGACGTTCTTTGTAGGAGGACAGGTCGAGTCAACATACTCAACTTACAACCGAGGATTCCAGGTTTGATCTCCGGGTGGGATAAAGATGGTTGCGCATTCCTTTCACCTGATGCCACCGCTCACCTAGCAGTAAATACATACTGTACCTAGAAGTTAGTTATCTTCCCAACTATGGGAAACCTTAAGGTAAAGTAATATGTAGTATTGTATACAGCATGAATAATTAAAGTTCAGCATTGTGTTGCTGTCTGTAATTAACCATTTACAAAGGGTCTCACAGTACAATTAATTTCATTCTCAACTCACAATTAGAGATCCTGGGTTTGATTCCTGTCTGGGACAGAAATGTCTGGCACGCTTCCTTTCACCTAAAGGCACCGTTGACCTGGAAGTAAATGTTGTAAAAAACTCCACCCATTCACCCAGGAGTTAGGCAACTGTTGTGCAGTTGCATCCCATCCTGAGGCGAGGTTCAGTAAAACATATTTTTATTATATATATTTTTATATATATATATATATATATATATATATATATATATATATATATATATATATATATATATATATATATATATATATATATATATATATATATATATATATATATATATATATATATATATATATATATATATATATATATATATATATATATATATATATATATATATAATATAATATGTAATTTAAGTACAGTAGTTAATTATTGAGAGTAGAAGTAATTAATTAAATGTTATCCTAGCGTATGTATGTATGCACAGGCTTCCTATTCCCAACAAAATTCATTATTATTATTATTCAATTATTAATACATAAAAAGTTAATTTTGTATTAGTATTTTGTAAAATACAATTTTCTTCCACCACTATAGGAAAATGTGAGTAGTAGTTATGGCTTATAATCAAGGCAAACATTTAATTTTTGGTTCAATAATAGTGAAATAGAGGGATAAGAAATGCAAGAGATATGTTCAGTAATCATCTTGGGGGGGGTGTTGATTGGTAATGCAGGTATGTGATAACTCGTATCTACACCACCCACACCACAGCTACCGTTATCATCATCAAAGTCAATACCACCAGCATCACCACAACCCACCACTGCCACAACCCACCACCAGTACTAATCCTCTATTATAATTGTAATAGCAATCTATAGCAGCATTATTATTCTTGTATACAGCATAGTACTGTGAAACAAATATTTGTATTATTGATGACCCTGAATGATTGTGACAAATGACCTTGTGCATAAAGTACATAGTAAAGTACATAATTTTAAAGTACATAATAAATTATAGTAAAGTACATAATTTTAAAGTACATAATAAAATATATAATTTTACATAAAATGCATACTTTATGTAAAAGTCCTTTTATAAATTCAGCAGTTTTAGTACTACAATATTACTAAATAGTAATACTGTAGTACTATTTAATAGTAATTAATATTTAATACTGTACAGTGTATTTAATATTTAATAGTAATAGTAACGTGTTTCTACATGTGTACAGTATATCCATATGTGTCCTTGTGTGTACATATGTGTATTTTTGTATGTCTTTCTCAGTATGTCACTGAATTTAGATAATTTTCAAGGTCAATCTATTTGAAGACTAAACCTCACACCAGAAGATGAGGCGACGACGACGACGTTTCGGTCCGTCCTGGACCATTATCACATTATTGTAACTCATCGTCAATCTGTGTGTTACATGTTCTACATATTCATATTATTGTACTACTCTTTTGGCAGGAGGTAGAAGCAGCTGTGGCAGCTGGTGTGATACAGAATTTCGACCCCAATAGCTTGCAGTATCAGTGTGTGGTATGTTCACGGGCAGGCTGTGGTGATGTCCTTCCCCACATCTTGAGCAAGGAACACAAGAACAGCCTCATCTGGGAGGCCATCCGACAGTCTCCACCCTCAAAGGCTCTCCTGAACCAAATGCCAGATGTAGTTCGCGCTGCAAAGCTCAATGAGGAGGTTGGGGCCGTGGACAAGAACCATTTTTCATACAGGTGCAATATTTGCTATGGAAAGAAACCTTTTAATGGGGTGGCACCTCTTGAAGCTCATCTTAGAGGCAAGGAACATGAAAAGTCCAAGAGAAACATGCAGTACACAACACACTGTGCTCGAACTGTTGGAGAGCCAGTCCAAGTTACAGCTCCCATGCAGAAGGGTTCCTTCCATTTAAGTAGCTTCGCAAATCAAACCTCAGAATATGGCATCCCCAATGCCAGAGCATCTCCTCCAGAAGCAGACCAGCATGTACATGCACCCACACCCACAGCAGGAGCTTGGCTCGGGATCCCACATCCACCATTGCTTTCACCAACAGACTTACAAGTAAGGAGAAATACTGAATACTTTTCAAACTTGTGTTGTTCCTTTCTTTTACTTTCTTGTTTCAATAAAGTATAATGGTATTGATTTAGTGCTTTTTCCTGATAATTACCAGTCATTGTATGCTGCTTAGTAACAGCATTACTAAGATCACTATCATTATCACTTATTATTATTTAGTATTTGGTCTATGATTATTATTATTATTAGAAAGATAACTATTATTGTCTTTAGCTATTGTATTACTGATATTATCATTAACATTGTAACTCAGAGAGTGCGAGGAGGCCTCACTATGCCGAAGACATTCGACTCCATGGGTAAGGAGTCACTCTCCCCTGAAGCTGTAGAGGCTATTCACTCTGGCATAGTGTCAACTAGTAATGGACTCTCTTACTATTACAAATCCCTTGTTTACCCCCAACTGGACTACCATATCCAAACATAGTGACCTTGAAAATATAAAGATCATACAAAGGGATTGAAACTGCATTCCTGGATTTCCCGGGCCATAAGATGAAATCGAACCTACGTCCCTGTGTTCACTGTGCATGTCCTAATGAGTTTGTTGTGCATAGTGCCCTCGCTTTCAATTACTGTGTGCCAATTCTCCAGCCCATCCTCCTATTTAGGCAGTACTTATAGTAATGAAGAGGACCATTATACCTATATTGATGTAAAAGGCAATCAGTATTGAATTTGGTCAAACCAAAAATGTTTGTTTTTGATTTATGTTGCAAAGAAAATCTCACCTAACTTAACCTTCCTAGGCCAAATCTCACCTAACCTAACCTTCCTAGGCCTAATAAACCCTATCTGAGGCCTAATATAATACATGTATAATGGTATACTAGGCCTGAGAATATATAAGTTTGTTTTCTAGCTTTATTTTTGAAGACTATAAAGTGAATAGTACCAAATTCTACTATCTTATTGCCATTTACGTCAGTATATGTACAATGGTCCACATAGTTACAAAAAGTGCTATCTAAACAGGATGATGGATTGGGTACAAGTGACAGGATGAACAACCCAGCGGGTTTTCTTCCTATTGGGGAGTGTTGTACATGCTGCTATGGCGGTGTGTCCACTCACAGGATGAGTGACGCTGCCCAATACTGTCACTATGGCGGTGTGTCCACTCACAGGATGAGTGACGCTGCCCAATACTGTCACTATGGCGGTGTGTCCACTCACAGGATGTGACGCTGCCCAATACTGTCACTATGGCGGTGTGTTCACTCACAGGATGAGTGGCGTTGCCCAATACTGTCACTATGGCGGTGTGTCCACTCACAGGATGAGTGACGCTGCCCAATACTGTCACTATGGCAGTGTGTCCACTCACAAGATGAGTGGCGCTGCTCAATAAACTCGCCCCTCAGGGCAAAATTTAAAAAAAAATGGATTGCTAACCAGAAAAGACTTAGGGTCTCAGGACTGATAAGACAAAGGTCTTATTGAGAACTTTAAAGTACTTACTAAACTCGAAGCCATTAATTTAGACCACTACTGAAAGGTTCAATGTAACACACACATGAGAGTCAACAGCTTTAAGCTCAATAGGATACAATGTAGGATAGACAACAGATGTTTTTTCAGCAGTTGGGTAATAAAGCCTACCCACCAAAGCAAACACTACTCCAGTTCAAAATAAAACTGGAAAAAATCCTCGGCAGCAATGTTGGTACTGTTGACAAACCACTTGTTTCGTGTCCCATCCAGGCCACTAGATATGGTGGCCCTTGGGTAAATATACACCATATCTATAACAAAATCTTTCATATGGCTTTTTAAATAAAGATCACTATCATTATCACTTATTATTATTTAGTGTTTGGTCTATGATTATTATTATGATTAGAAAGATAACTATTATTGTCTTTAGCTATTGTATTACTGATATTATCATTAATATTGTAACTCAGAGAGAGCGAGGAGGCCTCACTATGCCGAAGACATTCGACTCCATGGGTAAGGAGTCACTCTCCCCTGAAGCTGTTGAGGCCATCCACTCTGGCATAGTGTCAACTAGTAATGGGCTCTCTTACTATTGCAATGCATGTCAGGTGCCTTTGACAGGTGCCAGGCCCTTGGTGCAGCATGTTGAGGGGGAGAGGCACAAGAAGACTGCCAGGATGACATTGTATCGTCAGGAGTTCCCTAACATAGCAGGCCTGACGGTGAGTTCAGTGTGACATGAGGGTTAGTTGGGTGTTCTGTTATTGCGAGTTGAATATCATGAGATGATGATTTGTGTGTAGTGTGGTGGTGAGTTATGTAAGATGAGCTATGATTGGCAATATGGATGGTTGGGTTCTTATATGGTGTGAATTACCAGACTGTTGCGGGCCGCTCCAAGCAGCAGTCTGGTGGACCAAACTCTCACATGTCAAGCTTGGCCTCAGGCTGAGGCCGGGCTTGGGAAGTAGAAGAACTCCCAGAACCCCATCAAGCAGGTATCAAACAGGTGATAAAACTGTGACACCAGGCAAGGTGGAGGTAGGACTGGGGGATGAAGACATTGTGGGCAATGTGGTCTCTGGTGAAACATGATGGGTAGAATTTGGCTCTTGGGTGAATCTTGGTGGATATAAATGGATGTTGCACTTAGTGGGACTCAATGGAAGGGGGGGATGGCTGTTCTTGGAACTCTGCAGGGTGGAAAAGAAAGGAGTATCTCACCTGGTGAAATCTGATGGTTCAGAAGAGAGTGATACTCATTGGTATCAATTACCGAGTAATGTGGTGGAGGTGGGGTCCCTCGATTGTTTCAAACGTGGGTTGGACATGTATATGAGGGGTATTGGGGGGTTATAAGTAGGAGCTGCCTCGTATGGGCCAATAGGCCTTCTGCATTTACCTTTGTTCTTATGTACTTGACGAGTAGGGACTGGGTGCGAAACCTTTTGTGCATACCCTTCATGCCCATCCTCTGTCTTGTCTCCACTTTTGTTCATGCACTTATGTCTTCTCAAAATTAACCATTAGGAAACACAGGTAAAATAAAACAAAATAAAAAAACATTACAGTACTACTCTTTTCAACATATTCAACATGTTTAACATATTTGTGACATCCTGTCACAGGTATTATAATGGTGACATCCTTTATTGATGTAAGGTGACATCCTGTCACAAATATGTTGAAAAAATACTGTATATGAGGTGATAGTGTAGTGAAGGTGTTAAATGATAAACATTGTGCACCCTTAACCCTCGCATATTGAGTACCATACTGTAGTCAGTATGCTCCGTTTTTTTCCTAAGCAAGACAATAAATGAATGAAATGATTTTCATGTTGCTTATACAAATTCTAAATTTTGTTTGCTCACTTTCAACAGCTGTCTCCGGACCCGAAGACTAGGCTCAACAACCCCCCAATAGTGCCGCCTGCTGACAAGAAGGTAAGAGAAGAAAAATATCTACTTTCTTCCAATCACAGCAGGATAACAGTGAATAGGAAATTATACGATACCAAAGCAATTTATTTACCAGTGGGATGCAAGTATTGTTAGTTGGCATATCTGTAAGGTGTGTGTGTGTTAGAGGTGCCCTCTATCACCATCATAATAGAGATAGGAGATATTGATGTCATGGTGAAATTTTAAGAAATTAAGTGCATAATGAGAGCCTATGTTCTTTTCCCTTCCCCCATTTCTAACCTACCCCTAGAGTTGCTTTTTAATCTGAAAAGTTTAATAAAATGAAATTACCTTCACCCTTAATCTCGGAACTGCTGAATCAGTTCCGTTTGACAGTGGTATACTTCTACCCCAACAGACAGCTCTGGCAGATCGGAAAGGTGAATTGCAAGATATCTGGCAAGCCAGTTATGATACAAGAGTCTTCAGTCAGAGGAGCACCCATTCCCCTTGGCAAGACAATTACAATATGACAGCCCCCACACTATGGAACACCCATTCCCCTCAGCAAAATAATTTTGATTCAATGGCCCCCAGTCTGAAGAGCAGCCTTCCCTCGCAGGAAGACAATTATGATACAACAGTTCCCAGTCTAAAGACTCTCCATACCCCAAAGCAAGACAGTTATGACACGATGACCGATAGTCTTAGGCACACCCATTCCTCCTTACCCTTCGATCCAGGGCAACAAGTGCTCATTGATCTGTCATGCGGAAAACGTAAGGTGCCTGCTATTCCATGGGATGGGCCTTATATAGTGCAAGCGGCAGACGAGACAGATGAGAATGTCTGCTGGGTACAAAAAGTTAATGGCAAAAGCAAAAAGGTTGCCTGGGAGCACTGCATACCATACTCTCCTCAGGTAATTCATGATGTGAATATGCACCAACAATCAGAGGAGAAAGTTGAGTCGGCCATTCCTGATTCAATGTTTGATACTAAGGGTCGTTTTACTGCTGTGTCAAGATCTGAAAAATTGCTTGAACCTCAATCAGATCCTTGTGTGGAAACTACCAATCTCTCATCAGTGTTTAAAGAAGGTACAGTTTACAAGAGGCTTCCAGCACTTTCTAATCTTAGTGCTACAAGTTCACTGCATAATTCCCCTGAAAAATCAATGACGCAGACCACTGTGGTACTCAGTGAAGATGGAGGAGAAATATTTGTTTACTATGTCGACGAGCAGTGCACAAGGCTATGGAAACCATCCAAAGTATTTCACACCCGGGGGACCCAAACAGATGTGAAGCCAGCGGTTCTGACCAATGCTTATGTTCAAACAGAAAATAGAATGGCACCTGTTCGCAGACGCAGATGAATAAATCTTATTCTGTAGGTATCTCTTTCTCTCCATATCCAGATCAAGAAATTACAGGCTCCAAAGATTAGAACAATTTATCCTTATAGGAGTTATACAATAATAATACAATACAATACAATACAATTTTATTTAGGTAAGGTACATACATACAATAAATATTTACAAGGATTGTTTAACTTATAGGTATAGCTAGTACATACAATGCCTAAAGCCACTATTACGCAAAGCGTTTCGGGCATGATAAACTTAAATGACAAGCTTAATACTAATTGAGCATAATGAGTAGAATGAAAACAAGAAATGAAAACATAGATGAAAAAGCAGCACAAATACAATTATGTCGACAAACAGCGCTCTTTAAAGAAAAAAACAGACATTGGTTGACAATAGAAGGGTAAGGTAGGTTACAGGGAATTTATTAGGTATAGCTTCGCTTTTAACTTAAACTGGTTGAGAGAGGTACAGTCTTTAACATGGTTGGGAAGGTCATTCCACATTCTGGGCCCCTTGATTTGTAGAGCATTTCTAGTTTGATTAAGTCGTACTCTAGGAATATCAAAACTGTATTTATTTCTGGTGTGATGCTCATGGGTTCTGATACAACCTTCTATGAAGCTTTTGAGATCAGGATTGGCATTATAGTTTAGCGTTTTATATATGTATAATACACATGAGAGAATGTGCAGTGACTTAATGTCTAACATATTCAGAGATTTAAGTAGGGGTACCGAGTGATGTCTGGGGCCAGAATTGGATATTGTCCTAATAGCAGCTTTGTGTTGAGTAATTAGAGGACGTAAGTGATTTTGGGTAGTAGAGCCCCAAGCACAAATACCATAGTTGAGATATGGATAGATAAGGGAGTAATAGAGAGTCACCAGGGCAGGGCGTGGTACATAATATCTGATCTTAGAAAGAACGCCCACAGTTTTTGAAACTTTTTTTGATATGTTTAGATAATAATAATACAATACTATAATAATAATAATTTTTATTCATAAGAATGTGTATATAAAGAACATAAGAGGAGGGGACAATTGTAGGGACAGGGGTTACACATAGAAATAAAGCCACTGGTATGCAAAGCATTTCGGGCAAAATTTAGAATAATTTAGATCAACAAATAATTTAAAGGTGTAAAGGAGGATAAACACTTAACACTAAGAGAAGTAAGCTAACATAAGTGAGAATGTTCAATATAACAAATGATATACAATATAAAGGTGATACTTAGTGATGATAGGCATAGACTATTACATTATGGAGTCTGTGGTTCTGGCAACAGTGGTGTAGTTTTTGTACATTAATAACGGAAAGAAAATACAAGTGTGTAATTTGGTAAAGCAACTAGAACATAGCATAACATAGAATAAATTTGTAAAATTTAATGGTTTAATTGGGGGAAACACTTAAAAATAAACAAAAAGATCATATAGGACTTTAGTAAGCAATTTGTTTTACAAATTTAGATGACAGTGAAGAAAGGACATAAATTTTTATTAAATAAAATTTGAGGTAACAGTAACATAAAAACATTACAAGGAAGAACTGTGCATGAAATTACTCATGTGATATTAAGCAAATATTTCTTAGTCTCTCGTTTAAACTGATTAGGAGACATATAGATTTTAGTTTTAATTCCTGGGCAGGGGCTTAAATCCTTGACTCACAAGTCAAGCCTGGCCACGGGCCGGACTTGGAGAGTAGAAGAACTCCCAGAACCCCCCATCAAGCAGGTATCAAACAGGGCGAGGCAGCTTGGCGTGTCTCCTTACACCCGATACCTCTATTCACCTACCAGTAATTAGGAACTTTGTTGTTAGGCAACCATTGTGGGTCGCTTTCCGAGGAATGGTCAAATACTGTTCCTGTTTTAGATGACATTTGAATTTCCCACAATTAACTAGAAATATGGAAACCTAGTACAGTTGAGAAGACCCTAGAGGCAAAAAGTAATTACATTTGGGAGGTCATTCCACAATGTTTGATTTGCATAGCATTTCTACTTTGGTTGAGTCTCGCTCTAGAAATACCAGAGATATTTGTTTCTCATGTGGTGCCCATGAGTTCTATTACAGCCCTCTAAGAAGCACTTGAGGTCAGGATTGGCACTGCAGTTCAGAGTTTTATAGATATAGAATACGTGTGAGAGTATTTACAGTGACTTCATATTTTTCATGTTCAAAGGTGTTAGTAGGAGAGCAGATTGGTGTCTGGGACTGGAGTTTGTTGTTGTTTAATTTACTGTTTTTATTTATTTATTTATTTATTTATATATATACAAGAAGGTTCCATTGGGTTTATGAGAGTACATAGCATTGATGTTTTTATTTTCTTGTAAAGCCACTAACACACATAGTGTTTCAGGCCGATCATTAATCTAACAGATAAATTGCTTATTTTTGTTGAGTAATTAGGGGTCAGAGGTGATTAAGGATGGTAGATCCCCAGGCACAGATACCATAGGTGAGATATGGATAAATGAGTGAATAATAGAGAGTTACTTAATTTTTTACCCGAGGGCCACTAACACTAGTGGCCTAGACGAGGACAGGAAGCCAGCGGCTTGTCAAAGGCCCACTGTCTTGATATTTATTTCAAAATCCCTCCTGCAATTCCCCTCACCTTAAGTGGTTGCTGTGACATTTCATTATTGTGGACAAATTTCAAATTTTCTTCACTGCAAATTAGTAGTTTAACTTTTTTTCTTTTCTTTTTTGAGTCAGATGTGTTCTCTTTGCATATAGCCCAGCAAGAATGTCTACAAGAATCTCAGTTTGTCTCAAGAATTAGCTTGCATCTTCAAGCTGTCAGCACCTGTGGCAGGGAGCTAGATAGGCTAGAGTAACTTTGAGGCATTATGAACTATGACGGGTTATGTTAAAGTATACAAAGATCTCACCGAATATATAATATACAGAGCATCTTAAGATTATATACAGAGATTCTTAAGAAAGAATCTTAGGATTGTACTTCCTTATTTTGATTATTCTTGGCCATAACATAGTCATTTGTGTAAACAAACGAAGTTCTCTATGGGTCAAACCAGTAGATGGTGGAGGTGACCGTGGATGAGGTGTGCCACCATCTCATTGATGGAAAATGTTCTTATCTGAAAAATATACCAATAATGTTTCTGGGAAATTTATATTGGGGAAACATTCAGAGGAATTGGGCCATGGCTTGACATCAGACTTTTGTATATCGAAACACCGACTGAAGAAACTCAAAATAAAAATAATATATGCGACCATTAATGATTTCCATGCGGTTAGGGACTCTTCAGTGAGTACATACTATGTTTGTGCAGTCACTGTGTGAAATGCTGGCAAAACACTCGCATAACACCAAGCTAGCTTACCTTTACCTCAAACTCTGCTCAAATGGGAAAGTAAAAGTTGTGACAACTCCAGAGAATTTGTATTACAATTTCAAGCATTTCTACTTCAGATATGTCAGTTTTCTTGAAAAGTCATAACAATTGGAATTTGGAGTTTATACGATTACAGTACTGATAATATTGTTAGCGAATGAACCGAGTGATCTATTCTGCAGTAATGTTAATCAAAACTTAAATGCAGTGCCAGAGGAAGTTAGGCAAATTAAGCATTATGTTAAAAAATGTTAAGAGGGAGTGACATTTGTGCAGTGAACCTGTGGTGAAAGGCTGGGTAAAGTTGTCAAGGACCTTGGATGAAATCAGATTGTCCCAAGGAAGCAGATGTGTGCGTGATAAATTCACCAGTGTCACAGTTTTGCAGCATACTACACAAGAGTTACCTCAACCATTGTTGCACAAACTTAACGCAGCTCCATCACGTATTCCCATCCAAATATTACATTATAACAGGCTGTGTTACACGCTTATTACTGATATCTATATGCTTTTGTGTTGTACTTTTTTAACATTAAAAAAAGTGTCCAAGATCTTTTATTTTTATCCATGACTTTCTGAAGTCCACACCATCCAATGTATGAACTGTGCTGTTATTAGAAAGAAAAATATTTGATTCTTGTTCCTAAGAATTTAACATTTTTCATATCTCTGAACCTTTCAAATACTATTTTAATTATGATTGTATGTCTAAATGGGAAATAAAAATTAGAAAGAGGTAATTCGGCTGCTTTACTGTAGATGATTCTCAGAAGTTAATTGCCTCTCACAATGTTAATATAATATAATATTATACATCCAAACTCTGCATTCTGTATACAGTATATTCATTGTTTAGAAAAAATTATGTTTTAGATGAAAAATCATTTGATATTTTTGTGGGGAAACTTTCATAACAAAATAAACCCGTTATACATTAAATGAACAAATTTAAAAAGTGTAGTGTAGTGTGTATTGTTATACATTATTGTACGTCAGTGGGTTTCTTGCAATTGTGGTACAGTGTGTAGAGCCCTATGGTATCCAGGTCTGTGCATGGTTATCAGCAGGATTCGGCTATATGTGGATTGTAAAGTTAGGCAATCCAGTCTGTTCACTCAATTTGCCACTCTTTTTTTTTATTTTATTTATTTATATATACAAGAGTTCTTACGTTCTTGTACAGCCACTAGCATGCATAGCTTTTCGGGCAAGTCCTTAATCCTAACTTTTCCTGGAATACGACCTGCCAAATTGTTTAACAACCAGGTACTCATTCACTGCTGGGTGAACAGAGGCTGCAGTTAAGGATTGGCGCCCAGTCAATCCTTCCCCAGCCAGTATACGAACCCAGGCCCAAGTGCTCGCGAAATGCCAGGTGAGTATGTTACCACTTCGCCACAGGGACTGCCATAACTCTGTTTAAGTGTAACTCTAAAAAATACAACTGTTTTGCCTAACCAGAAATGAAGAAACCCAAGTAACTCCCCTAACGTATCAAGTAGATTCATCGACAACGTTGATGTTACCATGCTTTAATATTTACTAATACCCTATACGTTGCTTTCCTAATGATTCTGTCACTTGATAAAAAATTCTATATTCAGTATTTGGTGAGAGGACAGGTTGAGATATACAGCATACCATTTTATATTGCTTGTCACAACTAGAATAAGTCAGAAGGGTGCAGGTACAAAGGTCTTCCATGCTTAGGAGCATAAGTGCAAAATTTTTTATTAGCACGAAACATTTATGTAACACTTATTTTTTTCATGTTAATACAGTAATTCAATTCACTGACCCTGAAGGCAAGATTTAGAAAAGTATATGGGGTCCCTAATACTGCTGCAACTGAATCTAATACTAACCTTAATACCTATTAATAAATAACAAACAATAAAAATCACTTAATACTTGCTACAGTAGTACATTACTTGAATATTAATTGTGATCTCTCAATCAAATAATGCTCAGTTGACTGCTGCTAAAAAAAATATTTAGAATTACTCGGACAACTTCCTTCATCCTTAATCACATCTGAACGAGTGCAACTGCTTCACAAAGTTTATAATTAGCATTGGGTCAACTGACCATTATCTTGAGTTCCTTATAACCTGAATTTACACGAAGGCCACCATCTCAGGGCCTCAATTGTAACAGGAAACCGAAGGCTTATCAAAGGTACCCTCATTATTCCTGAAATTATTTTCCAACTGGATTTTGAACATAACATCCATTGCCAAATTTCCACTAGAAATCATATCCATATGAATCCCAGACTGTACAATGAAGCCCTGGTAAAAATCTTTACTGAAGCAGTTGAAAACCCTACTTGGGAAAATAAACTGGTAGGATGTGAAACTTCAATGCAAGTGTAATTATGTTTCTCACCATACAGTACACTGTACTCTCCCGGCTAAATGTGTTCCCACCAAAAAACTCTAAACAACTCGTGGCTTGCAAAAGGAATGCAATATCTTATCATCATAAAATGTAACTGAAGGGAAAAAATAAGGCTTCTGAGTGTTAATGAATCGTTTTTTCTGAGCATGGAAATTGGTTGCTCCCTCAAACAAGACCCTCCTCTTCATATGGATACATATGAACACATATATCATACAGATACACTGTACATGCAGACTGTTCATGTACTGTATATGCACAATCGGAGTAGGTCGGCATATCGTAAACGGCTCTTTTGGGATCTTTTCAAAGGTCCCCTACACTTGGTCATTTTTGGTGTATTGGAGATCATGCAGAATTCTGAATCCATCCTGGAATGACCTCAATAAGGATCATTCATATATTTTCAGAACCTCTTCCAAACTCTACTAGACATCAAAGCAACAAATGATGGTTGGTTTCTTTGGCTGCAACCTCTATTAATTTAATTGGCATGCCCCTCCTTTAACCTCCATGCCACAACCAGGTGTTGGCAAAAATATATCAAGGTACCCAGCCTGGCAAAGTCCCATAGAGGCCCAGAACAGCCATATGTGAAGCAGTGGTGTTGGGCATGAGCTGCCTAAATAAAACACAATGTAAGGAAAGATATAATGAGAGAAATGGTTTCAGAAAGGAAATGGAGGAGTGCAAAATGTTGATGCAGCAATTGCACCATGTAAAGATTCCAGTAGATCTGCTAGAGAAGCTCCACACACAGAGGGTTAAAAAGTGCATGTTGAATACATACAGATTATCTTCGATGTAAAGAGGAGTGTTAGAGAGCAAGGCTGGATATCAAGACTAAAATGGCTACAGATGAGTAAGGTAAATCATGCTGCCCACAAAACATTCTTGCTTTTACAGGGCGAGAAATAGCATCTGGTCTGATGGAAAGGGATAAATCATCTCACTTGTCCAGTTGCAAACACAAAAGCACATCAGTTGTGAAACACAATCACATACACAGGTAGTTTGTGGTTCAGTGCTGCTGCAAAGAGATCCTCTTGAGGCATGCTGAAGGTCTCTTGCATCCACAGAAAGGATGCACCTCACCTCCACCTCTGACTCTGTCCTAATCGGGTAAAATTTAGATGTTATCTGCTATGGGATATACTCAGCTTCTGAAACATGAGCATCTAATAAATATATATGTTGACCTATGAAAGAGTTATGACACTGGATTGTAATAAATAATTTATCTGTTTGCCACCTTCTCGAATGACCATGATGGAGATGGTACTCTGTTGGCATGTTAAAGTTCCCTCCATTTTTCACAAGACTTTCTTCTAATTGAATTATGAGCTGAAGTATTGTCTTGGCATTTATCGCTACAACGGATACATAATTCCATGGATTATTGCCCTATGGATGAAAAAGCATCTCTTGTTGTCTCCAACATTGTAGCATGTTTTTTAAGCTTGAAGCTGTTGCCTCTTGTGAGTGTGTAATAACATATTCCAATTTGATCAGTATACAGTATGTATTGTATTTTAAAGGTCATATTATCGGAATGGAATAAAATCCTTCTTTTCTATCTAGCAGTCTGGCAGACCAATTTCTGTCTGTTACATTTTAAATTAATGGAGGAAATCAAATGGAATGAATTTTGTTGTAAATACAAGTACCAAAATTTGTTTGCTCACCTTCCACAGCTTGCTCCAGATTCGAAGAATTTGAGTAACAACCTCCAATTGAAGTTGCCAACAAATAATGAGGTAAGAGACAAGAACATCTATTTTCCTCATAATCACAGGTGTATAGCAAAGTTAATAGTAAATAAATAGCTACAGTATACAGTGGAGTCTGTAGATCACATTATTCTGAACCCAATTCAGATTCCAAAACCTTATCTGGGCAATTACCGAATTTTTATCTATTCAGTATATATATGTGTGTGTATGTATATACTGTATATATATATATATATATATATATATATATATATATATATATATATATATATATATATATATATATATATATATATATATATATATATATATATATATATATATATATATATAATATATATACAGTATATATATATATAATATTTATACTGTATAGCAAATGATCCAATACAGTTGTTTTGCATATTTAGACAAATAATCTATAAACAGTGAATTTATATGCATATGAATAATAAATACAGCAGTATGCACAAAAAATATGAAACATTTATTGTTTTAATTTACTTTTATTTTTGTAACACATAGTAACCTTGATGCAGTAAAGTAATGTTATAGTACTGTGTCGTGCTGTCTACCAGTATAACCCATCTCACACACTATAATGTGATCACATTTACATACACACACATTCATGTTATCTCATTTATGTTATGATAAAGAGTACTGGGAAGACGGGACACCACACTTTTTTTATTGTTGCCGCCGAAGGCAGCTAGTTTATTGTGCACCCCATACTCATCCTGTGAGCGGTAGCGCAAAAGCATTACAGAGGGCTTACTCATAGCTCTCATCGTGTAACTACATGTTGATAATTACATTTATGATTGGTAATTACACACACACACACACACGGGGGCCTTGTGGCTGAGAAGACAGCGTTTGGGTTTCGTAATCCTAAGGATCAAGGATTGATACATATGGCAGAAAAAAATGGGCTGAATTTCTTTTACCCTGATGCCCCTGTTACCTAGCAGTAAATAGGTACCTGGGAGTTAGACAGCTATTACGGGCTGCAAACACAACTAGATGAATACGACTAGGTGAATACACACACACACACACCTCAGGGGCCTCATAGCCTGGTGGATAGCGTGCAGGACTCGTAATTCTGTGGCGCGGGTTCGATTCCCGCATGAGGCAGAAACAAATGGGCAAAGTTTCTTTCACCCTGAATGCCCCTGTTACTTAGCAGTAAATAGGTACCTGGGAGTTAGTCAGCTGTCACGGGCTGCTTCCTGGGGTATGTGTGGGGTGTGTGAAAAAAAAAAGTAGTTAGTAAACAGTTGATTGACAGTGGAGAGGTGGGCCGAAAGCGCAAAGCTCAATCCCCGCAAACACAACTAAGTGAATACACACACACACACACACGTACGCACGTGCAAGACACACCACAAGTGTGTAAGTGGGCTGTGCTGTAAATGTCCTCAGTTTCGCTGTTATGCCTTGCATGCTACTGTACTATATTCAATAAGTTTGTTCTGTCTGTTTATAGAACTTTTGCTTTCTCATAGTTTCTTCAGGTGTGGTTGTCCTTGATACATTCTTTGGTGAATCTGACTCCATTGATATTACAGTATTTACCTAATGTCTTTCTGCTTTCACATTGGCATCCTGAATGATATCTTGAAGCTTTTGAAACTTTTGTGAAAATTCTGGGCTGGCTCTTTCTTTTGACAATTATTCTACTTAACATTTCTTATTCTTAAGCATCACATAATTGTATTTAATTTCTGGCATGGTTTTGAGATAAACTTTGTAATACTGTACTGAAATATTTTTTATTTAAAAAGTATACAGAACATAATACAGATGTTAATTTGCTTTGCTTAGTTTGCTTACCTTATCTCTCAGTTTTTTTTAACCCTTGTCTTAATCCTTACCTCAGACACACTCCTGTGAGACTGACACACATTGATGTGTTGGTGGGGGCTCCCAGCTGTCATCACCAAATCTAAAATAAGGTTCCACAGCGAGTGGTTGCTGTGACAGTTCATTACCCTGAACAGATCACAATCATGTGGCCAATTTTCTTGTCTCCAGATTGACGGGAAGATGACTTTTCCATGGACTGTGATAGTGTGTCGTGATCCCATACAGCCCAGCGAGAAAATCTACAGGAACCTCAGCTTTCCCCGTGGCTTAGTTAGCATCTTCAATTACCAGTTCTCTGGCGAGCATATGCGGTTTGGAGCGAAAAGAGACACCATCAACCTTAAGACACTATTTACTATGATGGGTTATCGTGTTGAAGTGTATGATGACCTTACCGGAGAAGGAACATTGAATAAGCTCAGGAATATTCAATCAGATGAGTGTCTTAAGGATTATGATTCCTTCATCTTGATTGTTCTCAGCCACGGCAAAGAGGACACGGTGTTCTACACAAATGGCTACGGACCAAACCAGATGCAGGAGATGAGCTTGAACGAATTGCGTAACTACTTCACAGACAAGGCGTGTCCTTCTCTTAAAAGTAAACCAAAGATATTTCTAGCCAATTTTTGTCGAGGAAAGCTTCGGGAGGAATCACGCAACCCCTTGACATCAGACTTTGTTGAAACATCAACTGAGGCAGCTCCTCAGGATATGACAACAATATACGCCAGTATTAACAACTTCGGGGCATTGAGGGATCCTGAAAAGGGCACTGTGTTTGTGCAGTCTCTGTGTGAAGTGCTGGCAAAACACTCCCATAATACCCAGCTTGCCGATCTTTACCTCGAGTTATGCAAAACAATGAAGGACAAGGATGGAACAACTCCAGAGAACCAGCTCTATAATTTCAAACATTTTTATTTCAATCCTGTTAATTGAATTTTAAAATCATAACCAGAATTTAAAGCTAAATGGAATAAGCAAAGTAGGAGAATTTTATATGGAGTAAAAGAATGTTAATCAAAACTGGAATGCAGTGCTAGATATGTTAAGCATATGTTAAAATAAATAAGGGGGTGTGACAGTTTGATGGTGCAGGGCTGTAGACGACCTTGGAACTAGGTGTTCCCAAGGAAACACATCTATGCAAGACAAGATAATTAGTATCACAGAGTTGTGCATAATGGTACAGAACTTTAACTCCCCGGCTTGATGCCTTCCTTTGATAATTACTTACAGAACTTTAACTTAAACCATTCGTATATGCTGCATTAACGCAGATCCATAGTTCCTGTTTATATATAACGTGATAACAGTATTATATGTGCAAATAATTTACATATAAAGGGTTTTTGTTATATCTAAATATTAAAGTAAGTTACATATAATTTTTATTTTTATCCATGGCAGTTTTGTAGTTCTTCACCTTTAAAGCGAGATTTCTGGAAGAGCCTCTTGGTAGCTCCCTGAAGCTATCTAGCTGAGATGGCTTCCCACAGCCTATATGTCCTAATGTGGACCAGAGCCAGAACATGCATCCCCTCAAACAGACAAGGAACAGGGTTGATACGATCACCCTTACTAAGAAAGTACCCAGAAAGTAAGTGAAGCAAACAGATAACTGCAAAGTTTACAGAGAATGAAGCAACGAAACAGCCAAGCGATTCTGGAAACAATTCATTCAAGCCCAAGGATTCACTCGAAACTAACTCAAACCCCCTGGTAAAAGTGGGTGCCAACAGGTGGCAGCTTCCTTTTAGCTCTAGGCTCCCACACGGTAATGAGTCAGAACACAAGCCAATGCATGTGGTAGGAATCGGGGAATCATCTAGGCTCTACCAGAAAGAGGCATTTTATTACATTCAACACTAGTTTGAATGTAATAAAGCCTTTTGACCAGACCACACACTAGGAGGCTCCCCTAATAAAGCCTCTTGGTGACTTCCTGAAGCTATATAACAGCACAGAAATCAGGAAACCTGGGACCTACCTAGGAGAGTGGCAAATACATTCACAAAATAAAGACAAGAACCAGGCTGGGAAACCTGACCCAGGGCAACAACCCTGACTGGGACTATGATCATTGGCCAGATAACGAACCGCCAAGACCCTCTTAGACCTCCAAAACCCCTGAATGCAAATATGTCCCATGATATGTTAGCGAACTCAGTGGCCAAAGCCTCGAGCTTGCGGACATCATGGGAAGACCCAGGGGAGTACCTCATTCCCTTCCGCACCTAAACCACCTGACTCGAGAGTTATATACAACACCACACACACAGAAACAATACTCCTACACCTACAAAAACAAACACAAGACGCGGTAAATCACAATCAACACTAGGCTGTATTTCTTGTAACACACAACATAACTTCCTCACCAACACACTTGGCAACTAACAAGTAACATACACAATATAGGTAACATTACACACAACCAGCCACAGCAGTTAGTACATGCGTAAACACACTATGGTTTTTTTTTCTTTACCCGACAACGTTAGTTTTCCCTGACCACGGAATAGTTGTTTTCTCGATATGTTGCTCCAGCATGCGGGATACACCAATGGCGTGAGTAAGACATTGATGGTGCCCACGGACCGTTGTCTATAATTGCTTAGCCTCCCCTAAACTGCGTCCAACCCGTTCACTTTTGCTATGTTAAGCTTCGAAGCTTTCTATCACACTAAAAATACTATCTCTCTCAATCTTCTCAACTTCTCCTATGATACCTATCCCTACTTCAAACCTCACTCACCCTTTTGGGGCGATCTTATCTATATCCGATGAGATTCGACCGTAAGATTCTCACCACCAGATCATCCCCCAGGTACCATGAGTACCTGGCGGAGTACTCTTGGTACCTGGAAGAACACAACCACTGACCTTTCTGGACCTCACGAGACAGGCCTAGCGGCCTGTAGCCTAGTCTCCACCGGCCTGTAGCCTAGTCTCCACCGGCCTATAGCCTAGTCTCCGCCGGCCTATAGCCTAGTCTCCACCGGCCTATAGCCTAGTCTCCGCCGGCCTATAGCCTAGTCTCCACCGGCACTCTACAGCCTGCCACGATGCCGTCGGGTCATGCACAATTTGTAAACATTATAGCAAATATATATATAATATTATTGTGTGTTTACTGTCAGTCTGGCAAGGTATATGAAAGAGTTTAGACAACTACATTATGTAGTCAAATTATCTCTAGTGCATATATATAAAACGATTTACACAAGTGGTCTGGAATGTCTTTAGTTTATTCAACATTTATTCAGTTTATTCAGCATTGTAATGGTTTCTGTAAGATCAGCCCTAACTTTTCTGGTCAATAGTGTTAGACCTTCATCTTTTCCTGGTATGAGAGCGAATTTAGTTCTGGAAATGATTTAACCGAAACTCGACCTTCGCAAAAACAATTAAGTAAGTATAACCTAATGCAGTTAGTATAATACTAGGAGGGGTACCTGGCTGGCGCTCTCTCTCTCTCTCTCTCTCTCTCTCTCTCTCTCTCTCTCTCTCTCTCTCTCTCTCTCTCTCTCTCTCTCTCTCTCTCTCTCTCTCTGTCTCTGTCTCTGTCTCTGTCTCTGTCTCTCTCTCTCTCTCTCTCTCTCTCTCTCTCTCTCTCTCTCTCTCTCTCTCTCTCTCTCTCTCTCTCTCTCTCTCTCTCTCTCTCTCTCTCTCTCTCTCTCTCTCTCTCTCTCTCTCTCTCTCTCTCTCTCTCTCTTTTTTGTCTATAACAAGTCACTGGAAACGGGAGACTTACCAGAGAGTTAGAAAACAGCTAACATAGTCCCAATCTACAAAAATGGGGAGCAGGTAGGAGGGCCTAAACTACACGCCGGTGTCCTTAACTTGTATACCATGCAAGGTGATGGAGAAGATCGTGAGAAAATGCCTGATAGCATATCTGGAGAGATGGGACTTTGTAACACACCACCAGCATGAGTTCAGGGAAGGCAAGTAGTGTCTCATAGGTTTAATAAAATTCTATGATCAAGCAACAAGCATTATGCAAGAAAAGAAGGATGGGCAGACTGCATTTTCTTGGACTGTCAGAAAGCTTTTGACACAGTATCACATAAGAGACTGTTGCATAAGTTGGAGAAACAAGCTGGAGTAAGTGGTAGGGGTGTTTCAGTGGATAAGGGAGTACCTAAACAACAGGAAGCAGAGAGTTACTGTGAGGAGTGAGACATATTGGCGTGAAGTCACCAGCGGAGTCGATCCCGCAGGGGTCTGTACTCGGACCTCTCCTGTTTCTGATATACCTGAATAATCTTCTAGAAGGCATAGACTCATTCCTCTCAATGTTTGTTGATGGTGCTAAAATTATGAGAAAAATTAAGACAGAGGAGGACAGCAAGAGGCTACAGGATGACCTTGTCAGACTGAAGGAATGGTCCAACAAATGGCTACTAGAGTTTAAATCGAACAAGTGCAAAGGGATGAAGATAGGCGTAAGGAGCAGGAGGCCAAACACAAGGTACCAGCTGGAAGAGAAAATCTTTCAGGAGTCGGGACGAAAGATCTGCGGGTTGATATCATACCAGACCTGTCCCCTGAAGCCCACATCAAAAGCATAACATTAGCGGCGTATGCAAGGCTGGCAAATCTAAGAACTACCTTCAGAAACTTGTGTAAGGAATCATTCGGAACCTTATATACCTTATATGTCAGACCAATACTGGAATATCCGACTCCAGCGTGGAATCCACATCTAGTCAAACACAAAACGAAGTTAGAAAAGGTTCAGAGGTATGCCACCAGGCAAGTCCCCGAGCCGAGAGGAAAGATTTCTGGAATTGAATCTCACGACACTGGAAGACAGGAGAGCTCGGGGAGACATGATCATTACCTACAAAATTCTCACAGGAATTGACAAGGTAGATAAAGTTAAATTTTTGTTTAACACGGGTAGTACGCGAACAAGGGGACACAGGTGGAGACTTGAGTACCCAAATGAGCCACAGGGACGTTAGAAAGAACTTTTTCAGTGTCAGAGTAGTTAACATGAAATGCATTAAGCAGCGATGTGGTGGAGGCTGACTCCATACACAGTTTCAAATGTAGATATGACAGAGCCCAGTAGGCTCAGGAATCTGTACACCAGTTGATTGACAATTGAGAAGCGGGACCAAACATCCAGAGCTCAACCCCTGCAAGCATAACTAGGCGAGTACACACACGGTCAGGGAGGGATTATAAAAATTAAAAAAACACGAAACAATTCCAAGTATATGCCACAAGGAACATACCAACAGAGTAGGGCATTTAGTTCCAAACTACCAATTAGGCAACCAAACTGCCCACTTAAACAGTCACACTACCAATTTAAACATACTTGAGAACTATATACATTCCAAGTAGAGTTGTAATCACATGTCCGTTTCCGGGAACGATAACAGCCTTGTGAGCTGGTGGTACCGGAGCGATAGCCTATTGGTTGGGTTGCCGGCGCCGTCAGGTATTGATCATCGTGTAAGATAACTCTTTGTTGGTGACCCGCCCGTGTTGGTGACCAGCCCGTGTTGGTGACCAGCCCGTGTTGGTGACCAGCCCGTGTTGGTGACCAGCCAGTGTTGGGGACCAGCCCGTGTTGGTGACCAGCCCGTGTTGGTGACCCGCCCGTGTTGGTGACCAGCCCGTGTTGGTGACCAGCCCGTGTTGGTGACCAGCCCGTGTTGGTGACCAGCCAGTGTTGGGGACCCGCCCGTGTTGGTGACCAGCCCGTGTTGGGGACCAGCCCGTGTTGGTGACCCGCCCGTGTTGGTGACCAGCCCGTGTTGGTGACCAGCCCGTGTTGGTGACCAGCCCGTGTTGGTGACCAGCCCGTGTTGGTGACCAGCCAGTGTTGGTGACCAGCCCGTGTTGGGGACCAGCCCGTGTTGGGGACCAGCCCGTGTTGGGGACCAGCCCGTGTTGGTGACCAGCCCGTGTTGGGGACCAGCCCGTGTTGGGGACCAGCCCGTGTTGGTGACCAGCCCGTGTTGGTGACCAGCCCGTGTTGGTGACCAGCCCGTGTTGGTGACCAGCCCGTGTTGGGGACCAGCCCGTGTTGGGGACCAGCCCGTGTTGGGGACCAGCCCGTGTTGGTGACCAGCCCGTGTTGGGGACCAGCCCGTGTTGGTGACCAGCCCGTGTTGGGGACCAGCCCGTGTTGGTGACCAGCCCGTGTTGGGGACCAGCCCGTGTTGGTGACCAGCCCGTGTTGGTGACCAGCCCGTGTTGGTGACCAGCCAGTGTTGGTGACCAGCCAGTGTTGGTGACCAGCCAGTGTTGGTGACCAGCCAGTGTTGGGGACCAGCCAGTGTTGGTGACCAGCCCGTGTTGGTGACCAGCCAGTGTTGGTGACCAGCCCGTGTTGGTGACCAGCCCGTGTTGGTGACCAGCCCGTGTTGGTGACCAGCCCGTCTTGGGGACCAGCCCGTGTTGGTGACCAGCCAGTGTTGGGGACCAGCCAGTGTTGGTGACCAGCCCGTGTTGGTGACCAGCCCGTGTTGGTGACCAGCCCGTGTTGGTGACCAGCCCGTGTTTAATAATAATAATAATAATGTGAAAAATGGATATACACACAAAGAAAGTATTAATATCGAAGAAAAATATATATAACTGGTAATAGAAGTATTAATATACAGCCTTCGAAATAAAATAGTAAAAAAAAGTAGAAAACCTTGGAAAAAATATATAGCAAATTGAGGAAAAAAAAACGTATATGAAAATTGAGAGAGAGCGAGAAAGAGAGAGCTGGAATGCAATGGAAAACATCATTACTGGCGGGAAAATATCATCCATCCGGGCATTGGCCTGATCGAGTGACGTCACAGCCTAGCCCTTCCCTGATTAGTGACCTAGACCTGCGACGTCATGGGCAGCGGAAACAGTGATTGGCTGAAACTGCTTGTGACGTATATGCATCCCTCTGCGATTGGCTGCCGGGATGTGATTCCGCCGAGATAGGCTAGCCGTTGAGCTGCCTCAGCACGCGGTCAGTCTTGGCCTCACTTTGAAGGAGTAAGGAGCTATATTTGAGGCGCTCCGAGGTGTAAAATATCCGTAAGACGAAACCAGGTGTTTAGGGCGACATCACCGAAGAGGCCTGAGAGGGGAAACGTTTCAAGAACAGGGAAGGCGCTTGTGATTTACACTTCACTAAACGTTTGTTGACGCAGTGTGTGACGTCACGGGTCTGCACCACCACAGCTGATGCAGGTAAACACAGACCTTCTAACTATACAAATGTTATATATATATATATATATATATATATATATATATATAATATATATATATATATATATATATATATATATATATATATATATGTCGTACCTAGTAGCCAGAACTCACTTCTCAGTCTACTATTCAAGGCCCGATTTGCCTAATAAGCCAAGTTTTCCTGAATTAATATATTTACTATAATTTTTTTCTTATGAAATGATAAAGCAACCCTTTTCTCTATGTATGAGGTCAATTTTTTTTTATTGGAGTTAAAATTAACGTAGATATATGACCGAACCTAACCAACCCTACCTAACCTAACCTAACCTATATTTATAGGTAAGGTTAGGTTAGGTAGCCAAAAAAAGCTAGGTTAGGTTAGGTTAGGTAGGTTAGGTAGACGAAAAAACATTAATTCATGAAAACTTGGCTTATTAGGCAAATCGGGCCTTGAATAGTAGGCTGAGAAGTGCGTTCTGGCTATTAGGTACGACATATATATATATAATTTACTGTGCTAAAAGCATAATTTGACGATGGGTGAAGGTGAAAAGTAAATATGAACTGAGAGAGAGAGAGAGAGAGAGAGAGAGAGAGAGAGAGAGAGAGAGAGAGAGAGAGAGAGAGGGAGAAAGAGGGGCCGGGCTGACCACGTGCTGACACCACCGCTGACACCCTGGTAATTTACCTAGGAGGTATTGCTAGCTAGGGGGTGCTGCTGACAGCCTGGTAATTAGCTAGGGGGGTTGCCCAGCCCGAGTACCACTCTCCCCACCGTCTTTTTTTTTTTTTTTTTTTTTTTTGAGATATATACAAGAGTTGTTACATTCTTGTACAGCCACTAGTACGCGTAGCGTTTCGGGCAAGTCCTTAATCCTATGGTCCCTGGAATACGATCCCCGCCGCGAAGAATCGTTTTTTCATCCAAGTACACATTTTACTGTTGCGTTAAACAGAGGCTACAGTTAAGGAATTGCGCCCAGTAAATCCTCTCCGGCCAGGATACGAACCCGGGGCATACCCCGCGGCCCCGACCAGCCCTCCTTTTTTGTTACACATTCCCATGAAGCAGCAGCAGCCCGTAGCAGCTGTCTAACTCCCAGGTACCTATTTACTGCTAGGTGAACAGGGGCATAAGGGTGAAAGAAACATCATTTTCTGTTCGTTGCGGCAAACGGAGAGGACAGGCTACACCCGGTCTCCTAATAGAGCGTTGCATTTTGACGTATTCTCTTAAGATCAGAAAATCGTCGGACTAGTAAAATGGAAGCGGCTGGCAAAAGTGATGTTATCTTGAGGTTATCTTGAGATGTACTGTGTCGTTTTCTGTTTTGGGTCCTCCGGTTGGGTTAGGAAAAGGGCACTTTAGTAGGATAGTTTCTTGACGGTGGGAAACCTCAGGAGGACGGGATGGATGGATGGATGTATTGTGCAATCCATCCCCCGCCCCCCCCCCCTCTCTCTCGTCTCCTGTTGCAGGCTCGGTTACACATTGCAAGGCATTGTGCAATAATATTCCAGTCCATCCTTCTGAAATTAAAGTAATTATAGTAATGATGTGATCTATCACATGTCGTCATAGATCACTAGAATGTTGACTTTTTTATTATTGAATTTGGACAAGCCTGAAAAGTTTTTTCAATTATTAATCAATCTGGTAAATCAAACCTAACCTAATCATCCTAGATGTTTGGTGGTTATTTAAGTACCTAATACACGTTATCTAAGGCCTAAAATAGTAACATATATGTGCTAATGCAGATGGAAAGTCACAATAACGTGGATAGAAAAATGTTGACCAAACCACACACTAGAAGGTGAAGGGACGACGACGTTTCGGTCCGTCTTGGACCATTCTCACAATCGAGAATGGTCCAGGACGGACCGAAACGTCGTTGTCCCTTCACCTTCTAGTGTGTGGTCTGGTCAACATATATGTGCTATACTAGGCCTAGGAATATTTTTAATTTGGTTTTATTCCCTCTCCCGGACGCTATATAAAAATAGAACACAAAGTGGCCTAGTGAGACTTAGTCAAAGTTGTTACATGTTGCTATAACGCCGTATTAGAACGTTGTTGTTATTATAACTTGCTGTATTGATTGTTACAATTGTTAGGTGTTAAAATTTGTTCGAACGTCGTGTGTTTGGCGGGAGTTGTTTATTTTGTTATAATAACATAATTCACAGGATTGTTGTGTTCTTGTTGGTGAATGGATGCAACTATTGACGAGAAATATGTTGGGGAGGTATGTGTAATTGTGTCGGGGGGGACAGGCAGCCAGGGTATATATATATATACACGTTAGGCTTGTTTCGAGGTCACCCACTTCCTTCTCCTGAGATTGAACTGCTCAAGACGCAACCCCCCACACACACCAAGCTGACCGACTCCTAGGTACCTAGTTACTGTTAGGTGAATAGGTGCATTAGGTGTTGGGGAACACGCTAAACCTTTTCTCTCTCTCCCGCCCGGGATTCGAGATCGGAATTCCAGATTGTGAGACGAGGAGGAACCCGACTGGTCTACCAGCGCCCTTAAACGGAAGGTATCATATAGTCCTTTGTGGGGGCATGTTTGGCGGTGGGGGGAGGATTGACGGGGTGGGGGGTGGGCTGAGGATGGGGGGTTTGGTGGCTGAGTGGACAGCGCTCTAGGCTCGTGGACGTAGGGACCGGGGTTCGATCCCTGGCAACCGCCGGTAAAACAAATGGGTAGAGTTTCCTTCACCCTGATGCACCTGTTACCTAGCAATAAATATGTACCTGGGAGTTAGACAGCTGCTACGGGCTGCTTCCTGGGGTATGTGTGTGTGTGTGTGTGTGAAAAAAAATTGTAGTTAGTAACAGTTGATTAATGACAGTTGAGAGGCAGACCGAAAGAGCAGAGCTCAACCCCCGCAAGCACAACTAGGTGAATACATCTTCCCGGACGCAGGCTAGAGGGGGGGGGAGGAGTCACTCGACCCTGTCATGAACTCCCAGAATCACAGTTCTCGACTGACACTTGTGTCATTATCCTATTCTCGTAAACCCGAGGCAATCTACCAAACCGTCGCCGCCGCGGCCTGGCCGCGTCAGGAATATTCTCCTGATTGTTCCTGACATGATGCCCCATGCCCTCCCCCGGGGTCAGGCAGCGCGCCGCCGCGAACGCATTTGACCTTAAATCTGGCAGTGATTGATCCAAGGGCATCATGGCTCTTGCCTGTCATGCTACCCACTGTACTGGGTGCCCCCTTTTTTTAGGAGGGTTAGCACAAGGTGCTTGTGGTTCCTGGATTAGCACAGCTGGCTTCGTTTTCTACTCACACCAGGGGGGGGGGATCCCGGATTTGATTCTTGAGTGCTACAGAAATTGTTGGGCACTGTTTTCTTTTACTTAATGGCTCGGTTAACCTATTATTATTATTAACATCTTTATTGACAAAATTAATTACAATTTTGCCTAATCTGAGGATTTCAATTAAGTCCTATTAAAGTGAGGATAATGCTGGTATTAATTCTCATGGAGATGAATAAACTCTCTACCTTCCCCTCACTGGTTAATTTTCAAAATGAAAAAATGATATCTTTTGTGCCCTCAATTGATATCCATTTGTCGCTCAATTCAAGGTCTATCTTGCCACTTGGTACAGGCTGTCAGTTAAATTACCAGCAACCCAGAATCGTCTAGTTGAAGATATCAAGTTGGCACTGGATTCAGGTAATGCGTACTCAATTGGTACTTAAGACCGCTTAAAGTTTGATGCAGACTTTTCTAGTATAGCGGGCTTTTGGGGGGGGGTCTTTGGTTAGCGAGCTAGCGGAGGGGTCTTTGGTTAGCGAGTTGGTGGAGGGAGTCTTTGGTTAGCGAGCTGGTGGAGGGGTCTTTGGTTAGCGAGCTGGTGGAGGGGGTCTTTGGTTAGCGAGCTAGTGGAGGGAGTCTTTGGTTAACAAGCTGGTGGAGGGGTCTTTGGTTAGCGAGCTAGTGGAGGGAGTCTTTGGTTAGCGAGCTGGTGGAGGGAGTCTTTGGTTAGCGAGCTAGTGGAGGGAGTCTTTGGTTAGCAAGCTGGTGGAGGGAGTCTTTGGTTAACAAGCTGGTGGAGGGGTCTTTGGTTAGCGAGCTAGTGGAGGGAGTCTTTGGTTAGCGAGCTGGTGGAGGGAGTCTTTGGTTAGCGAGCTAGTGGAGGGAGTCTTTGGTTAGCGAGCTAGTGGAGGGAGTCTTTGGTTAGCAAGCTGGTGGAGGGAGTCTTTGGTTAACAAGCTGGTGGAGGGGTCTTTGGTTAGCGAGCTGGTGGATGGGTCTTTGGTTAGTAAGCGGGCGAAAGGGTATCACCTGATATCTCCTTTTCACCTAGCAGTAAATAGATACCTGGGAGTTAAACAACTTGTACGGGATGTGTGTGTGTGTGTCTGTGTATAAGAGAGATAAATATATGATAGAGAAATAGGTATGATAGAGAACAAACAGGTCGGAAGTCAGTGCACGAGATAACAGGCGGCCAGAAAGGCGAGGTCCACGAACAAACAGCTCGATCCTACAGGTGCAAATAGTAAATACAAATAGTGAATACATACGCACACTCTGTCTCTGTCTCTCTCTCTCTCTCTCTCTCTCTCTCTCTCTCTCTCTCTCTCTCTCTCTCTCTCTCTCTCTCTCTCTCTCTCTCTCTCTGTTGGAGAAGTCAGTAGGATGTGTGAGGGACTGGTGGAGGAAGAGAAGTGGACGAGGCCAGTACTAGGAAACGCTAATGACTCCTGAATGCTCGGACGAGCCCCTTGAGGGCCGTGTATAGGGGCAGTGAAAGAGGTACTTAACCTCGTAGGCCTAAGGGCTGGTGCAGTGTCGGACGGTGTGTGTGTGGGGGGGGGGGGGCGGGGGGTCCGGACACGAGGAGGAAGGGCTTGTATGCTCAGACCTCTATATGGTCTTCCTACGTGGAATATTGTTTGATAACATGTGGTATTTGAAGTAATAAAGTTAATTGACATTTTCTTATAGAAATAATATAATTTTATAGAGAGCAGGGAAGGATAATCGACACTTATACCGATTGGTCTTCAATAATAACAATATAATTATTGTAAATATTAGCAGTAGCATAATTATTTTATCTTTGAAAATGATTAGGATATGTAAATTAGGCGTGTTTGAAATATATAATGGATTTCTCACTGTACGAAATATAAACGATCCTTTCTCTCATATAAATCCTATGTTCTTCAGGGGTGTGACGTCATTGGAAGTTCTCAGTAGCAGTTCACAGTTGACTACAAGTAATTCACTACAACTTAGCCAGATGTGACGAAGACAGATAGAATATAATCAACCAATCGTACCCATCACAGAAGCTGTCGTGTCCTGCTTCAAATGTCTTCAGATCCTGTAATGGTAACCTGGCATTTGCTTCTCTGACGCAACGCTGGACCTTGACCTCCTGTGAGGGAAGACGTGCATCCTTCTCGGTCAATGGGGGTAAAGTAACTTTTATCCTGAGGGATTTACAGGTGATACGGATTTGTCAATCTGAAGGGCGCTTATTACGTGTCTTGAAGGAGATAGACGAGGCGGGCCCTCATCGTCACCAACTCTTCAAGAGAGTCCTTCAGGTCCTCGCTAGTCACGGTGAGCCAACTGTTTTCCCCCGAGACGAGCTCTCTGCCCACACACACCCTTGCCGCCTCAGTCCCGCGGTGAAGGTCCAAGCAGACAGACGTGTCGTTATTGGCCTCTTGCATTGTCCACTGAATCACTTTACATACACGAGTTTCACGATGGATCTAGTCAACGTGTGTTCCGAATAAGTAATCCAGTCGTTCACTCAACGGAAGGTAGGGTGTAAGGGTTGTGTGCGTTAAAAAGACGATCTGGAAACATTTGTTTGCGTCAAGAGGGGTCTGGAAATACCACTGTACGTCAAGAGGGTCTGGAAATACCACTGTACGTCAAGAGGGTCTGGAAATACCACTGTACGTCAAGAGGGTCTGGAAATACCACTGTACATCAAGAGGGGTCTGGAAATACCACTGTACGTCAAGAGGGTCTGAAAATACCACTGTACGTCAAGAGGGTCTGTAAATACCACTGTAAGTCAAGAGGGTCTGAAAATACCACTGTACGTCAAGAGGGTCTGGAAATACCACTGTACGTCAAGAGGGTCTGGAAATACCACTGTACGTCAAGAGGGTCTGGAAATACCACTGTACGTCAAGAAGGGTCTGGAGTCATTCTGAAAAGTATTACCAGTCAGCGGGAAAACACGTACCTTGAACACACAAGTTGGTTCGAAGGCTAAACCAAGACGCCAGTATCAGGCCCCCAGTTAAACGGAAGGTTGTGATAACGAAGGTTGGAAGACCAGGAAGGAATGATGGCGGAGACGGAGACGGTGTCGCCGAGCCCTGAAGGAGAGTCTCTAGCGCCCTTCAGCAATCTGAGTTCGATCATGACAGTGACTAGGTGCACACAGGAGGTCCTCGACTTCGAGCCCTCGTGTCTACAATTTCTGGAAGGTAAGTGAACTAACATGATCTTCTTATGCAGACGAGGAGTCACAATAACGTGGCTGAAGAATGTTGACCAGACCACACACTAGAAGGTGAAGGGACGACGACGACGTTTCGGTCCGTCCTGGACCATTCTCACAATCGACTTGAGAATGGTCCAGGACGGACCGAAACGTCGTCGTCCCTTCACCTTCTAGTGTGTGATCTGGTCAACAAGATCTTCTTACATATTTACTGAAACGTGTCGACAATGATCATGGAACGCATGTTAAATCTGCATTTATGTTTTTGGGAGAAATCAAAGAAAAGTCGTATTTGAATTGTTTATGTGAAGGACAAGAGGCTTCTAGCTAGACGTGTGTACTCACCTAGTTGTGCTTGTGGGGGTTGAGCTCTGGCTCTTTGGTCCCGCCTCTCAAATGAAACTGTGTGTTTGTGTGTGTGTGTGTACTCACCTAGTTGTGCGGGGGTTGAGCTCTGGCTCTTTGGTCCCGTCTCTCAACCGTCAATCAACAGGTGTACAGGTTCCTGAACCTGTGTGTGTGTCTTAATTTGTTAATCAATTATCTCCTAGCCGCGGTTATTTCAACAAGCAAGACACTGTAAACTGCAGACGGTTTATTGCATACGAGGCAACTCTTGTTGATATGCCCCATACTCATTCATATACATGTCTAACCTACGCTCGAAACAATCTATCGATCCCTCGTTTATTGCACTCGTCAGCTTCTGGATAATGTTGGTCCAATAAGCTTCTGGCAGCATGTTGGACCAATGACCGACGGAGCCGGTCGGCCGAGCGGACAGCACGCTGGACTTGTGATCCTGTGGTCCTGGGCCGGCGAGAAACAATGGGCAGAGTTTCTTTCACCCTATGCCCCCTGTTACCTAGCAGTAAAATAGGTACCTGGGTGTTAGTCAGCTGTCACGGGCTGCTTCCTGGGGGTGGAGGCCTGGTCGAGGACCGGGCCGCGGGGACACTAAAAAAAAAAAAGCCCCGAAATCATCTCAAGATAAGATCACTGAAATATTGTCTAACACAATGCAGAGTTACAAATTACATTACCACTGGGTTTTAGGAGCGCAGAATCCGTTGTGAAACACGTGGTATATAACCATACTGAAACTAACATACGACTTAGACATTAATACATCAAGTAAGCTACATAGATTAAGCAGCACAGACCTAGGGGAAGATTCACGAAGCAGTTACGCATGTACTTACGAACGTGTACATCTTTCCTGAATTTTTGACGGCTTTGGTTACATTTATTAAACAATTTACAAGCATGAAAACTTGCCAATCAACTGTTGTTATTGTTATAAACAGCCTCCTGGTGCTTCGGAGCTCATTAACTGTTTAATAATTGTAAACAAAACCGCCAAAGAGTGAGAAAAGATGTACAGGTTCGTAAGGGCTTGCGTAACTATTTCGTGAATCTGGCCCCCAGGCAGCCAGAGATTTAGGGCTCACGCAGAAATATCACCTTCCAGCAGTCAGTTTGTAGAGGATAACTGTCGCGTTTTACCCTGACATATTTTGTGATATATTTACCAGACAATAAGCCAGTCAACAGTCAATGGTGTGGGTTAGCCGGAAAGAGTAGGGGGTGGAGAAGTAAGAGAAGGAGAGGGAAGGAGAAGTAAGAGAAGAGGGAAGGAGCAGTGTACAGAGGGAAAAGTGAGCAAGGTGGAAGAGTGAGGTGCAATCCTCTTACTCACAGGGGCGCCAGTTCTCAACTTCCAAAACTGGATAATGATGTCTATACTCAGAGCTAACTCAGCCATGAACGATAACTGAGGGCCGTCCAACTGTTATTGGTGACTGTGTCAGGTCCTGGTGACGGTGCCAGGTCCTGGTGACGGTGCCACGTCCTGGTGATGATGCCAAAGGTCCTGGTGACGATGCCAAAGGTCCTGGTGACGATGCCAAAGGTCGTGGTGACGATGCCAAAGGTCCTGGTGACGATGCCAAAGGTCCTGGTGACGATGCCAAAGGTCGTGGTGACAATGCCAAAGGTCCTGGTGACGATGCCAAAGGTCCTGGTGACGATGCCAAAGGTCGTGGTGACGATGCCAAAGGTCCTGGTGACGATGCCAAAGGTCCTGGTGACGATGCCAAAGGTCGTTGTGACGATGCCAAAGGTCCTGGTGACGATGCCAAAGGTCCTGGTGATGATGTCAAAGGTCCTGGTGACGATGCCAAAGGTCCTGGTGACGATGCCAAAGGTCGTGGTGACGATGCCAAAGGTCCTGGTGACGATGCCAAAGGTCCTGGTGATGATGTCAAAGGTCGTGGCGACGATGCCAAAGGTCCTGGTGACGATACCAAAGGTCCTGGTTTAGAAAGAACTTGAAATTATGTGTGAGTGGAGGGAGTGATATACAGCCATCATGCATGAGGTGTTGGGGGCGAGCCACTTCACACCCTCACCAATATTAAAAGCCTGATGAACAAATCCACAAGGGCCGTGACGAGGGTTCGAACCTACGTCCGCAAGGATCCCAGACGCTGCCTGAATCGACTTGAGCTACAACTTCGAGCTCTGCCTGATCATCTTAAACCCAAAGAAAGTCTTGCTAGTGCAGGCCATAGCCGACTACACTCCCATCTCCTGTCCTCTCCTGATTCCACGCATGCCTAGCCATCCTGTGAGATTGATTGGTAAAGATTAAGCCACCCTAGAGGTGGCACGGGCACGAATAGCCCGTAAATCCTGTGTGAGATATATTAGATCATCTTATAGCTAACTCTTGCGCTGTGCTCTGTAATCCCCGAGTAAGGTGGCAGCACATTGCTCTATGTACCTAAGCTCGTTAAAACAAAACACAGAGCGGTGACAGAGCCAGATAGAGCCGAGCGGATTCCCAAGAAGATGACTAGCAAATCTTGCATACCGTTTGCGTCATGGGCTCTGTGGGGGGGGGGGTTATTTACATAATTAAATATTCAACATGGGCGCTCATGATGTCTCTTCTCCCTACCTGTAAGTCACTTTACCTGCAATTAGTTTAAAGACCGAAAGTGTGTATTGTAATAATTATATATATATATATATATATATATATATATATATATATATATATATATATATATATATATATATATATATATATATATATATATATATATATATATATATATATATATATATATATATATATATATATATATATATATATATATATATATATATATATATATATATATATATATATATATATATATATATATTATTGTAATTTTTCAGAGGTGGGTGATTAAATTACGAAGCGAGGGGAATGCAAACACAGAAAGACACACACACATACACACCATCACACACACACACATATACATACACACATACAGATAGTAACAGAAGGGTGGTGTCTTATCAATGTCTCATCCTCTTCTACGTTGGGTGAGAGATCATGTATGACCTCTCTCTCACTTGGGTGAGAGATCATATATGACCTCTCTCTCACTTGGGTGAGAGATCATGTATGACCTCTCTCTCACTTGAGTGAGAGGTCATGCGTGACCCCTCTCTCACTTGAGTGAGAGGTACTGCATGACCTCTCCTCTCCACAACAGCTGGAGCGAGACAGCCTCGGCTTCCTCTCACTCTAAATGAAATAAGATACAGCATAATTTCAGGCAGTGTCAGGTGTCTAGGGGTGCCAGGAGTGCCAGCAAAATGTACCAGGCAGTGCTAGGGAGGTGCCAGGCAATACGTGATCAACCGGGCTGTGATGGGTTACCCGGGTCCAGCCGGTTACCCCATCTAGTTCTTGTTATAAACATCCTCGGGGTGTCTCGGAGTTCATCAACAATTTATTAATTGTAAACAAAGCCTCCGTGGTTGTTGAAAAGATGTACAGGTTTCTCAAGTGGCTGGCTGTCCACTCTGGCAGCCTCGCCCTTGGATATGGGAGCCTACGGGAAGCCTAACGTGCTTCCCACCCTTCCCATCCAATGGGAAGGGTACATTAAGACCTTTTCCACTCAGCAATCTTCTCCATTTTCGGTATTTCCATCCCATCATGTCCCTCGCCCCGTATTGGCAAATCCTTTGGTCATTAAATATGAAATTAATTAAAATATTGACGGCGGAACTCACTCCTAGGTATCTCCCATCAGTGGCCCACCAGTGGTCCACTAGAGGCCCACCAGTGGTCCACTAGAGGCCCACCAGTGGTCCACTAGAGGCCCACCAGTGGTCCACTAGAGGCCCACCAGTGGGCTCGCCTTGGCCCACCTTGCTGGCTTTGTGTGGTCATGGGTGAAAGCCGGCTGCATTTACTAAGCAAACGAACGTCAGAAGGCGGCGCTGGTGTCCGGTGGGCCCACGCCCAGCTCCTCTAGGGTGCTGGTGGGAGCGACAGTGAAAGCTTTGATAAATATACCCGCAGTATACCAGGTATAGCCCAAGTACACCTTGAGATATACCCGAAGGGCGTTCTGAGAGTTCGGCTCACCAAGCGCGGGTCTGGAGTCAGGATTGTGTTGAGTTCTTGATCTAAAAGGCTGTTGTGTGGAGCGACTTTCGACACATAGTCTTGTCTATTTGGTTCTTGAACACGTCCATTTCTACTCTGGCTATAGCCTAAAGAGCCCTGGGACTCTTGGCTCTATAGGACTCTTGACTGAGTCTGTGGGGGGGGGAGGAGGGGAGGGGGAGATTGGCAGCTTCTGAAAATGAATTCAAATTGTATTTGATCTTAATTAAGAATCAGAAGTATATGTCATGTTGAGGTGAGAGGGAGGAGTGTCCACGTGATGTGTGTGTGTGTGTGTGTGTGTGTGTGTGTGTGTGTGTGTGTGTGTGTGTGTGTGTGTGTGTGTGTGTGGAAAGCAACATTAGATACGCTGACTAGTCGGGGGTCTTAGACCTGAGAAAGTATGTATCACTACTTTATAAACAAAGCTATCCCAACTCAACCCAATCTAATCTAACTTATACTAATCCAGACTAATCTATCCTAATCTGACCAAACCCAAACTATCCTATCATAACCTAACCTAGCAAAACTAAGAGATAAGATGTTTTATATATATATATATATATATATATATATATATATATATATATATATATATATATATATATATATATATATATATATATATATATATATATATATATATATATATATATATATATATAATATATAATATATATATATCTAATATATATATATATATATATATATATATATATATATATATATATATATATATATATATATATATATATATATATATATATAATATTCCTTGGTGTGCACGAGGTGTGACGTCACATTGACGTCACATGCCTATACCAGTGAAGGCATTAGTTGTTCTTGCCCGATTTGATAAATAAGATTTAGATTTATTATTAGCGGGATGAGACTGCGGGTCGTGTTGTTCAGGAGTAGACCTCCTCCCTCCTTTACCTGGTCTTGGCACCATCACGGGGGCTAACGCGCTCGGCTCCTCAACCACCGCCCCACAAGACCCGGGGTCGAATCCCGGGAAGGAGACATGACTGGGGCACCGTTCTTTCACTGTTCGCCCCTGGGTACATTAGAATTGATTGGGCGTGTTGCCTTTGTGCCTGATGCTTGTGTTCACCCAGCAGTAGGTATCCGGGAGTCGGGCAGTTACTGTGGGTTGTATCCTGGGGACGGTCAGTAGGAGGGACTTCGATAATTCTAAGTATTCTAATTATTCTAATTCTAAGACTTCCTGGTCTCGACAACGGGGACTTCAATATGGGAAGTGTTCGGGGGGAGGGGGTAGCCGTGGCGCTTCGGTTAGGCTTAAGTTAGGGTTATTTAGGTTAGTTTAAGTTAGGTTTAAGTTTGGTTGGGTGAGTTTAGGTATGGGGGGTTTAAAATGCGTTAGTGTACAATCTTGTAAAGTGTTTACTATCCGACTTGTGCCTATAGTTCATGCTTGAGAGCAACTTGAGGTCAGCTGCCTCCTACCTTATGACTCGCAATTCTCAGCTCCAATTACAGCATTTTTTGTATATAAATTATTAAAAAATTAAGCTTCAAGCCTGGCCTCGAGCTTGGGGAGTAGAAGAACTCCCCGAACCCCAGCAAGCAGGTTCTCTTAATTTGTATGTGTACATATATACACATACAAATTACGGTAATATAATGTTTTGTAATATAATGTATAATATAATGTTTTCGTAAGGCAATGATAATTTCCGGCTTGGAGGATCGGTGGTGGGCGATGTTTGAGGGCGGAAATGTCTTCCTTTCTAACCATCTTGAGGTTATCTTGAGATGATTTCGGGGCTTTAGTGTCCCCGCGGCCCGGTCCTCGACCAGGCCTCCACCCCCAGGAAGCAGCCCGTGACAGCTGACTAACACCCAGGTACCTATTTACTGCTAGGTAACAGAGGCATTCAGGGTGAAAGAAACTTTGCCCATTTGTTTCTGCCTCGTGCGGGAATCGAACCCGCGCCACAGAATTACGAGTCCTGCGCGCTATCCACCAGGCTACGAGGTACCCATCATTAAACATCATGTAACGATTGAGTAACGGCGAGACTATAAGCGTATTATAGGAACTTCGAGATTTATTTTCAACTGTCACGCCAAACTGAAGCTCAGACATTTTTAGTGGAAGTAGCGCATTGTTTCCGCAGAAGGTGCAGGCGTCGTGTGCGCAGACTAAGAGGAGCAGCGGCGCTCCAGTTAGTGTGAGTGTGTAATGTTGACATAGTGAGACGGTGTGTGTGTTCCGTGTTGCCTCACACTTCCCTCACCTCACCTCATGGCTCTCACACGGCTCTCATATCCCCTCCTCACTCGGCTCTTGTCCACGGGAGACAGGGAATCTCCCGTCACGCAGGGTGCAGTCGCACCTCCACAGATCTCCCGTATCATCTATTGACACTGGCAATGGCTCAAATGGGCCACCACTTACGGGCTATTCATGCCCGTGCCACCTTTTGGGTGGCTTAATCTTCATCAATCAATCAATCGGCTCTTGTCCCTCTCATACAGCCCTCGCCTCCCTCTCGGCTCTCTCTTACAGCCCTCACCTGCTTCCGAAGGTGTTGGCGGGCGTGAGGGGCGTGCCGCAAGGACAACAAAGCCCTCCCATATTGCCAAACTATTACCAAGCATATATATATATATATATATATATATATATATATATATATATATATATATATATATATATATATATATATATATATATTATATAACTGAAAACTCACCCCAGAAAAGACTCGAACCCACACTGCCAGGAGGTAGGAGGCAACCGTCCTCTGTAGGAGGACGGTTGCTCCGTCGGTCACCTTGTGCGGGGGGGACATGATACTATTTGTATATTTGTTCATCCATCCATTTAGCTATCGTGGCGTGAGCGAAATGAACACTTGGCCAAATATTTGTGAAAACTTTATTAACGCAAACAACTTTACATGAGCAGTATCTGTCACTAGATGCACGTGTGTGTACATGGTGTCAAACAAGGATGAAAGGAAACTTTCATCCTTGTTTGAAGCCGTTTCCGTACGGCTTCAAACAAGGATGAAAGGTGTGAGGAGTTCTAGCAATAGAAAATATCAATCTTCATTTTGGAGTTTATTCCTTTCACTGATATTCCACGGGTTTCCCGCCTGAAATGAGGTCATAGATGACCTCCTTCTCGGCCCTGGCGTTGAGGAGCCATCGCAGCTCTGCCGAATCCGGAGGCTCCAGTTCGAGAATGGGGATGGCGGCATCGAGCATGTTGACCGCGCGGTTCAGACCCTCCTCGAACTCGGCCGATCGTTTGCCTCCCGATGACGACAGGTGGAGGAGCGCTGCGTCTCTCTCCACGACCGCAGAGTTGAACAATGACACTCCTGGAATGCAACATATTAGTCACTAACTTACAGTATTTTGTATTGTTGAAGAATGAACTGAATAAAATGGAAGGAGAGGGGGGGAAGGTTTGTAGGGACGGGGATCAGTAACTCACCTCGTCTCCTGGTGGACCCGGGTTCCAGCCGCTGGTACAGGTGAATGAGACGCCGCCACAGGTCTCGGCGGAGGCACAGGGACTGTGTCGTAGTTTCCTTCGACAGTATGGACATTGCTGCTTTAGCCGCCGTCAGCCACACAAAGTGATTATTGTGAAAGGTGTTCTCGATCCTGGCTAGGTGCTTGCAGACGTCGGTGAATGACGTGAACTTGTTATCGATATCTTGGACGAAGTCTTCAGCTTCCTTGACGACATCATCTTCCGGACGCTGTGCTCCACACCCGGGGCACGACCATGGCGCTCCGGAGCCTCCGCTAGGCTCTAGGAACCCTTCAGCACACGCGGAACATCGCGGGTTAGAAAAATAGGTGCCCAGCTCTGTGGGGTCTCGACAGCGCTCGCATGCGCATTTAAAGAAGTAAATACTATATAGATCTGCTTGGCGGCGCCAGACGGGGTCAGTCGGGGGCAAGTAGCTGAATAACAAAGGTTGACCTTTCTTGATGGGCACAGCGGCTCGCACGAAGAGTGTCCGGTTGAGATCTGAGCGTAGGGTGACATTAGGCAGACAGGAGTGATTCATGAGATAGAGAGTCGGGTACAATCCTCGTAGGCTGTCCCCACTAGCCCCGTAGGTGTTGATGGCGTTTGTTATGATGGCTCCGTGGACGTGGCTGGCGGTCTCGGCGTCACAGTCAACTTGAAGAACTTCACTGAAGTACTTGATGGCGATGATGTGAGTCTCCTCCTTACTCTCCTTGCGACTTTCCGAGTGACTGTCCATGCGCTTAATTTTCTCCCAGCTCGTTGGGTCTAGGGAGCGAAGTAGCAAACATCGAAGTACGAGGATGACGTCGTAGCGAGGCGTCCTGATCATGCTGGTTGGCGGAGCGATCTTCTTGGTGTCTGTGGCCAGCGCTGCGCACTCGGCCTGGTGGCGGGCGGTGGTTGCGCAGGCAGGGGAGCACAGGGGCCAGGAACACCCCTGGCAGCGAGGGTGGTCCTCGGCGGTGATGGGTGCGTGGCATCCTAGACACACCGGCGGCGACTCCGCCACAGGGCCCAGCACCAGCGGCTTCTCTCGCAGCACCAGCTGTCCCTCCTTCAGGTCGCGTGTTGCTACCAAGTACCTGGTGAACCAAACAGTTCTTGTAACCCGTGATTGATGATTGATGGAGATTAAGCCACCCAAGAGGTGGCACGGGCATGAATAGCCCGTAAGTGGTGGCCCTTTTGAGCCATTACCAGTATCAAGAGATGATACTGGAGATCTGTAGAGGTGCGACTGCACCCTGTAACCCGTATAATGCCACCATTATTATGTCTGCCACTATTTCCACACACTACCATTACTGACTTGAACAATTACCAGGTGATAACGTGTTGCCTTCAGCTTGCGCAACGAGTCATCACTATATTGCCTAATAAAAAGCTGCAATATTTCCAATAGCATATATGATTACATGCTAACAAAAGTAAAATGGTTTGCAGTTAATCTTGTTTATGTAATAATTTGACATTCTTTGTAACTATAAAAATACTGGTTGGGATTTTGGGGAAATTTCAATTTTGTAAATTGGCAGTTTACGCAGAAAATTTAAATTATGGAGATTCTCTTTCTCTCTTTCTCTTTATTTCTCTTTATTTCTCTGTCTCTCTCTCTCTCTCTCTCTCTCTCTCTCTCTCTCTCTCTCTCTCTCTCTCTCTCTCTCTCTCTCTCTCTCTCTCTCTCTCTCTCTCTCTCTCTCTCTCTCTTGTGTGTACTCACCTGCCGCACTGTGGGTCGCGAGCCTGCGTGACTGGCCAGCACTCATCCTTGTGGATGACCCAGTGCTTCCGTTGGTGCTCCCTGCTGCAGTAGTGCACGGCGCTGCAGCCCCCACACCGCAGGCTGGCCTCCGACCCGCACTCCCCGCACGCCCCGCCCCCTGCCATGGCCTGCAGGAGAAGCACCTCTGTACAACACCACCTGCAGGAAGAGACACACATACACACACACGCTTGGCATCGTTGTTTTGGGGGGTTGAAATGACGCGAATTGATGTACTGGAGAAGTATTGAGGCGATGGGTTCTCATTGTCATGCAAGATGTGGGCCAATTTCTATCATTTATGTAGGGTAAAGGCTAGTTCCTAGCATTTATGTAGGGTAAAGGCTAGTTCCCAGCATTTATGTAGGGTAGGAACTAGTTCCCAGCATTTATGTAGGGTAAAGGCTAGTTCCCAGCATTTATGTAGGGTAGGAACTAGTTCCCAGCATTTATGGAGGGTAAAGGCTAGTTCCCAGCATTTATGTAGGGTAGGAACTAGTTCCCAGCATTTATGTAGGGTAAGAACTAGTTCCCAGCATTTATGTAGGGTAGGAACTAGTTCCCAGCATTTATGGAGGGTAAAGGCTAGTTCCCAGCATTTATGGAGGGTAGGAACTAGTTCCCAGCATTTATGGAGGGTAAAGGCTAGTTCCCAGCATTTATGGAGGGTAGGAACTAGTTCCCAGCATTTATGTAGGGTAAGAACTAGTTCCCAGCATTTATGGAGGGTAGGAACTAGTTCCCAGCATTTATGGAGGGTAGGAACTAGTTCCCAGCATTTATGTAGGGTAAGAACTAGTTCCCAGCATTTATGGAGGGTAGGAACTAGTTCCCAGCATTTATGTAGGGTAAGAACTAGTTCCCAGCATTTATGTAGGGTAGGAACTAGTTCCCAGCATTTATGTAGGGTAAAGGCTAGTTCCCCAGCATTTATGGAGGGTAAGAACTAGTTCCCCAGCATTTATGGAGAGGTAAGAACTAGTTCCCCAGCATTTATGTAGGGTAAAGGCTAGTTCCCAAGCATTTATGGAGGGTAAGAACTAGTTCCCCAGCATTTATGGAGAGGTAAGAACTAGTTCCCCAGCATTTATGTAGGATAAAGGCTAGTTCCCAGCATTTATGGAGGGTAAGAACTAGTTCCCAGCATTTATGTAGGGTAAAGGCTAGTTCCCAGCATTTATGTAGGGTAAAGGCTAGTTCCCAGCATTTATGTAGGGTAAAGGCTAGTTCCCCAGCATTTATGTAGGGTAAAGGCTAGTTCCCCAGCATTTATGGAGGGTAAGAACTAGTTCCCAGCATTTATGTAGGGTAAAGGCTAGTTCCCAGCATTTATGGAGGGTAAAGGCTAGTTCCCAGCATTTATGGAGGGTAAGAACTAGTTCCCCAGCATTTATGGAGAGGTAAGAACTAGTTCCCCAGCATTTATGGAGAGGTAAGAACTTGTTCCCCAGCATTTATGGAGGGTAAGAACTAGTTCCCAGCATTTATGTAGGGTAAAGGCTAGTTCCCAGCATTTATGGAGGGTAAAGGCTAGTTCCCAGCATTTATGGAGGGTAAGAACTAGTTCCCAGCATTTATGGAGGGTAAGAACTAGTTCCCAGCATTAACAACCAACGCTTATATAAGGGGTGTCAATTAGATCTTAAATTAATTAAAGATCACTATAGAATCCAACCTTCTGGGGGTTGGGATCCAGTCGCCTTCGGCTTGCACGGATATATTTGGTTGATGTTAGTAAAGGAATCATGCGTCGTGATATGTATTGTTCATTGATGTTCTGACATTGATGATTGATTTCGATGCATCAATGATTGGTGATGTCACTTATTGACGTCTTAGTCAAGGTTGCGTCATGCCTAAGGCGTCAGTGAATCATGAGTCAACTGATGTAAGCAAGTAAATAAATGTTATCCAGTATTTTTGCGTATGACGAATTAAAATTAATTAATGCAATTTAATAATAAAAAAGTTCATTTTCCTCAATATTCAACGCTCGTAGTTTTAATAATGGCTTCGTACGTAAATAATGAGGCGTGTTGGTACAAATTATAACACCCCTAATATTGACCGTTTTTCTATGTATCGGTCTCGATAGGGGTGGGAGGGTTGCATGGGTTCGTATGTTTCTGGTTGGGTTAAAACAGTTGTATATTTGACGGAGTGACATGTCTAAGAGAACGTTCTGAACTATATGCATCTATATGCATATGTACATATATATATATATATATATATATATATATATATATATATATATATATATATATATATAATATATATATATACATATACATATATACATACACATACATATTTAATCACCTACACACATACACACATCAATAATCTTTTGCATCACAAGTGATTCAACAAGAGGCTTACAACAGTCACTATACAAGGCACTTTACATCTATGGTGAGTCACACAGTTACTAGTCTTGCTGCACACCCACCCAACTGGGCGGCAGCTTTACAGTCATGTGCTCCACACCCACCCAACTGGGCGGCAGCTTTACAGTCATGTGCTCCACACTCACCCAACTGGGCGGCAGCTTTACAGTCATGTGCTCCACACCCACCCAACTGGGCGGCAGCGTTACAGTCATGTGCATGCATTACTTACAGTAAGCAAATTTTGGATACTTCGCTAAGATTTCGGGCAGCACATCATTATGAATGAAGTACTTACACATTTCTTGGACACTATTGATGGTGTTATCTCTGAATTCCGCGATTTTTTCATAATCCATTATATAATGACACAAAGTATGCGAATAGTTCTGCTGACAGAGTTTACATTTAGTCAAATCTACATCAGCAGATGTTACAAACTGCCAGAGGTACTTGTAGCCGAGCCTAAGCCTAGCAGTGGTAACATTTTGTAGTCTGCTAACCTTCTTGGATGACCCATAGACGTGCGGTTCTTCCTGCATAATAGAATGATGATAGATGGAGTAACTGGTGTGAATTTCACTTTGCCTCAAGTCTCAGAAATTTAGTTGATGTTCCCGGAATATTGAGTTCCCGGAATATTGATGTTCCCGGAATAGCAGCCCTAAGTCTGCTCAAAGGCAGTCCAAGTTGGTAATCAATTCCCTCTTTACGTGCAAAAGTCTTGGCCAACTCATCAGTTCTATCATGCATTCGGAGACCAATATGGGAAGGAATTTTCAGGAGACAGACTCTGACTCCATCATTATTTCATTATATTTGTGTCTAGCTTCAGAGATGTTTACTTCTTTCCCACGTTTCCTTTCATCTGATGCCTCTAAATAGGTACCCAACTGTTGTGGGCTACGGCCTGAGGAAGATCAGATATGCCTACCCTGGAAACACAAATCGAAACTGTCTCTATTTTCCGCTTGTTACAACTTGTAATAAAGTTGTTACATCTTGGCTTAACGTATTAGAACGTTGTTACAACTTGCTATATTGGTTGTTATAACTGGTTAGGAGGTGTTAAAACTTGTTCGAACGTTGTAGCAACGTCGTAGTTTCGGTGTGTGTTTGGCGGGTAACTACAGGCTTCCTGTCCCCGATGACGGAAAGTAAAAATGAATTCAAATTCGAAATCCTACCTGGATTAACAGTGGCTTTGAAGAGTCGAGTTTGACCTTTCCTAGTCACCGATATTCACCGATATTTGTCACCGTTGGTGGAGATGTGGAGAAAGGTATGGTGGGAGCGCAGAGAGCGCGACACTGGTGTCGTCTGGTGACTGTCTGCCGCCTGGTTGTCAAACCCATGTGGCATGCCACACGAAAATACACCGCGGGGTGCCAGGGGTGCCAGGGGTGGCCACGGTGCCAACCTCCACCAGCTCCCACCACCGCCGCGGGGCCGCTCTTCTGACCGCCGGAGCTATAATGCCTTGATTGATGATTGATAAAGATTAAGCCACCCAAGAGGTGGCACGGGCATGAATAGCCCGTAAGTGGTGGTAACCCTTTTGAGCCATTACCAGTATCAAGAGCTGATACTGGAGATCTGTGGAGGTGCGACTGCACCCTGCGTGACGGGAGATGTCTCCCGTGGCTATAATGCCTTGCCTGCATGCTGATTGATATCATTTATTCGAATGGCGAGGTGTTGCGTCTTCTTTTGCATGTTGCTGAATCTGGGGAAAAACATGATGGGTGTCCTCCCCCCCCCCCCTCCTCCCTCCCCATCACCCCCCCCCCCCTCCAGCAACACAATTGGCAGACCCGGCAACATGTGAGAGCGTTGCCACTCGGCCCTAGAAAGTGCCAGAAGCATCGGAAAAGATCTTTCGACGAAGGCGATGAGTCACAATAACGGGGCTGAAGTATGTTGACCAGACCACACACTAGAAGGTGAAGGGACGACGACGTTTCGGTCCGTCCTGGATCATTCTCGAGTCGATTATGAGTCACAATCGACTTGAGAATGGTCCAGGACGGACCGAAACGTCGTCGTCCCTTAAACTTCTAGTGTGTGGTCTGGTCAACATCTTTCGACGAATTTATTAAGGCTGTTTAATTTTGACCTGTTGGTGTTCCTCTTAATAAGCAAATTACTTTATTGACGAAAAAATGAGTTTATTGATTTTTATTCATTAATACATAAGCACTTTTCATTTAGAATTGAAATTGAAATTGAAATAAGTTTATTGAGGTAAAATACACACAAAGGGATGAGGTAGCTCATCCCTTTGTGTGTATTTTACCTCAATAAACTTATTTCAATTTCAATTTCAATTCTAAATGAAAAGTCATTTAGAATTGTCACCTATACCATATAAAAGATAAGACTAATTGACACATATAAAGACAGAGATATAGCTTAAAATCCCAACAAAATTGTTGTAGCAATATAGAATATATAATATATAATATAGCAATATGCTGTATAATATAGAATATATAATATAGCAATATAGAATTTTAAGAAGTAATGTTTCATCTACAGATTGAGGAGGTTAATGTGACTCAAACACTTAACTCCTTTTGGGTTTCAACTCCTTTTTGACCATGTCGTAGCTCAGTCGATTAAGGCAGCGTCTGGGATGCTCTCGGACGCAGGTTCGAATCCTCGTCACGGCCCTTGTGGATTTGTTCACTCGTGGCTCAAACATTTGTACTTGAAACACAGATCTGACGTCAACACGCCTCAGTGCTTATCAACAATCCAGTGGGCAAAGATAAGCTCTTAGTAATGTTGGAGAACCGTTATCAACGTTGATTCAACGTCATTTAGCCAACGTGTACCCAGCGGGAAGCCATTTTTCGTGGCAGTAATTATTAATAACAGGGATCCAGGAGGGCGATTCTTGCTTTCTCCTGTGGACCTCCAACGCCATTATACACATCACTTATTTATATACAAGAAGTTACATTGGGGGTTAATAGAGAATATAGAAAATAAGTAGAATTAACATTCTTGTAAAGCCACTAGTACGCATAGCGTTTCGTGGGCAGTGATCATTCTTAAATTGTATTTGTTTACAACCATGTTTGATATTTCTAGCAAAGAAAACGTGGACACTATTGTGCGCCTGAAAAAAATAGCCAAGAAGTTAATTCAACGTAGTTTCAACGTAGTTTCAACGTTAAATTTACGTTGTTTCGATGATGAATCAACGTTACTCTTGAATTAGTGTGCCTACTGGATAGCTAGATGGGTGATGCCCTTTTCAATAAAGATCTTTCGTTTGTGACTTATTTCAAGTGCTGGAGTTTTTATTTTTTATTTTTTGTTATTTTATTATTTTCTACCACAGACGTGGCCACACATTTACAATGCTAACCAGCATATATATACATTTTCTTGTATCCTCCATGGACAGGGTGAGAGATCTGTTAAACATATAGTTCAGGGATTTATTGAACAATCAACCACAGAAGGTGATTGTAGTGCTTTTAAAAAGCTAAGGTAACCTACATACGTAAGTACATAGATACACAGATTTACATATGTCATTAATGTACATTTACAAAGGTTAAATGTAATTCTGATCAGCTTCCACATATACATACACAGACATATACATATATACACACATACATACACATTTATCTCTAACTCTGACAGGGTGAGATAGCTGATAGAAAAACTAGTGTGCAATTAAGCACTTAACCACTGAAGGTGATTAAGGTGCTTTTACAAACTCAGGTTATATAGTTACATCAAATACATACATTGTATAATTGCTACAATACATGGTCAATCTTGGGCACAAGTCCAATATATCATCAAGTGTTCCAGTATTCATATAGTAGAGTTTAACATACCTCAGCCCAGGAGGGCGAAAGTCAGTCACTCTGGGACATTCTACAATATAATGTTCAAGTGAGTGCATGCACTCAAGTGCTGGAGAGGACTTGAGGCCCGGCAACAACTCAGTGGACACAAGGATTACAAGGGAAGAACCCCTATGACACGTAAAATTAGGATTAAGGACTTGCCCGAAACGCTTTGCGTGCTAATGGCTGTGCAAGAATATAAGAACTCTTGTTTATCTATAAATGAACTCTATAAATAAATAAATAAAATAAAAATAAATTTACTATTACGTAAAGGTTTAGTTTGTCGTGAAAATATTGCCATAGAAAATAGGATAACCATTCTCTTCAAAGAAAATGAAGTGTTTCTTTGGCTAACTTATTAAATTACCAAATGTACACGTATTGCCGACCTCGGAGAAAGGAGACCTGTACTTACGCTTACCTAGGTCCTCCTAGACCATCTACTGACCTTCCACAGATACCTATTTTACTACTAGACGAACGGGTCAAAGGAAACTTACCCAACCGTTTCTGTCTTGCCCGTAGATTGAACCCGGGTCGTTCAGTTGTGAGTCGAGGACGTAGACCAATGCTCTACAGAACCCCATGTATAATTTGCTCAGGGCAGGGAAGAGGAAGGAAGTGTCAAGAGAAAGCGCCGAGCCAAAACGACTATATAGCGCTTAAAAGGGGTCGGGATAAGGATTAGTGATGGGACGGGGGGAAAGGAATGGTGAATTGGACGGTCGGGGATTGAACACCGACCTGCATGAAGCAGGTCCAGCCCAAATGGTTGAGCACTCCATAGTCTCCTGAGACTGAAGGATGCCTACTACTACTACCTATTTACAAGGCTTCTCGTAGAATTGAGTGGTGGGGTCTGAGGGTAGATTGGGAGAATTGTAATACGCTTCGTTTAAGGTTAAAGAAAAAGAGACTTGGCCTCTTACGAAATACTTGTGGCTGGGTTTTAGTTTAGTTCATTTATTGTGCACCCCATACCCATCCTGTGGGCGGTGGTGGAAAGGTCTACAAAGGCACATAATGGGCTCAGGAACTGAATCCTAAAATTACTTTAGTCAAGCAAGTAAGAATCTTGATTCTTACTTGATTATATATATATATATATATATATATATATATATATATATATATATATATATATATATATATATTATATAATATATATATATAATTACACATACATATATAATTACACATACATATTACACTCCCCCTTTAACACACACATCCCCCCCCCCCCCCCGTTCCACACACACGCTAAGACCATTAGAAAAGAGAAGGACTAAAGGTGTAATAATCAGGTGTAAGATACGACGGAGAAGAGACGAAAAGTGAATAGTCTTTTCTAAGTTATTAGTAGCAGAAGGAGGTTTGACAGGTGGGAGGAGTTGGGAAGACCAGTGAACCAGACAGATGCTGTAAAATACTCTCAACCAGTATGGTTGCTAAGCGGGAAGAGTGAACCAGAGATAGCGGGAACACTAGCTTCAGGAGAGAATATAACAACACACACAGATATCACACTAACGTGATGCATCAAATGAACAAATCCACAAGGGCCGTGACGAGGATTCGAACCTGCGTCCGGGAGCATCCCAGACACTGCCTTAATCGACTGAGCTACGACAGGGTAAAAGGGTTGAAACCGAAGTTCTACTGAACTTACTGGATCCCGTAGCCTCTCCGAGGCAGGTTCGAATCCTCGTCACGGCCCTTGTGGATTTGTTCATGAGAGTATAACAACCCTGAAACATTCAGTGGTATAACTTCAGCAGGCCCTGCGGAACTAAGGCGGAACTCTTGAGAGCTAGATCACGCTCCCCGTAGACTGGTAAGAAAACACGTTTGTGCAGGCGATGAGTCACAATAACGTGGCTGAAGTATGATGACCAGACCACACACTAGAAATTGAAGAGACGACGACGTTTCGGTCCGTCCTGGACCATTCTCAAGTCGATTGTGAAATCGACTTGAGAATGGTCCAGGACGGACCGAAACGTCGTCGTCTCTTCAATTTCTAGTGTGTGGTCTGGTCATCACACGTTTGTGTATATTAGGTTTACATTGATTATGAACTTATTATATGGTAGGTCGGGAGGTGCCCCTGCATCTTGTCCAGGAAGGTCGGGCACTGCCCCACATCGAGGTCCTGTTTTGTGTGGTCGGGCAGCTCCTGGCCACCGAAGTCCTGTTTTGTGTGGTCGGGCAGCTCCTCGCCAGAAAGGTCCTGAACAACTGCTGCTGCTGCGTCTCTGGCTCGGTCATACCATCTCCGTTCGCTGGACCGCGGTGGCTCCAGGCTCAGTATACAGATGGCCTGCTGCAGGTGGCGCAGCGCCTGCTGCATCTGTAGCTTGAAGAAATACTCCGTCAGGTCCTCGGCTTTCTTCTCCGCTCTGGCTATGTCTGCTTCGGCCACCCCTACCTCGTACAGGGTCACCCCTGCAACACCCGTGAACATTAATTTATTGACAAGCAAAACAAAACATACGTAAAGTGGGACCAGATTTCATAACTAACCCAATATCAACTATTTTAAGGTGTTCTAGGAATATGTTCTTTGCTATAAAGGAGTTAGTCTATGAAACGTAGTAATAATGATAATTGAAATACAATCTATCTCTGTTTCTATACAGACTCAACGTTCTAAAGTTTTGTTATAATTCTCACTAACTGCTTTTGATACCAAAATGTGGAAGGGTACACAGGGGCAAAAAAACTAGCACTAGCAAAAAAACGAGCACACACACACACACAAGGAGAATGTTTTACAACTCCTGCAGCCTCATAGATTCAACATTGACAATGTAGAATACGAGTTTTTGGAGATACAATACAATACACTCAATACACGCGGAGAATTACATATATTACAGTATATATGTTTGGAGCTAGGCTATATATTATATTGTTTAGTGCTAAGCAGAAGCTGGTATCCGCACGTCCAGTATCCTAAGTGTTGAACTGTCGGGTCTAGCCGAGCCGTTGGTTCTATACCTACTAGATTATATCATATTTTGATATATATACACTTTACTATACACAAAAAAACAAGCCATCCTCCTGAAACGACAGTACTTATAGCAACTATTTGGTCAAGTGCACCAATATTTAATAGTTTCACAGCCTGGTTGTTAAACGATTTGGCGGGTTGTATTCCGGGGAAAATTAGGATGAACGACTTTTCCGAAACGCTATTCGTGCTAGTGGTTGTGCAAGAATGTAACAACTCTTGTATATATAAGTAAATAAATAAATATGTACTGTTGAACTCCATGAAAGTTAACGATTTGAATTACCGAATTAACCCAAATGACATTCCAGAAAATAGGAAATGTAAATTGAAGAAACTTGTCCAGGCAATCCTAGGGCTAATATACGCTATCTTAGGCCTAATATAAAACATATATGTGCATTACTAGCCTCAGAAATGATTCAGTTTGGTTATTAGGCTTCCCCTCGGACTATACAATTAGTACAAACGTGAACTTTTTGGAAGAGGCTGCAGCTGTATGTTCGAGCAAATAAATGTTCTAAGTACCGTCATTTTAAGAGGAATGGTTGAGAGCATATGCAGGCGTAACAGTGCGTCGGCGGACTGCCACAAAGCAAAGGAAATGATATATATTTAAACAGGCTAAACACAATTATAAAATAAAGAGAAGTGTTAGTCTTCTCTACACAGTAAACGAGTAGCGTGGAAATAAATGAAGAGCGGCATATCCTGTAGCCCTCCACGTCTGGTCTGCCTCGTGTGGTCTTCCCTGACTAGGAAGCAAGGTCTCCAGCTACCTCACAGACCTACACCATACTTACACAAGCACTCTCCCTCAGTTGGCCGTCATGGCGCGCCAAGCCGCCCGCCCCCTTCACCTATCTGCAAGGGAACATCGAGAAGCGCAAAGCTGGGAGGCAGGGCGCAAAAGTTAACTGTTATTTATATACTGTATACGAGAGAGTTTCATTGAGGATATTTCTAGATGTAGGGATATTGTGTTTTTAGGAAGGAAGGGTTTAGAGGAAGAGAGAGAGAGAGAGAAAGAAATAAAACCGTTACAAGGCAAGGAGTAATGAGATATGTGTAAAATTTCCATATGGGACTAACCACAAGGTGATATGCTACCTGCACAGACCAGATACTCTTTCTTAAGCCAAAAAATTCCTTGACTCGTCTGTTATAAGTGACTTTCCTTAATTTAAATCTTGTATCTCATTTAATGCAACGTACTCTATGGAATGCACAATTAGCTCACGAAATAAATTACCAAAATGCTTGTTTCAATTTGTAATTGTTTTTTTTACAATTAACGAATACAGCTGGCTAACCTCATGCGCTTGGTCGATTTCTCATTAATCATTTTTTTTATTTTGTTGTATAATACAATCTTAAATGTATCGATTCCTTCCTGAGGCTTGTTTTTGCGCACACGATAAAGAATACATCTGTGATTTTATCTCCAGGTCTCCAGTTATTGTTCGGCTCTCAAGGGGGGGGGGGGGCTGCCGAGGACTCGAACCTAGGGTTTCTCACTGGTTTGAATTTCTCACAGTTTACTTTCACGAATACACTGTACTTTCATAAGTACACTGTACTTCCATGAAAGCTGTAAACAAGACCTCTTGCTTACTCCCATAATATTAGTAAATACTAAAGCATGTTTTTATAGCATGTGTTAGCCTAAGCAACTTTAAGTTAACACAAAAAAAATTTGGAATCTATGCCAGTTGCTCAGATGTTTTGTAAACTATTTAAAGTTTCTCGACGCGTATTATTTTTTGCCGATAAACCCCTACTGACTGCTTAAATAGGCCTTTCGTATTCGTTAGTGAAGCTATTTTGTTTGTTTTTGTCCAAGTAGGCCTATAAAAATAAACCGAAATGACTTTTTCGAGGCGTGCAGCCGATGGGTGATGAAAATTGAACTCTATAGAGTATAAGGATGGATGAGCAGTAGGTGAACGGTGTTTGAGAAAGAGCTGATGAGAATTAAGAGTTCAGATGAAGATTAAACCACCCAAAAGGTGGCACGGGCATGAATAGCCCGTAAGTGGTGGCCCTTTTGAGCCATTACCAGTATCAAGAGCTGATACTGGAGATCTGTGGAGGTGCGACTGCACCCTGCGTGACGGGAGATGTCTCCCGTTAAGAGTTCAAGACGAGGAAGCATTATATAAGCAGTCTCCGTGGTGTAGTGGTAAGACACTCGCCTGGCGTTCCGCGAGGGCTTTGTCATGGGTTCGTATCCTGGCCGGGGAGGATTTACTGGGCGCAAATCCTCAACTGTAGCCTCTGTTTAGACCAACAGTAAAATGAGCACTTGGTTGTAACAACGATTCCAGGAACCTGCCCGAAACGCTACGCGTACTAGTGGCTGTACAAGAATGTAACAACTCTTGTATATATCTCAAAAATATTTAAATGCTATGCTTGTTGCATAGTGTTTAAGCTGTGCTCTCGGCGATATCTTAAGCACTATGCACTAAGCATAGCATGCTTAAGGCAGGACTTATGTGGTTTAGAAAGGTATGGAGGATCTGCGAGATTACATTTCGCGACTCTATTGTGATTATGGATTGTGCTGTTGTTGTGTTAGTGTGAGGCTAGTTGTGGAGGCGAGGGGGTGAGGACACAGGGGCGGTGTTCGGACAGCACCTCTCCTTCTGGTGAGTCCTGGTTCAAGGATGTCGTAAATGTGCAAAAGTCTCCGCCAGAGGTCCTTTTTGAGGGCAAGGGCCTGTCTGGAGCGGTTCTCCTGCAGGGTCCTGATGGCTGCTTGCGCCGCAGTGACCCACACGTGGTGATGCGGGTGAAAGACCTCCTCCAACTTGTCTAGAATGTTCCTGACGGCGTGGGGGCTGGTGTGCAGGAAGGTGTCGTCACAGTTGAAGTGCTCCAGCCACTGCTCCACCTCCTGACGGAGGAGCTGCTCCTGCTGCTGCAGCCCGCACATCGGACACTCCCACGTCATCTCCCCCAGCCACGTCCTCGGCTCCAGGTACTGGTGGTCGCACTGCTCGCACCTGGGAGAGGAGTAGTGCAGACCTAACTCCGTCGGGTCTGCGCAGCGGACGCAGCAGCAGGTGAAGAAGTGCGCCTCTGTGGTGTAGGCGCGTCGCTGCCACAGCGTCTGGAGGGTGCCGGTGTAGGTGTTGTAGAGGTGGTCGCCGCCCTGGAGGTCCACCGCCGCCCTCGCCCACATGGTGCCCTCGCTGTCGGCGGTGATGGCGACGGTGGGGCGGCAGGCGTGGTTCATGCGGCCCAACACGGGATACACGCCGCGGAGGCTCACTCCTGAAGGACTCCGCCACTCGAAGCAGTTGGTGACGATGGCCCCGCGAGCGTGATGAATATCCTGCAGGTCGTAGTCGGCCTTGAGCACGTCCTTGATGTAGAGCACAGTCGTCATGTGGTGCTGTTCCCTCTCCTGCTGGCGACGCTTCGCGTGGCTCGCCATGTCCTGCAGGCGGCGCCAGGCCGCAGGGTCGGTGTCGCGCAGCAGCAGGCAGCGCAGCACGAGGATGACGTCATACCGCGGGGTGCTGCCTGGTCCTCGAGGCTGCCCGAGCCTGCTGGTGTCGGCGGCCAGGATGCGACACTCTGCCCGGTGCAGGCTGCTGCTGGCGCAGGCTTCGGAGCACAGCGGCCACCAGCAGGCGGCGCAGCGAGGGAACTCTGCGCCAGGGATGAGTTGGTGACAGCCGAGACAGACAAGCGGGGAGGTGGCGCGCGGCCCCACGGCGATGGCCACCTCCGTCAGTAGCAGCTCCCCGGCAGGAACCTCGCGGCTCGTCACCAGGAACCTGACAACAGGACTTTCATAAGAACATAAGAACAAAGGCAACTGCAGAAGGCCTATTGGCCCATACGAGGCAGCTCCTATCTATAACCACCCAATCCCACTCATATACATGTCCAACCCGCGCTTGAAACAATCGAGGAAACCCCACCTCCACCACTTTACGCGGTAATCGGTTCCACAAATCAACAACCCAGTTACCGAACCAGTATTTACTCAAGTCTTTCCTAAATCTAAATTTATCCAATTTATACCCATTGTTTCGTTTCATTACTCTAACGGACACTATTGACTAGAAAGCCTGTTAAAGCCCTGCTATAAGCCTCCGTGACACACCTGCCTGCCGTAGGGTCGCTCCGTTCGACGACGGGGCAGCAGTGTTGCCTGTGGGTGTCCCACACCTGCTGGCAGTGGCTGCCGCTACAGTAGTTGCCCAGGTGACAACTGCTGCAGCAGACAGTGGCCTCTGAGCCACATTCCTCACACGCTGCCTGCACGCCCATGCTTCAGGAGAGGAAGGGAGTTCCTTGTCGTACACTGAAAGGTGATGCAAGCGTTTATTTCAGCACAAAAGGAATTGTGTAACATGTTGATAGTTTTCGTGAAATAATTGGCATGTGGAGAATTGTTAAGGCGGTGAGAGGGAGCGTACTCACCTCACCTAGTTGTGCTTGTGGGGATTGAGCTCAGGCTCTTTGGTCCCGCCTCTCAACCGTCAATCAACAGGTGTACAGATTCCTGAGCCTATTGGGCTCTATCATATCTACACTTGAAACTGTGTATGGAGTCAGCCTCCACCACATCACTGCCTAATGCATTCCATTTACTAACTACTCTGACACTGAAAAATGTCTTTCTTTTTGCGGCGTGCGGGGGTGAGCGTGGGCGTGTGGGGGAGTGAGCGTGGGCGTGTAAGGGGGGGGGGGGTGATGGCTGGCGTGTGGGCAGGAATGTATTGGCTGCTTGGCTACTACGCTCTACCCACCTGTTGTCGTCAGTCCCGTTTTGTAACGCGCTCATGTAACCAACTCTTTTCCACTGTTGAACCTGATCAACCAGGATGTGACTCATACGTCAGGCTGCGAGCAGCCGCGTCCAACAGCCTGATTAACCAGTCTAGCAACCAGGAGGCCTGGTCGAGGACCGGGCCGCGGGGACATTGAGCCCCCTGAAATCATCGCAAGGTAAGGTTTACCTGATTACAAATGTGTGTCTACCTAATACTTTACGAAATGAAATCATGCTAAATCCTGGTGCATACTTCCCCTAACTACGTCTACACCTGCACCCTCTCCCCCCCCCATGCACTCTCCCCCCCCCAAGGCACTCCCCCCCCAAGGCACTCCCCCCCAAGGCACTCTTCCCCCCCAAGGCACTCTTCCCCCCCCCATGCACCCCCCCAAGGCACTCTCCCCCCCCCCCCCAAGGCACTCTTCCCCCCAAGGCACTCTTCCCCCCCCCCCAAGGCACTCCCCCCCCCCCCCCGAGTACGACATATCGCAACCCCTAATACTTGCCAACAAAGGCTGGCGTACACAGTGACCGATGCGAGACGAATTAGTTTCTGTCGTACATGTTATTTATAGTTATGTCGTAGTCCGTGCGACTAACTGTCTTATCCTTTTGGCTGTCCATCTGTCTGTTGACAGCTACTATGGAGGGAATGCCTGTCCCTCAGCCTCTTGACATATTGACTGCTAGGTGAACAGAGGCATCAAGTTAAAGAAACTCTGGCCATTTGTTTCTGACCATAGAGCGTTGCCCACTCGGCTACGAGGACCTTGTATTCACCAAATTGTGCTTGCGAGGGTTGAGCTCTGCTCTTTCGGCCCGCTTCTCAACTGTCAATCAATCAACTGTTACTACCTACTAATTAACTATTTTTCCCCAGGAAGCATCCCGTAACAGCTGTCTTAACTCCCAGGTACCTAATTTACTGCTAGGTAACAGGGAGCACCAGGGTGAAAGAAACTCTGCCCATTGTTTCTCGCCGGCGCCGGGAATCGAACCCCCGGACCACAGGATTACGTGCTAGCGTGCTGTCCACTCAGCCACCCTCCCTGCCTGTGTTTGTGTGTGGGGGGGGGGGGGAGAATTTCCTAATCATTCACTGTGTTATAATTAGACTGCCAGACGAGATTGACAGACTTCTACGACTTAAGAATACCACGCATGTGGTGAGTCATGGATGGACACGCACGCACGCTCGCACGCACACTCGCACGCACACTCGCACGCACACTCGCCAGCACACGCAAAAACGTCCTCTCAAATTATTAACATTTGAACGACATTTTCCAGGAGAGTAATTATGATTAGTTTCATAAATTATTGTTCTTTGGAAATGTGGTTCAAGAAACTATCCAAATTACCACAAAATGGCCAGAAATAGTTATATATATATATATATATATATATATATATATATATATATATATATATATATATATATATATATATATTTATATATATTTATATATATATATATATATATATATTTATATATATATATATATATATATATATATATATATATATATATATATATATATATATATATATATATATATATATATATATATATATATATATATATATATATATAATGCTTTATTTCCACTTATCTAAAGCTTATAGGGTTCTATAGGTTCTCTGTAGAACCCTATAAGCTTTAATATAGGAAGCTGGCACCTATATTAGTCTATAAATGATCTATTTTCTTTTTTAAAACATTGTATTATGCGCGTAGGTTTGAGTGTATTTACTGATATGCAATTAAAATTAACGAAGAAAGCTCAAATAATTCATAGGTAATAGTTATTCATTAGAGAAACAGGAAAGTGAGTCGACGCTTACAAAACGCAGGTGGTCGCGTGGCGTCACTCAACTTGTAGGAAAAGGGAGAATTAATATAAATTTGATCCATTCCGTTAGTGTATGTCTAGACTAGAGAGGTACTTCACTAGACTGTACCGTCATAACTAATGCTAGTTCACCTGTACACAACATGGAGTTATGCAGGCGAGGAGTCACAATAACGTGGCTGATGTTGACCAGACCACACACTAGAAGGTGAAGGGACGACGACGTTTCGGTCCGTCCTGGACCATTCTCAAGGCGAAACGTCGTCGTCCCTTCACCTTCTAGTGTGTGGTCTGGTCAACAGCATCGACGTATGTTTTTAATTAGTTATGGTTATTAAATATGAAGCTTTCATGCAAATATAACTTCTCAATACATAACTTGCCATAAAATAAACAATTATATTAGGGGTCCCTCTAGTCCCCCAGGAATAACATGGGAGTTACTCCATTAAACTTTCCTAATACTGCTCTTACCTTATTCCTTAGAGCCCCCTGATGTTGATGCTATTGAGAGGCCGCTTCGTTTTTCTTATTATATGTACTGGACGGTGTTTGCAATACTAAGACAAGAGATCATATGGGTCACACCTCACACCTTAGTAGTCTTCGCCCGACTGATCCGCCCGCCCCTCCTCCCACACTACCCCACCACCAACAACAACCCCTTCTCTCACCCTCCAACCAATCTCCTTCCTCCACCACCACAATTCTCCCTCAAAACTTTGATTAAGTGTGTTTTTCAACACAAAGAAGATGAAAAACATGCTAGAAGATATATATATTTCTTGATTAGTATATGTTTAGATCAAGGCGTTAGATGTTATTTTAGGTTAGAGAAAAATAACGTCTGTTGATAGGAGAGTTGTTTATGTTCATTTATTATGCGCCCTATACTTCTCCTGTGGGTGGTTAGTGGACCTCATTCCGATCATATGGGTGATAGTGGGTGCTAATGGATCTTATACCCATTCCGTAGGCGGTGGTGGACTACACACCACACACACACACACACACACACACACACACACACACACACACACACACACACACACACACACACACACACACACACACGCTGACTCCATACACAGTTTCAAGTGTAGATATGATAGAGCCCAATAGGCTCAGAAACCTGTACACCAGTTGATTGACGGATGAGAGGCAGGACCAAAGAGCCAGAGCTCAACCCCCGCAAGCACAACTAGGTGCGTACACACACACACACACACACACACACACACACACACACACACACACACACACACACACACACACACACACACACACACACACACACACACACGCGCACCTGTGGCCTAAGTCGTGCAAGATAAATGTGTGAGAATTTAAGTACAAACAGCATACATAATCCGGGGTGCTACATAACGCCGTATATAGAGTCAGGCTCTACGCCTGTCTCATCCCTTATACCATGACGACATGCGGAGATTCGCGCAGGTAATTATTTGGTTTAACCGCACGTTTGTGTACGTCAGCTTGGCCCGTGGCGTAGTAGTCGTACTGAGTCGTACTGATATAGAGTATAGTAGGGGAGTGTGGGGGAGCTGCCAAGCCTGGAACACGGCCTTAGTAACCCTCTCGGGACCTGTGGCGACGGTGGTACATTGTTGGGCGTCGCTGGTACATTGTTTGGCGTCGCTGGTACATTGTTTGGCGACGCTGGTACATTGTTTGGCGACGCTGGTCCATTGTTTGGCGTCGCTGGTACATTGTTTGGCGACGGTGGTACATTGTTTGGCGACGCTGGTCCATTGTTTGGCGTCGCTGGTACATTGTTTGGCGACGCTGGTACATTGTTTGGCGACGCTGGTACATTGTTTGGCGACGCTGGTACATTGTTTGGCGACGCTGGTACATTGTTTGGCGACGCTGGTACATTGTTTGGCGACGCTGGTCCATTGTTTGGCGACGCTGCTCCATTGTTTGGCGACGCTGCTCCATTGTTTGGCGACGCTGCTCCATTGTTTGGCGACGCTGCTCCATTGTTTGGCGACGCTGCTCCATTGTTTGGCGACGCTGGGTCATTGTTTGGCGACGCTGGTACATTGTTTGGCGACGCTGGTCCATTGTTTGGCGACGCTGGTACATTGTTTGGCGACGCTGGTACATTGTTTGGCGACGCTGGTACATTGTTTGGCGACGCTGGTACATTGTTTGGCGACGGTGGTCCATTGTTTGGCGACGCTGGTACATTGTTTGGCGACGCTGGTACATTGTTTGGCGACGCTGGTACATTGTTTGGCGACGCTGGTACATTGTTTGGCGACGCTGGTCCATTGTTTGGCGACGCTGGTCCATTGTTTGGCGACGCTGCTCCATTGTTTGGCGACGCTGCTCCATTGTTTGGCGACGCTGGGTCATTGTTTGGCGACGCTGGTACATTGTTTGGCGACGGTGGTACATTGTTTGGCGACGCTGGTACATTGTTTGGCGACGCTGCTCCATTGTTTGGCGTCGCTGGTACATTGTTTGGCGACGCTGGTACATTGTTTGGCGACGCTGCTCCATTGTTTGGCGACGCTGGTACATTGTTTGGCGACGCTGGTACATTGTTTGGCGACGCTGCTCCATTATTTTTGTGCGTGTGGGAGTCGAGTATGCTGGTGTAACAATCGCTGTAATTGTGGCTAATAATTTGTAACCCTTAGACTGTACTAATTGCGTTGACAGAACCCCAAAGAACTGGGAATTGTCCGCCCTCGCAACAGAAAATGCTCAAACCAGTTATCAGGGGGAGGCGTGGAGAACTGACCAAGATGTTAAAAATATCTTCACAATTCTTATGTTCCAGATGGAAGATCAACATACACATAAATATATAATGCCGCCGCCACTCCTCCTGGAACGTTGAAACTAATTGACTCAGCAGGAGACCAGTCAACTAGCGTTAGGGAACTTAAATCTTTTAATACAAACTGGGTAGATGGAATTCTAATTAAATTAACTATGACTACAAGAGGAATGTAACGCCTGCGATCGAAATGCGACGTTCTTTGTAAGAGGACAGGTTGATGGGCAATTTCAGCATTGTCCTGCTGACATCTGTAATTCTATTAATTAATTAAGTAGTAATTCTATTGTCACGACTCGGCTCAGAGCCCTACCTATTTGTCAGCATTAAAGAGAGAGAGAGAGGAGAGAGAGAGAGAGAGAGAGAGGGGGGAGGAAGAGAGAGAGAGAGAGAGAGAGAGAGAGAGAGAGAGAGAGAGAGAGAGAGAGAGAGAGAGAGAGAGAGAGAGAGAGAGAGGAGAGAGAGAGAGAGAGAGAGAGAGAGAGAGAGATTAAACTGCATCTTTTAATCTAACGTCCATTTTTAAAGCCTATTAAAATTGTCTTATAATGATTGCCTGCCTTATATGTCCCCTCTTTCTCCCCCTTTTTCTTTGTTCCCTCTTCCCTTTACCCTCTTCTCTTTCATCTCGCCTACTTAAATGAACATAAATTCACGTTAAACGTGGACACAGAACGATAACGTTAATCCCAGGTATTAGAAGCCTCTATTATGAAGAGAGATTGTGAAGACCGAATTACATTCTCTTCCCCTTCCCCAATTCCCCTTCTTTTTCCCCCTTCCCCAATTCCCCTTCTTTTTCCCCCTTCCCCTTCTTCTTCCTCCCCTTCCCCCCTCTGAACCGGGACCTCTCCCCCCCCCCAACGCTGCAACCTTCTTAGTATGTTAAGATAAGTATTTTACAGCTTCTTAATTACCTATATTGATATTACAGTTTTATAAAAATAATTAAACAAAACTAAAATATCTAAATAAATTGTAAAGTAACTCAGGATATTGTCAAATTTTGTATAAAATCTCTATTGTTTAATAAAACTTTAATAGAAGAGTTAGTGCCTTGAAAAAAATATAGAACTTGGAATATATGATATATATATACTTATTCATAAGCCAAATATTGACTATAAGGAATAAGTCATATATGGACTGTCTTGTGCGAGAGCGGGTTGCAAGCGTGCCTGAGCGTGTACCTGCCCAGGTAAGGTGATGAGTCCCCCCCCCCTCCTTCGCTGACATTAAGAGGGTGCGTGTTGCAGGGTGGTGGCTCCTTCCCGGTGTTGTCGCTGCTCGGACCCACATTCCTGGCTATTTGTGCCTCACTGCTCTCCCTCTCTTTCTCTTGCTCGCTCTCTCACACTCGCTCTCTAGCACTCTCGCTCTCTCACACTCTCTCTCTCTCTCTATCTCTCTCTCTCTCTCTCTCTCTCTCTCTCTCTCTCTCTCTCTCTCTCTCTCTCTCTCTCTCTCTCTCTCTCTCTCTCTCTCTCTCTCTCTCTTTCTCCCTCTGTCTTTCTCTCTCTCTCTCTCTCTCTCTCTCTCTCTCTCTCTCTCTCTCTCTCTCTCTCTCTCTCTCTCTCTCTCTCTCCTTTCCTTCCTGCTATAATCACACTGTTTACCTGAATTTACCCGAGGGCCACTCTCTTCAGTGACAGGAAGCTGCCGGCTTGTCATCGTTCCTCTTGGTTTTTACCATAATTTGAAGAGTCTGACATTAATACTAAGGCTCTAAATACTTTTTGAAGTCAAATAATTATTTGTGATCTTTTTTTTCGCTGCTCCAAGGCTTAGAATTCGTGCCGCTCAATAATATTTAAGTTGTTAGTCATTAGGTATCGTTTTCTGTAATGTGCAGCTTGAGAAAACGGATATTAAATAAGGGTTAACTTAATAATTCTGCCTCATTCGTATTATTTACTGTTGTTGGGGATAGGAAACTTCTGGGTACTCATTTAATTGTATTTACCTTTTTGTACTTGAGGGAGGGTTGAGCTTCGGCTTTCTTGGACCCGCCTCTCAACTGTCAATCAACTGGTGTACAGGTTCCTGAGCCTATTGGGCTCGTATCATATCTACATTTGAAACTGTGTATGGAGTCAGCCTCCACCACATCACTTCCTAATGCAATCTGTTTAACTACACTGATACTGAAAAAGTTCTTTCTAGTGTCTCTGTGGCTTATTTTGGTACACAGTTCCTACCTGTATCTCCTTGTGCGAGTACCACTCATGTTAAGGAGTCTGTATTTACCTACCCTACAAAATCTTGAACATTTTGTACGTGGTAATCATATCTCCGCCAAACTTCTGTCTTCCAGAAACGTGAAGTTCTATTCTCGTAGCCTTTCCTTGTAACTCATACCTCGTAGTTCTGGAACTAGTTTTGTGGAATACCTTTGAACCTTCTAAAACTTCAACTTGTTCTTGACTCGGAGCTGCATTCACGAGGACTGGTCTGACACACGTAGTATACAAGGTTCTAAATGATTCAGGCAAATTTCTTAAGGCAGTTCTGATTTTAGCCAGTCTTGCACATGCCGCTGATGATATGCTTTTGATGTGGGTTTCGGGAGACAGGTTTGGCTTGATATCAAACCCCTGTAAACAAATCCACAAGGGCCGTGACGAGGATTCGAACCTGCGTCCGGGAGCATCCCAGACACTGCCTTAATCGACTGAGCTACGACAGGGTTAAAAGGGTTGAAACCGAAGTTCTACTGAATTTACTGTTTCTACTGAAACCCCTATAGATCCTTCTATGTGTGCGCATTGGACGTTTGGTGCAGCTTAGTTTATTCACCGTCTTAATATTGCGGGTAAATGCACATTTCAATTTCGAAAAGTTCAGTTAATTTTAAAATGACTACCAGAGGGCTACACTGAGATTGGAAGCTGTCTTCCGTGGTTACTCACGAGTGTTTTAAGTCACTAGTCAAGATAGGACGTTTTCAATGCGTTTCTTCGAAAGTTAGTTTAGTCACTATTCATCCCATATGCCCGTCTCGTGGGCGGTAGTGGATCCCTAACCCATCCCGTGGGCGGTAGTGGGCCCCATACCCATCCCGTGGCCGGTAGTGGACCCCATACCCATCCCGTGGGTGGTAGTGGACCCCATACCCATCCCGTGGCCGGTAGTGGACCCCATACCCATCCCGTGGGTGGTAGTGGACCCCATACCCATCCCTCTGGCGGTAGTGGACCCCATACCCATCCCACGGGCGGTAGTGGACCCCATACCCATCCCGTGGGCGGTGGTGGACCCCATACCCATCCCGTGGGCGGTGGTGGACCCCATACCCATCCCGTGGGCGGTGGTGGACCCCATACCCATCGCACGGGCGGTAGTGGACCCCATACCCATCCCGTGGGCGGTGGTGGACCCCATACCCATCCCACGGGCGGTAGTGGACCCCATACCCATCCCGTGGGCGGTAGTGGACCCCATACCCATCCCACGGGCGGTAGTGGACCCCATACCCATCCCGTGGGCGGTAGTGGACCCCATACCCATCCCTCTGGCGGTAGTGGACCCCATACCCATCCCACGGGCGGTTCGTTTGGAAACTAAAGAAAGAAAAAGAAAGATAGACCCACTACAATATATTATTATTATTGGTGCCAATATTCAGGACATTATTTTGTCGGGAGCAAAATAGTGTCAAAATTTATTTTTACAAATACAAGAATGTACAGTGTACACGCTTATAAAGTGACTGACACGCATAGCGCATTAGTCACTTTATGACATCACACTTTATATGTATAGTGTAATGTTATAAAAAAAACGCAAAAAATAGGCCATTTTTTGTAATTTATGACTTAAGGTATAAATAGACCTTAATGGTCACGTTCATTTGAATTAAACAAAACTAATATTCAAGTCTGTGTAATAATTTTGTTCCTCCCATTTATACACCAAAGCTTTATATATACGAAAAATGTAAATAGCAAAAAAAATCCTTAATCATAAAATCATGAACATTTGAACACAAAATGTATTATTTACTTGATACCTGCTTGATGGGGTACTTAGTATGATTGTAAGAGATTTGCACCTCTCTCTCTGTCTCTCTCTCTCTCTCTCTCTGTCTCTCTCTCTCTCTCTCTCTCTCTCTCTCTCTCTCTCTCTCTCTCTCTCTCTCTCTCTCTCTCTGTCTGTCTGTCTGTCTGTCTCTCTCTCTCTCTCTCTCTCTCTCTCTCTCTCTCTCTCTCTCTCTCTCTCTCTCTCTCTCTCTCTCTCTCTCTCTCTCTCTCTCTCTCTCTGTATATATATGTACACACACATAAGCACTTAAAGTTAAATTGCTGTTGCCAGCAGCGAAAATATCAACCTTCCACAGCCTGAGATACAACCATGACCACAGTAGGTCTCCCTCTCCGTGGCTGGGGACACGACCACGACAATAATAGGGACTCGTCTCCGTGGCTGGGGACACGACCACGACAATAATAGGGACTCGTCTCCGTGGCTGGGGACACGACCACGACAATAATAGGGACTCGTCTCCGTGGCTGGAGACATCACCTCCCCCTACACTAGGACCCAAGTTCCACAGGTCCGCCTTGCAAGAGTCCACCATCCATCTAGGCAAAGTCACTCTGCTCGTATCGTAGCGGAGTCTAAGCGTTGCAGAAACTCCACGGCCTCTGCTTTCTTCTCGTGAGCCCTCTTCGCTAGCTCCGGGCCCCTCGTGCCCTCCGGCTCCAGGTTCAGGATCTTCGTCGACTCCTCCAGGTATTTGACTATCTCCCGCAGCTGCTTCAAGAACTCAGGCATGAAGGCGTCGCCGCTTTCATATTCCAGCTTCGCTGCACGAAGCATTATGATTCCTAGTTCCAGGAGCGTCATACCTGGGGGGAAGAGGAAGGATTCTCAGTCATCCACCAACATCAACCAAACCTCAGACCCCCTCGCCTAAGAACAACATCCATTTCTTAATATTTTAGCATGTGATTAAAGCCCTTAAGTATGTGTGAATTTCAAGGGAATAAGTAATGTTCGGAGAGTTCTTTTATGTGGCAAGTAAAGTTGTTTTTTTAGTTATCCAGCACTTTGGTGAATAGTTTTCAGTGTTTGGATTATCTATTACTGAAGTAGAGTTGTGTTGATTAGCAGTTCGTTAGACTTGATGGGAATATGAGCATTCATTTAGGCCCCCTTAACTCGACGTTTGGTTTGTGAGTTTTAACTTATCTGTTGTGGTGTGTTGTTGGTGTGGTTTTGTGTATGTTGTGGTTTGTGTGTATGTCGTTGTTTTGTGTTTGTGTACGTCATTGTGTGTGTCGCTGCTGTGTTTGTGTACGTCATTGTGTGTGTCGCTGCTGTGTTTGTGTACGTCATTGTGTGTGTCGCTGCTGTGTTTGTGTACGTCATTGTGTGTGTCGCTGCTGTGTTTGTGTACGTCATTGTGTGTGTCGCTGCTGTGTTTGTGTACGTCATTGTGTGTGTCGCTGCTGTGTTTGTGTACGTCATTGTGTGTGTCGCTGCTGTGTTTGTGTACGTCATTGTGTGTGTCGCTGCTGTGTTTGTGTACGTCATTGTGTGTGTCGCTGCTGTGTTTGTGTACGTCATTGTGTGTGTCGCTGCTGTGTTTGTGTACGTCATTGTGTGTGTCGCTGCTGTGTTTGTGTACGTAATTGTGAGTGTCGCTGCTGTGTTTGTGTACGTCATTGTGTGTGTCGCTGCTGTGTTTGTGTACGTCATTGTGTGTGTCGCTGCTGTGTTTGTGTACGTCATTGTGTGTGTCGCTGCTGTGTTTGTGTACGTCATTGTGTGTGTCGCTGCTGTGTTTGTGTACGTCATTGTGTGTGTCGCTGCTGTGTTGTGTACGTCATTGTGTGTGTCGGTGCTGTGTTTGTGTACGTCATTGTGTGTGTCGCTGCTGTGTTTGTGTACGTCATTGTGTGTGTCGCTGCTGTGTTTGTGTACGTCATTGTGTGTGTCGCTGCTGTGTTTGTGTACGTCATTGTGTGTGTCGCTGCTGTGTTTGTGTACGTCATTGTGTGTGTCGCTGCTGTGTTTGTGTACGTCATTGTGTGTGTCGCTGCTGTGCTTGTTTGTATATTGTTGCTGTGTTTGTGTCTGTATGGTGATATACTTCTTTGTATGTCATTGTTGTGCTTGTGTAACTCTGTTATTGTTGTAGCTGTGTATATATATATTAGTCTCTGTGTCGTTGTGTTTGTGTATAGTTGTGTGTGCATGGTGCTGTGCTTGTCTCTGTGTAGTGTTGAGGGGTTTGTTAGTGTAGGGGAAAGAGAGGACGGAGACTACAACCTGAGAGAAAAAAAGAGGAGATACAGACATACAGACGAAGAGTCACAATAACGTGGTTGAAAAATGTTGACCAAACCACACACTAGAAAGCGAAGGTACGACGACGTTTCGGTCCGTTCTGGACTATTATCAGGTGGATTGTCGACTTGATAATGGTCCAGGACGGACCGAAACGTCGTCATCTCTTCACCTTCTAGTGCGTGGTTTGGTCAACAGATACAGACATACACGTCGTGCGCATGGCATCTCCTCTACATTTCCTCAACGGTTGGTCTTACTGCACACTCTGCCAGTACAGCAGAGCTCACCTATGTACTCAGTAATGCTGCCTACTGCACTAGAATAAGCATTAACAACAGGATTAGTCAATATCCACCTGTCCAGGGGGAGAATTGTTGATACTACCCCGAACAGTCTGCCTTCGGACACGCTTCACGTCAAGGAAAAACACGCTAGAAACTAGAACCCTTCAGTAAATGCTTAACAGTATTGAGTTGTAGCATTTAACCCTGCAGGCAGAGCAGCCAAGGTGCCCAAGAAAGATGCACATGCGGCCCCTCGTCTTGGAATAAGAACTAGACGAGGCGCGTCTTTCAAATGTTTTGTTCTTTCTCTAACTCTAATTACTATCAGATAAATAGGAAAATAAGGACAGTAACACATATCTTTGGAGGAAAAGAAAGATAACTTGAGTAGTTTATGAACCACCTACAAAATGATTTTGTATCACTGACGGATGCAGTCTTGGTGTTCAAGCCTAATAACGCCAATTTTTATGAAAAAATAACAACTGAAAATAACGAAAATACTAGACTTTTAAAGTTGAGGCAAAATAACTTCACACCACGCTGCTATCCTCTCTTTCTATCCTATCCACGCTGCTGCTATCCTATCCACGCCACGCTGCTATCCTATCTTTCTATCCTATCCACACCACGCTGCTATCCTATCTTTCTATCCTATCCACGCTGTTGCTATCCTATCCACACCACGCTGCTATCCTATCTTTCTATTCTATCTCTGGCACACACTTCCAAGACCGTGAATGTAATGTGTCTGGTTCTAAAACTGTTAGTGTATGTTTTGATCAGTATTTGCTACACACATTCAGTTCCTACACTAGCACCAGCACCAGCTGGTTAGGGAGGAACATTAGTGTTAGGACAGAAAGAGGAGTAGAATCTGTTTAATCGACCCGCCAGTCCAAGCAAGAGTCTTGTCTTTGGCAGCTTGACGAACCTCACTCGTCTGTTGGTGAAGCCGCGAGTCTAGCTTCTATGACAACTTCTAAAATGGAACTAAAAAAATTCAACTGACCTCGGATTTACTGGGAGCCTCCCGGCACCACCCCTACCAGCCTCTCTGTTACGGAGGAGGCAAAAAGGATGAGAGGAAGATACAATTAAGGAACAGGTTGCGTAGCGGGTGTGCGTCGTCCGCCAGCGACTCCTCTTTACCCAGGGTTCTCACCTCGTCTCTTGGTTAGGCCGGGCTCCAGCACGCTATACAGAAACATGAGTTTCTTCCACATTTTAATTTTCATCTTGAGCGCCTGTTCTGTGTTGTTGTCGGAGAGCTGGTACAAGGCGGAGTGCGCCGCCCTCATCCAGATGTAGTGCTGGTTGTGGAACTGGTCCTCCACCTCCTGCATCGCCGCCACCGCTCGCCTGAAGTTGCCGGTGAAGATATCGTCCATTTCTATCCTCTGCAGCCAATCTTTGATATCTTCTTGAACGTCCGCGTCAGGCCTTTCCATTTTGCAGGCTGGACACCTCCACACTGTGTCACCAAGCCACGTGGAGGATATCAGATAAGACTTTTCACACTGACCTTTGCACTGTGTACACTTGGGAGAGGAGAAGAACGTCCCCAGCTCCGTGGGGTCTTCGCAGCGGGCACAGTTGCACGAGAAGTGGTAAGTCAAAGTTAAGGTTTCTCTGCGCTCCCAGAGAGGCATGAGGGCGCCGGTGTATGAGATGCAGAGAGGTTCCCCGATCTGGACGGGCACTGTCGTCCGCGCCTGCATCCGTCCCCCGGGGCCACACGACAGGTGGACGTTGGGGATACAAGAGTTGTTGAAGAGCCGCACCACCGGGTACATGGCTCTCACTCTCGCGTTTTTATCGCTTCTTATTTCCATGCCATTGGTTGCTATGGCGCCTCTCACCTGGTGAAGCGTCTCCTGATCATGGTCGAGCTTCAACACCTCCGTCATGTAGCGGACAGTAACTATCTGCTGGTCCTCGCAGTTGAGTTGGCGCTGCTCTGAATGGTTGGCCATCGTCGTCATTATCTGCCACGCTTTCGGGTCCTTGGTCTTCAGCAGAAGGCATCGAAGGGTGAGAATGACGTCGTAACGCGGCGTCTCCTGCTGGCCAACTGGTGTGGCTATGCGCTTGGTGTCGGTGGCCAGGATGGGACACTCGTCCTGGTGACGGCTGCTGGAGGCGCACTCGAGGGAGCACAGCGGCCACCAACACCCCGGACAGCGCGGGAAGTTGTTGCCCCTGATGGAGCCGTGACACCCCAGGCACACGAGGGCAGAGATGGACAGGGGACCCACAGCCAGAGGAACCTCCTCCACCAGCACCTGGCCCGCCGGCAGGGGTCGTGACGCCACCAGGTACCTGAAACATTGCACCAGCTCAGTCAGATCACCAGGAAGCCATCACATACATACAAGAATCTGCTCCCTTCCAGAAATTAACCCAAAATATCCGCGGCGTCACGAAAGCAATTACATTTGAGTAAAATAGTGGTAGTAGGCATCCATCAGTCTCAGGAGACTCATTTACAATAATTACCAAGTTATTCCAAAGCAATTGAGTATATTTAGTTGTATTAGCCTAGCAAAGGTGAAGTATAGATGACTTGCTTGCCAGCCTCCGGGGAGGAGATGAGCTTGTAAGGGGGACACTGGTCGCGGTGCTGCGGCCAGTGTTGGCGTTGGTGGTCCTTACAGCAGTAGTGCGCCGAGCCGCACCCGCCGCATGCCATCGACGCCGCAGTCTGGCACACGTCGCAGCTGCCGCACCCGCCGCTGTCTCCACCGCTGCCTTCTCCACTCCCTATACCCATGGTCGCGGGTCTGCGGGAAGCAACATATCCACAGATATATAAGATATATGTGTGTAAATCACGACAATTAACACGTGACGAAAAATGTGACAGTGTCAGACCACGGAGGAAGAATTGAAACAGGAATTTCCTTATGTTGACCAGACCACACACTAGAAGGTGAAGGGACGACGACGTTTCGGTCCGTCCTGGACCATTAAATTAATGTATTATTAAATACTTTCGTTTTTAGTAATACATCATCAGAAGGATATTTCTACACCCTTCTGAAGATGTATTATTAAATACGAAAGTACTTAAGGAAATTCCTGTTTCAAGTCTTCCTCCGTGGTCTGACACTGTCATATAACATATATATATTAAGAAAAATAGAATAGGGGATGATAGGAGAAGAAAGTGCTAAGTGTTGAGTAAGAATCCACAAGGTTTTCTCTGAACACTTTTTATTCTCTTCTTCAAAGCTATATATAGCTTAAATATATATATATATATATAGAAAGCTATATGTCTGAGCGCTTTCAGACTGGGTTTTTTTTCCAGACCCTTGTCAATAATTTGTCTTACGTGCACCTCTTTCATTCATGCAAACCTGTGACAGTGACCTCCACCTAACTCCAACTCCCGTACATAAAGATCAAGCGCCAGACTCCAGCGCCAAGTTCCCGCTCAAGCGTAATTTACCAATCATTTTACCACCATACAATCAGCTAGTCTCCAATTGGTGTTTTACTCAACCCGTCCTCTCCAGACTTCCCAATTAACGTCACTAAACTGATGTACTAAATTGGTCGAAGCTGACGTCAACTGAGGTCCCGCGAATAGCAATTGGGACATCAGGTTAATTTTACCAGAGTTGCTGTGGGTGTTCTCGGGTCATCAGTGTTTGGCGCCTTAGAGGGGGATTTACTCGTCAAAATGCGATGTACTGTTCGAAAGGCCGGGTGATGTGTCTGTCATGTTACCCCAGAGAGAGAGAGAGAGAGAGAGAGAGAGAGAGAGAGAGAGAGAGAGAGAGAGAGAGAGAGAGAGAGAAAGAGGGGGGGGGGGGGGGGGAAGAGAGACACAGATAAAGATAGATATGTAGTATATATATGAAGAGAAAAATAGGTAGGATGTGAATTACATAAGGTAACCGAACTGACGGTTGAAAGGCACGGTCCAAGAGATAACAGCTTGATCCTGCAAGCACGTACTCACTCACGCACGCACGTACGCACACACACACACACACACACACACACACACACACACACACACACACACACACACACACACACACACACACACACACATACACACACATAGGGTCCTGGTAGCCTGGTGGATAGCACGCAGGACTCGTAATTCCGTGGCGCGGGTTCGATTCCCACACCAGGCAGAAACAAATGGGCAAAGTTTCTTTCACCCTGAATGCCCCTGTTACCTAGCAGTAAATAGGTACCTGGGAGTTAGTCAGCTGTCACGGGCTGCTTCCTGGGGTGTTTGTGTGTGTGTGGTGTGGAGGAAAAAAAAATAGTAGTTAGTAAACAGTTGATTGACAGTTGAGAGACGGTGTCGGAAAATCCGACACCATTTAATATCATACAGATAATAGCTGTGTTGTATAAACAAGTTAACCATAGAAAACGTAACTTGTAGTGGAATTACCGTCTAAAGAAAACGGGATATCATCACCACATACTATTATAAATCACCACCTATTATGGTGGGAATTATTCTTAAATACATTAGTCTTTGGACTTTACCATCATAAACATCTCATATATATTAACTTAATTATCAATATTAAAGTAGAGTAAATGAGACCCTTCTATCACTTTCTGAAATCTGGACAATGTAAGCCAGGCGTCAGTGGGGAAGGAGGGCAGCCATTGTTGTTTATACTAGACCAGAGGCTCACAGGAGCAAATACGGCTCCTGTTAAATTTACTTGGACGTAGTGTTATGGAAACCAAAGGTGTACCATTTTTCAACACGCTGTCTACATATCAAGTTAAGTGTTCTTTCCGAAACCCATTATCTATCATTAGTGGCCATTAATGTCATTATATAGGGAGTCCGGTTAGATCACGAAATCGCCTCAAACTAAAGGTAATTAAGCCAGGTCTTTATGTTCCATGTATAGTGTTTTCTCTGATATAGCTTGTCATATATAGGTATCTGGCTTCACAGTTAGCGCTCTTTTGACAGGTCAAGACGAGGAAGCAAGATTTTGTGCACCAGTTACTGGGTGATGGAAGCTACCTCAAAGAGGATAATTTGGTGTCTACACCCTAGTTATACCTGGTGGACTAACCTGCTGTACTATAAGATAAGGAACCTCTTCAATGTATGTAGTCTATTACTGTAGTTTGATTGGCTGCATATATATTCAATTAATAATAACCCCCCTAATGTGTAGAGGATCGATTTGTGAGATTATGAGATTATTGCAGAAATACAGTCCACTTATCATTATACAAATTGCTATCGAAGTATATAAATTAATGTAAATATAAATTCATATAAATTAAATAAATATAAATCTCACAGGTCGGTTCCCACAGACGGGCCGAAAGAGCAAAGCTCAACCCCCGCAAACACAACTAGGTGAATACATACACGCACACGCACGCGCACACACACACGCGCGCGCACACACACACACACACACACACACACACACACACACACACACACACACACACACACACACACAGTGGTGGCAGCAAGAAACACGTACTTTGTTCAGTTCAGAAATAACCACAAATCCTGGTCCAAGATACCTGAGGGGGGGGGGGGGGGGGGGGCTCAGGAGTTGAGAGGTGCTCACCTAACAGTGAGCACCCTATGGGGGGAGTGAGCTCTAGCTCTATGCCCCGCCTCCTAGCCTTGTTTTACTCACTGAGTGACAAGTTAAACCCTTCTGTCTTTCGAATGCTTTGTCGAATTTGGCCTAAAAGTTGTGGATGGAGGTGGCTTCTACTGCCTCTCTCTCGGTGCATTCGACTAGCTGACCTCTCCGTACAGGAGGAGAATGGAAGAACGAAGCAGGAGGGGAGACTTGTGAGAATTTGGGAAGAAACAAGCCGTTGCCTCACCCTCCTATCTCTTCTGGTATCTTGTTCCTCCTTTCCCCTAGTCCTCCTCTCCCCTCACCCCGTCCCACGTCACCCACAAACACCCCCTCCTCCTCACCCCCTCAGCCAATATAATTCAACTCCCCTCTTGACAAAGGTGTAGGCAAGTCTATGTAAAATTGCAAGTTCATGAATCAGAGAGCAGCAGGGGGGCGTGACAACATTCCACAGAAGGCTACGCTTGTATGTTTGTTGTTTTACGGTGATGCTTATTCTCGAGTGCTCTGGTGGGGGGTGAGGGGAAGAGGGGTGTGTGATGGATTTAGGGATGAGAAGGGGGGAGGGAGGGGGGGGGGGGATAATGAGGAGATTGTGTCGGCGCAGAATAAGAATGAGAGGTATAATTAAGATTGTTGTTGTCGGATGCAGACAATGGAGTGAGCAGTGACACTTCCGTTTCCGCGTTGTGCTTAAGTGTGTGACAAGACACTGCCTCTTGACTCGAGGCAGGGGGGGGGGGCAGGGGTAGCAAGGGGACGGGAGCCCCCCTGGAAGGATAGACACACTGCTCGACGGCTACAGTGCCAGGAGGGATAGGGGGTGCCCCTAGAGCGCTAGAGGAAGTGATGAGGGTGCTCCCTGGAGTATTAGATAGAGATAGAAGCCTCTCCTATCCTTTCCTGCCGCAGGAAGGGATAGGAGGGGCCTGTGTAGGGCTAGAGGGTGGCCCGGAAGTGAGAGGTGGTACTCCAAGATGGATTGAGTGTATTCCAGGAGAAAGAGAGGGTTCTTCCCTCTCTTTCGGAAGAGGGGGTTCTTCCCTCTCTTTCGGAAGAGGGGGTTCTTCCCTCTCTTTCGGAAGAGGGGGTTCTTCCCTCTCTTTCGGAAGAGGGGGGGAGATGGGGGTAAGGTACCGCACACTGACAAAGTTCTACTTAAAAGCACGCAAGTCCCTCAGTACATAAAGATAAAATGAACACCATACAACTTGCATATTTACTCGAAACATTAGCCATAGAAACATCCTCGTCACGGCCCTTGTGGATTTGTTCATTATATCACGCTATTATGATTTATGTGTGTAACTAGCCATACAAATTATACGCCTGCCTATAAATTATAGGCAGGCGTATACTTACACGTATACGCCTGCCTATACGTGTAATTAGCCACGTATAGACAGGCGATGAGTCACAATACCGTGGCTGAAGTATGTTGACCAGACCACATACTAGAAGGTGAAGGGACGACGACGTTTCGGGCCGTCCTGGACCACACAATCGACTTGAGAATGGTCCAGGACGGACCGAAACGTCGTCGTCCCTTCACCTTCTAGTGTGTGGTCTGGTCAACATGTGGATAGGCATCCAAGTGTGTGCAGATATGATCGCTCTAAAACATTCATTTGTTCACGCGTATCTGAACGTATGTTCAGATACTCGTGAACAACCTTACATACACTATTATCAGCTCCCCGGCACCCTGGAAACACAAACCGAAACTGTCTCTATTTTCCGCTTGTTACAACTTGTAATAAAGTTGTTACATCTTGGCTTAACGTGTTTATGACGTATTAGAACGTTGTTACAACTTGCTATATTGGTTGTTATAACTGGTTAGGTGGTGTTAAAACTTGTTCGAACGTTGTACCAACGTCGTAGTTTCGGTGTGTGTTTGGCGGGCAGAAGGAAACAAAGTTAGCATAGCTACCACACACACACACACACACACACACACACACACACACACACACACACACACACACACACACACACACACACACACACACACACACACACACCGGTGCCAACACAGCCGAGAGCCTACTATCATAACTCACACTTTATTAAATATTTCTACAACTGTTCCGTCAGCTGCGCTTCATCACCCCTTACTTTACACACACACAGGAAGAAGAATGTGTGTGTGTGTGTGTGTGTGTGTGTGTGTGTGTGTGTGTGTGTGTGTGTGTGTGTGTGTGTGTGTGTGTGTGTGTGTGTGTTTGTGATAGAGTATAGCTCGTAAAACCTTTGACTGTGAACCTGCAATTCACATTTCACCGTTGCTTGCTGCACCTGTTCACCCACCTCCTCAAAAACCATCTCAAGCAACCTGATGCTTGAACCCTTGAACCCGAAGCCCATTGAACCCCTTCAATCGTCAACTTCTCCCCCTACCCCTCCCTTTCCCCCCTCAAGGCGATTATCCATACCTTAATATGCAATAATTCGCCTCTATGGGCGCGGTAATTCATGGTTTGGTGTTCGATAATTCGTGTCAGACTGTCAAATGAATCGTGCATTTCAGTGCCAGGTGAGTCTACGTGCGGTAGCTGCTTCATATTATTAGCTTGGCGGGTCTATATAAGTTAATTTTCGTTTTGAATGATGGTAATTTGCTGAGTAAAAAAATTAATTTATCCGGTGGAGGTCTCAATGTACAACGACCTTATAATGGTCTTGAGTTGGGTCAGTTAATATAGCCACTAGATTACGATATCTTTTCACTATAATTCATTTAGCGAGAGTCGCTAGGCGTACAATGACTTCAAATGTAGTACGATAATCTGTTGAAAGATTGTTTACCCAGTCGAGGTCGCCCGTTGGCGTGCGGTACATTAACTAGCTCCTCGAGCCCAGGGACTTAATTCATAATATACATCTTAACTAAGGACGTAAGATGACGTGGCTTGTCTCAGGAGGGAGAAATCGTTGTTGATGAGCGACAGGTGGAGCCTGGGCCCCAGGTGATCAATCATGACAGCTGTTTAACAGGTGTGTGTGTGGCGAGGTGGGGTATGCAGGAGCAACAGGTGCCGCCCCCTGTTTTATGTCGAGTGGGAGATCTGTTTTCTTATGTTTGCTACACTTGCTCACACCTGTTCATCCCCCCCCCCAACAGGTGACTCATGTCATGCACACCTGTACAAATTGCCACAACCTGACCTCTCATTTAATAAGTCGTAGTTTTTTTTACCCAATCGAGCAATCCGTTAAAAATGAGACGAATTAGAAGAAATATATCACGGTAATTTTAACGTTTTCTATATATCGGCCTCAATAAGTTATAGTTACGGGGGTGGGGGGGAGGTGCTTGCTTTATACGTTCCCGGTCAGGGCGAAACAGTTGTGTTATTTACGGAGTCTCGAATCTGGAGAACGGGTGATGTTCACTTGTTCTCAGTAAATGACTTACGTCTTAAATACGACAGTGTAAACATCTTATTTATTAAGTGTAACCTTCTCTCTGTAAATGAGATAGGTTATGGGACGGTAATTGAGCTGAATTGTGCGTGCATGCATTGTACACTTGTACACTTCTCAGAGTGTACACTTTCTTGATAATCCTGTGTCTGTGTCTTTCTCTGTCCATGCTATTGCCTCCTCCGTGTATCAGGGATTCTGTGTTTCTCCCATTCTCACATACACCTGTGTCTGCGGCCGTCTGTGTCCACTGTTACCTTGAGTTGTGGTGCTCAGTTTCTGTTTCACTGCCAAGTCTCAATAGGTAAATTAGTACTCTTGACAGTACCTACCTTTTAGTTTATTTACATACCTAAATTTCTTGTCAGTCTGCCAGCTGACCTACTAAACAATAAGCCTACGTACCAGCCAACCAACCAGCTAACCAATTAGCCAACCAATCAAGCAACTAAGTCAACCAACCAACCATCCAGCCTACCTAGAGTGGAGCAGGAGTCGGTGTTGCTGGTCAGGTATGTGCGTGGGGCGGGCTGTAAAAATATAAGTTGTGACAACCACACGAAGTTTATGCTCTCCAAGACCATTAGATTTTGTATTTACCTGGTATCTACGCCACAGAAGACTGTTTTTCTTGGGATCTACGCCACAGACGACTGTTTTTCCTGGGATCTACGCCACAGAAGACTGTTTTTCTTGGGATCTACGCCACAGAAGACTGTTTTTCTTGGGATCTACGCCACAGAAGACTGTTTTTCCTGGGATCTACGCCACAGAAGACTGTTTTTCTTTGGATTTACGCCGCGGACGACTGCTTTTCCTGGGGTTCTATGCCACGGGTGCTTGTCTTGTGGTCAATGTTGATTGTCTCTACGTCACAGACAACTATATTTCCTGGGATCTATGCCACGGGTCAATGTTTTCAAGTCTCACTAGATAATGTCATGCCGACTGAATCCACTACAGCTGGTAAGCCTATTTTATACCAAGACTGCGTCAGTGTCGCAGCCGTAGGGCGCAGCTTGAGACGACAGTTTAAAGTCTACAGCTTCAACAGCGAGCAGACGATTCCCTCGTTACGAGGCGTCGCCCAGATTACACGGGAGATCTCTGCTCGGCACACACGCTCACGTATATATACACCGCTGGGCCTGGACGCTTGTCTAATTTTTCGCACGCAGGCTTCCAAAAACAGTGAGTAAGACGGTGATGTGGGGAGGGGTGCCTGGGGCTCCCTCCCCGGGTGCCACAGCTTATCCCCGGGTGCCACGGCTTATCCCTGGGTGCCACAAGTTATCCCCGGGTGCCACGACTTATCCCCGGGTGCCACGGCTTATCCGCGGGTGCCACAGCTTATCCCCGGGTGCCACAGGTTAGCTGCGGGTGCCGCAGCTCCCTGGCGGACGGGTTCGTGCAGGTAACTGAGGTAGCAGCGGCCACGTGCCCAACGCCCCCGCTACTACTGAAAAAATTGCGGGAGTTGTGGCCAGCTGACTGGTCGAGCCTGAGGCGTGGCCAAGGGGGGCCCCTGACGAGGAGGGGGTACCTCAGGAGGAATTAAAGACCCAAGGGCCGCCCCCTCTCGAGGCAGAGAGCCAGTGCTCCCTCAGGGTCCCATATATCACGGGTTTTTATTCCCTGAATCGGTCAGTGGAGTTAATTATGCGAGAGCGGCGTCTCGGGGGTAACCGGAGTGTAAATAAAGTGGAGAATCTTTCTTTTTCTTTTTTTAAACGTGTGGACGCGATTGGTGGAGCGGGCAGGCAGGGAGGGGCCAGCGGCCGGCCGGCCAGACACTTCGCGGTGCGGGTCTTGTTTGTTGCTGCTACTTCTGGTACTGTGCTTGTTGCTGCTACTTCTGGTACTGTGCTTGTTGCTGCTACTTCTGGTACTGTGCTTGTTGCTGCTACTTCTGGTACTGTGCTTGTTGCTGCTACTTCTGGTACTGTGCTTGTTGCTGCTACTTCTGGTACTGTGCTTGTTGCTGCTACTTCTGGTACTGTGCTTGTTGCTACTGCTGCTGTGAAGGCTGCTGTTGCTGATGTTGTTCCTGCTGCTGCTGCTGCTGCTGCTGCCTCAGCTCTTGCATCTACCCATAGTTAGTATGGCTTAACCTGCTTGATACCTGGTTGATGGGGTTCTGGGAGTTCTTCTCCTCTCCAAGCCCGGCCCGAGGCCTGGCTTGACCTGGCCTTGACTTGTGAGAGCTTGGTCCACCAGGCTGTTGCTTGGAGCGGCCCGCAGGCCCACATACCCACCACAGCCCGGTTGGTCCGGCACTCCTTGAAGAAAATTATCTAGTTTTCTCTTGAAGATGTCCACGGTTGTTCTGGTAATATTTCTTATTCTCACTGGGAGGACGTTGAACAACCGCGGACCTCTGATGTTTATACAGTGTTCTCCGATTGTGCCTGTGGCACCTCTGCTCTTCACTGGTTCTATTCTGCATTTTCTTCCATCGTTCACACCAGTACGTTGTTATTTAACTGTGTTAATTTGGGACCTGGCCCTCCAGTATTTTCCACGTATATTATTTCATATCTCTCCCATCGTCTTTCTAGTGAGTACATTTGGAGGGCTTTTTGAGACGATCCCAATAATTTAGGTGCTTTATCGCGTCTATGTCTGCCATATATATATATATATATATATATATATATATATATATATATATATATATATATATATATATATATATATATATATATATATATATATATATATATATATATGTCGTACCTAGTAGCCAGAACGCACTTCTCAGCCTACTATGCAAGGCCCGATTTGCCTAATAAGCCAACTTTTCATGAATTAATGTTTTTTCGGCTACCTAACCTACCTAACCTAACCTAACCTAACTTAACTTTTTAGGGTACCTAACCTAACCTAACCTATAAAGATAGGTTAGGTTAGGTTAGGTAGGGTTGGTTAGGTTCGGTCATATATCTACGTTAATTTTAACTCCAATAAAAAAAAATTGACCTCATACATAATGAAATGAGTAGCTTTATCATTTCATAAGAAAAAAATTAGAGAAAATATATTAATTCAGGAAAACTTGGCTTATTAGGCAAATCGGGCCTTGAATAGTAGGCTGAGAAGTGTGTTCTGGCTACTAGGTACGACATATATATATATATATATATATATATATATATATATATATATATATATATATATATATATATATATATATATATATATATATATATATATATATTCCCTCTATTTCAGCAATCTGTCCTGCTCTGAAGGGGGAAGTGAGTACTCAGCAGTACTCAAGACGGGACAACACAAGTGACTTGAAGAGTACAACCATTGTGATGGGATCCCTGGATTTGAAAGTTCTCGTAATCCATCCGATCATTTTTCTGGCTGACGCGATATTTGCTTGGTTATGCTCCCTAAACGTTAGGTCGTCAGACATCATTATTCCCAAATCCTTTACATGCTGCTTTCCTACTATGGGCAAATCTGATTGTGTTTTGTACTCTGTATTATGTTTAAGGTCCTCATTTATACCGTACCTGAGTATCTGGAATTTATCACAGTTAATTATCATGTTATTTTTTGCTGTCCAGTCGAAAACTTGATTAATATCGGCTTGTAGTTTTTCAATGTCTTCAGCAGACGATTTGGTGCAGAACTATCCGGTGTTGGGTTTTGCCGCTCCGTTATGCGCTACAGTGTGCTAGTTGATGTCTGGCCCACCGACCAACGTGTGGGCAGGAATTTCTCATAAAGTTTCAAAACGTTATGAAAAACGTTAATTGAAAGTTTCCTCTTCTAACCTTACCGAGTAGGCCGGACGACTCAAACAGAAAACGGGACAGTACGTCACTTTTGTGAGTCGATTTCATTTCAAATTACGTCCAAATTTGGCCATAGCGCGAATATGAGCCAAAAGTGACGTTATTTTTAAGAGGACGGGTTGCCGGTGTCCTTAGCGTACTGGCTACCTCCATTCCACGTCTCTGAAGTAATAGAGTTAAAGAAAACATTTTCCTTAAGTGAGAAAGTGTGTGTTGAGGGTGGGGGGTGCAATCCCGCTCTCTTGACGCACACGCGCAACATGCATGCATACACAAATACCTTCTGTGTGTGCGTGTGTGCGTGGAGTGATTAATTAAAGCGTAGGGAAGGCGAACACATGAATGAGTTTGGGTGGATATAAATAGCAGTCGTCACGTATGGGCCAAAGGGGCCTTCTGCAGTTGCCTTAATTGTTTTGTTGCGTTTATACTCGTACGTTCTGACTGCGTTCTACGACAGTAAGAGAGAGAGTGGGGGTCACCTGTAGAGTGGCACAAGGGGGGGACCTGATAGCTGAATGGACAGCGCTCTGGACTCGTAATCCTAGGGTCAGGGTTCGATCCCGGTGATGGCAGAAACAATATGGGCAGAGTTTCTTTCACCCTGATGCCCCTGTTACCTAGCAGTAAATAGGTACCTAGGAGTTAGACAGCTGTTACGGGCTGCTTCCTGTGTGTACTCACCTAGTTGTGCTTGCGGGGGTTGAGCTCTGGGTCTTTGGTCCCGCCTCTCAACTGTCAATCAACTGGTGTTCAGATTTCTGAGCCTACTGGGCTCTATCATATCTACATATCGCACTGCACTCTTTACCTTAGAGTGCAGTGCAGGAAGTTGTCATTTATGGAGGTTGGAAATAATTGGTAAATATGAGTTTATGAATTCGCCCACCCGCCTTAACCCAAGCCCGTCCGCCCGTGCTCGCCCGTCCGAAGTCCGCCCACCCGCCCGCCCGTCCGCTAGCCTGACAGTTTGCCACACTTCGAAAGTCAGCTGCTGGTTGAAACATGTGTCTACGCTGCCTTCGGGTGACCCGGCTATAGAGTGACTGCTCTCTGTGGATTCCGGGTTAGGATTGCTAGGTAGGGCCCAGGAGCCAGATTCACGAAGTAGTTACGCAAGTACTTACGAACGTGTACATATTTCCCTAATCTTTGACGGCTTTTATTACATTTATTAAACAGTTTACCAGCATGAAAACTTGCCAATCAACTGTTGTTATTGTTATAAACAGCCTCCTGGTACTTCGGAGCTCATTAATTGTTTAATAATTGTAAACAAAGCCGCCAAAGATTGAGAAAAGATGTACAGGTTCGTAAATGCTTGCGTAACTGCTTCGTGAATCTGGCCCCAGGGGAGGTCACGTATTGCGTGACCTGACCCCTGACGCGGGGGTCAGGGAGCACATGGCTAGCTCCTGGGCTGTTTTAATCCCGATCACCTTGAGACGGTGGTCCAACGTGGGGGGGGGGACTGTTTCTAATATTGGAGCCGTGAAGGGATACCTGCACCAAGAGGTGTACTCTAGTTCTCGGCGAATACTCACTGAGTTTACTTTAGTCCTGCATGTTGTCACTGGCTAACGTAAACTGTTCATGCCAGTTTGGTCTTTAGGCACGTGATGCTTAATGAGCAATCCAGTGTTCCAAGACGAGCCTTTCTGATTACAAAGTAATCAGATTAAAAATGTAATCACTTTTGGGTCTTTGTTTGGAGGACGGGCTGGTCTTGTTTAACAGCCCGTCCTATAAACAGAGACCCAAAAGTGATTCCATGCACCCGCCAAACCCACTGTTTATGAATGAAAAAACAGTTTACACACGACTCACAACTGCTGACGTTCGAACACTTCCGGAACAAGTGCTTCACTGACGACTTATGTTCGAACCACAACGCTGTAAATGCTTCACCCACGTACTACAAATACAAATAATCGCCAACAGAACCTAAACACCTAATCTAACCTTTGCCTATATATGCACAATATGCTAAATATATTATAATATTAATTTATATTTGAGAAAATTCCTGTTTTGAATGAACAGCATGTTAAAATTTATGAAATGCGTCTGTGGGGTCGATCGCTGGATGGAATGGACTTAAGTCGAGGACGGGTTGTATGTAAACCGTTTTTCACTCATAAACAGTAGAGTCTGACCTTCGTTTATGAGGACGAGCTGCTCTCAAGACTCACACGAACCAGTCTCTCAAAATATTCAATGGCCGGTTAAAGTTAGCTATATATAGAAGGCTGCCTTTTGATATTGAGTTAATCAATACTTTAATTGTCCTTAAAACTAAAGCTCAACTACGGAAACCACAGCTCTCTACACACACACACACACACACACACACACACACACACACACACACACACACACACACACACACACACACACAGATGTGGTGGAGGCTGACTCCATACACAGTTTTAAATGTAGATATGATAGAGCCCAGTAGGCTCAGGAACCTGTACACCAGTTGATTGACGGTTGAGAGGCGGGACCAAAGAGCCAGAGCTCAACCCCTGCAAACACAACTAGGTGAGTACACACACACACACACACACACACACACACACACACACACACACACACACACTCACTCACTCACTC